CTGGGCTTGCCCCGTCCTGGTGTGGGCGTGTGACATGTAAAACTGACGAATTTCCCCCGCTACTCCTTCACAACTTATCCAAATGTGCGCGCTCATATTCCTCAGACCGAGACAGAACGACCCTGTGTGGCCGAGCTTCCTCGTGTCGCACCTTTTTCCTTTTCACCTGTGCGGTTTGTTATCATCCGAGAGGTCAGGAGTGAGGATTCCCACCTTCATCTGCATGCGGTTGGATTGATTTTGTAATATTATGACCGCTTCGGAGGATTTACATGCGACGTGATGCAACTTTACGCAGTTCTCCCTGAGTTTAAAGGGATAGTTCACACAGAAATGTTTACATTTATTAATTACTCCAAAGACTGAATACATACATTGTCAACAGAAGAAAAAATACAAAGAGAGAGTAAGAACTTGAGACGTTCAGGAATCAATTACGCTCATTGTCATTTATCCATGTAACGAGTAAAGAAACGCATACTTAAAAAAAAAAAAAAAAGTATTAATATTTGAGTTACTTTTTTTTAAAGGGACTTTGGTTACTCTCAAGTGGAAAGACCTACCCCTCACTAAAAAAGTGTAGAATTTGGCCACTATATGAGCTCATTTGTCCTATTTTTTACAGTATGCCAATATAAATTGTGAAAATAACTGATCAAAGAAGGCTTTAAGAGATTAAATTTATAAATATTCAAATGGACAAATTTTGACTGAGGAAATGAGCTGGCCAATTTGTTATTTGCCTATAGGCTACTGTTTTTCATTTAAAACAACATATTTCTTGTTTGTTGTTAAATAAAGGATGATAATAAGTTTGTATTTTAAAAATTTATATATATTTTTTAATTTCACTAATATTTTTATTCTAATCATAACATTATTAATAAAATTAATTACATACAATTTAAATGCACATTTGTACACTTTATGGTAAAATAGTATGGTAAGCGCTTGTACAAAATTAGAGAGAATATTTTTGTAGCATCAAAAAGTTTGGTTATGACCATCTGACAAGCCAATCCAGAAAAGATTAGTGCCTAAAATGTCACTAAAATTTAGTATTTGAACCTCATAATTGAATAGAAAATGGGGCGAATTACTGCAAATAGGTCCACCTTTTCAGAAAAAAACCCAACCCTTTCTGGCTACGGGTGTGAGTTTTTAACGAGCAAAGGGAGATTAAATTATGACAGAATTTTTTGGTGGATTATTCCTTTAATATTGTCCTGGTTGTGTTACTTAGTTACTTACCATATAAGTAATTAACTAAATGTAGTTATAAAGCACCTTTTAACAGACACAAAGTGTTTTTTATAGAGTTCCTCTGAGCACAGAAGGCACGGTCAATATGCAGGGGTGCCCAAGCTCTGTCATGGAGGGTCTGTGTCCTGCATGTTTTAGTCCCTAGCAGGGTGCGAATTACAGGGACATTTGGGGGGAATTGACCCCCCAATTAATGCTTGATCCCCCCCCTGAAGGATGTACGGGAGTCAGACCTTTAATAGTGAGAAATAGTTTTGCATCTGTATCCTAAATAATAATAATTAAAATAATAGACAGTGATGGAAAGAGTACTAAAAAAATCATACTTAAGTAAAAGTACCATTACTTGCCTTAAAATGTAGTGCAAGTAGAGTAAAAGTATCTCTTGTAAAAATTACTCTGAGTAAAAAGACCTTTCAAAAGTACTCAAGAGTAGTGAGTATTGCCATGTAAAAGGCTGATGCATTTACATGTTATTTGTGTAAACGTAACATTCTGTAGTGCATTTAGTTATTGGTAGTTTTACCATTATATAGGGGTTCATGCATAAATCGTGCCAATCAGTATTTGCAAGAATCATTCAACAGTGTAAACCTGTAGATCTAGCGCAGCGATGGATATCGTAAGTGGTCACGACACAGTTTTCATGTAAAATAGGTGTTTATATTCACATAGCCTAAAAGTAAAGTAAAATTGGATGCATAGTTTAAATAGTCTGAGCTAGCAACATCTGAAATAATCAGGTCACTGTATGTCAGAATACATTTAATATCCATCAAAACACTAAAAACTTAAATAGGTTGTCTAAATAAATTTGATGTCATTTAAATAAATAGATCAATTTAATTCACTGAAAATTTAACAAGTAAGTTTTTCAGGGTTTTCACCTTTACTAGATAGGACAGTCGAGAATTTATAGGAAAGTGTGGGAAGCAGAGAGAGGGGAAGGATCGGCATAGGACCCAAGGCGGGAATCGAACTCGGATGGCCGTTAACACCGAAGTGCATGTGTCTGCACTCTCCACGACACCATTGACAGCAACTATAAGACATGTCTTTAACACCTGGCGGCGTATGGATTTTAGTTAGCACTTCTATCAGATAAGAACAGAAAACAGAGGCTACCAAAGCTATCTCATAGCTATTCTTAACTTTTTGATTTAGTTTGACTAATTTGTATAGAAAATCGTATGATCTCATTCATACAATTTAGCACGATTTGCTTATCCCCCAATGAAGGTTGGGTTTAGGGTTGGGGTTGGCTGCCATGCTTCCTTTTTAAAAATCATACGTTTTCGTATGACTGAACTGGAATTCATTCGAATTAGCCTCTTAACTGACAAAACGTAAAATAGTTACATTTTCACGCGACATAAGGCTGAGGCTACAGTTTATAAAAGTTTACCTTAGTATATGTTTGCTCCTACATTTGGATAGTAGGGTCTTAATTTGGAATAAACAACATTCAAGCATGAATATCCTGCCCTAAGTTGCTATGGTTCCTACTGTTGGTGGTGTAGTGCACTTAAGGACCATAAGACATAAGTCCATTTTTATAAGACAATGACCACACTGTTCACCCCAAAAAAAAAGAAAATTCTATCATCATTTACTCAACCTTTACTTCTTTTAAACATTTAAGAGCTTGTTTCTTCTGTCAAACACAAGAGAAGATATTTAAAACAATTTGTAAACCTGTACCCATTGCAAGACACTTCTCCTTTAGCTGTCAATTGCTTCAGCTTTCTTCAAAATATCTTATTTTGTGTTCAACAGAAGCGTGAAGAAACTCAAAGGTTTGGAACCACTTGATGGCGAGAACATGTTCATTTTTGTGTGAACTGTCCCTTTAAAAGCCACAAAGAATATCCGAGTCTTGTAGCAGACCATGTCTTTATGACCACAGTATGATTGTGTGACGGTTAGTTCCTGTAACTGGTTTCACTAACATTAAGTTAACTTTACCTAAATGGCCTCCACAATCACTAGATCTCGAAGATTTTTTTATTCTTTTAAAATGTGTAGTAAACATGTCAACCTATTTAACCATCTAGAGATGTATAGACATGTATTTTGAGGAAAAAGGGCAACAACTGGTGATGTATTTTGAGAAGAAAGGTCACCTTTCTTGGTGATGTGTGTAGGATGGCTGTCATGCTGAGTAATGTGTGAGGTCACCATTGTGAGGAGCTGCTGGAGAATGACTTTATATGTAAAACATTGGTTGCATATGTAAAACGCACACATATGAAGCTGTATCTGTGAAAGGCATTCAGGAGAGTGACTAACATATTATCAAGATTATACCATCATGACAATGTGCAGGGTTCATACACATTTTTACTATAAAATATCCATGACTTTTCCAGGACTTTCAAGTCAATTTTTTATGACAATGTTTCATTTAATGTCTACGTATACGTGGTAAATCATAAGAAACGTTTAGATTTATTACAGCATATAATAGTTTCAATTTATTTTTATATGTATGTAAATAGATGATGCTTACACAGCATTAATAAATAATGTGAGAGCATGTTTTTGGCCAAGAAAAGAAAAGAAGTAAAAGCAACTAACCTTCATTCCAGTATACAGATATTTGTCAAACTAATTTTAGATGATGTTAATAGTTTGTTAAAGTAGTAATAGTAGGTAAAACTACTTCTATTGTAAAGCCGTGATCACACTGCACTTTTCACTCTAGACTTCCATTCCTAGGCATGCGAATGCAGCAGACCAGAAACGCAAGCACGTGCAACAAGTTTCACATTTCACTGCATTCGAAAGTTCAAGCTTGGTGAATTCTAACCTGTGAAATCACATCAGGTGATTGCGTTAGACCAATAGAAGATCATTTAAAATAAGGAGCAATCGCTCGCTTTTATTAACGTCAAATCATATTGTTTAACCCCGCCCCTTTTCGCAGCGTCGTAAAACTGAATTTTGCAAGCACAAGATCTAGTGTGACCGCAGCTTAAGTCGCTTTTTGCAAAAATATCTGCTAAATGTAAATGTAATTTCCATTACTTTTCCAAAACCTTGTGGGTTTTTCTGTTTTTCCTCAATTTTTCCAGGTCTGGAAAATGCCATGTCAAAATCCCATGACTTTTCCAGTTTTTCCATGACTGTATGAACCCTGGATGTATGTAAACACTTAGAAGAAGTAGCATCTATGAAGTGACATCTCTGAGGTGAAAACAGTTGCTTAGCTAGCGGGCTAAGAGCCACCTGAAAAAAAAAGCCACCTAAAAGTAAAAACTCATCCAGAGATGGTCAGAAGTTAAAACGAGACACCTAGAGGTGGGGTAAAAAAAATCTGTATGAAGATTGTGAAGAACACAGACACTGGAGGAACTGTCCAGGAGAGACGTCAGATTGCTCCGAGGTCTGCTCTCCACTTTCTCTGCTTTCTTATGTATTAATAAAGTCTATTTTCTTGTCTTCAAAGCCTCCCATCTGATTCGTCGTTGATTAATGAAAAGGCCGGCAACTACGACAATCTCAATCCAATAGAGCAGCTTTGAGCTGTTATGGGACGGGAGATTCACAAAAGGGTTGTGCAGCTGATATAATGCACAGAAATGTATGCACAGCTTATGTAAATATGTTCTTGAATCTGTGCCACAAAGAATTAAGACAATTCTGAAGACAAGAGGTCCAACTGGTTCTAGCAAGGAGTACGTACTAAAACGGCCAGCTTCCTTAAAAAATGGAAAAGTGAAGAATATTCATTATTATACATTTTAATATTTCTTTATTTTCAAATGTGTAAAAAAAAAACTAAAACTTTCAACTTATATCCAGCTTTAACTTCTATATTAATGTGTTCCCCACGGTACATACTTTCACTTTTGTATAGCAAACAAACATGACCCATGCAGACATGTTAAAAGTATATATAATAATAATAGCATTAATAATAATAATAAACTTTCACCTTGGCAATTACTTCAGATTGGAATGTGTCATGAAAAGAAAATAAATACAGGATAATCAACTCATAATAGCTTTAGCAATAAACTTAAGAGAAAGCAGATTCACATTCACTTGATCACAGATTGCTGTTTTGCAGCTTCGGAGCAAATGAAATGAAAAATGCAACGGACACAATTCAAATTAAAATCTAAACAACCTATTGTTTTGTTTTTATGATCAGACGCATCTTATTTACTGTGGCTGCCTGTGTAATATAAACCAGAACACTGATGCAAAAGAAACCTGTCTGAATATAGTTATGCACGATCATGTGGGTTTATGAAAAGTGACCTTAATAAAATTGAACATCAGCGGATGATGATGATAACTGGCACATTGTCTGATGCAGTTAATAGCATCCTTGAATGTGATGAATTTAAGAAACCCTTATTTAACCATTATTAACCAGAAAAAAAATCAGACATAAGACAGGATTAAAAAAAAAAAAAAATGCCACAGATTGAATGAACCTGAGCGTGGAAGGCCTTTTTTTAAATAGTGTACTTGAGTCCAGTGCAGATTTGGTTCCTTAAAGGCCTTTCGGGCCCAAAGAAGCATCATATGGAGAGTAAAGTAACTTCAGTCATCTCATCTCCATAATGCTACATTCCCTCCATGAGAGTGCTGAAGTGTCTCATCAGTATTTATTTATACCAAACAGACGAACTCCATGAAACTGAGGCAACTTGGGAAGGAGGACACTTAGTAGCGAGCCTGTGTTGACTAGGAAGTGGGTGGTATCATATTTGGTGTAGAAGCTAGCCAAGATGTACCTATATATAAAAAAAAAACAGATCTTAATTAAAGTATTATAAACTATATACAGAATTATGAGCCTCCTGTTTATTCTTCCCAAATTTGTTTAATGGGAAGCAACACATTTCTAAGCATAATAGTTTCAATAACTCATTTCTAATTACTGATTTCTTTTATCTTTGACATGATGGCAGTACACAATATTTAACTAGATGTTTTTCAAGACACTTCTATACAGCTTAAAGTGACATTTAAAGGCTTAATCAGGGTAACTAGGCAGGTTAGGGTAATTAGGCAAGTCATTATATAATTATAGTTTGTTCTGTAGACAATCTAAATATATATTGCTTAAAGGAGCTAATAATTTTGACCTTAAATGGTTTTTAAAAAAGGAAAAACTGCTTTTAATCTAGCCAAAATAAAACAAATAAGACTTTCTCCAGAAGAAAAAAATGTTATCAGGCATACTGTGAAAATTTCCTTGCTCTGTTAAACATCATTTGGAAAATATTTTTTAAAAAGGGAAAAATTGAACAAGAGGGCTGGTAATTTTGACTTTAACTGTACAGTTGAGGTCAGAATGATTAGCCCCCTTTGATTTTTTTTCTTCTTTTTTAAATATTTTGCAAATGATGTTTAACAGAGCAAGGAAATTTTCACCATGTCTCATGATATTTTTTTTTCTGGAAAAAGTTTTATTTGTTTTTATTTCGGCTAGAATAAAAGCAGTTTTAAATTTTTTAAACACAACTTTAGGGTCAAAATTATTAGCCCCTTAGTCTACAGAACAAACCATCATTATACAATAACTTGTCTAATTACCCTAACCTGCCTAGTTACACTAATTAACCTAGTTAAGCCTCTAAATGTCACTTTAAGCTGTATAGAAGTGTCTTGAAAAATATCTAGTCAAATATTATTTACTGTCATCATGGCAAAGATAAAATAAATCAGTTTATAGAAATGAGTTATTAAAACTATTATGTTTAGAAATGTGTTGAAAAAAATCTTCTCTCTGTTAAACAGATATTGGGGAAAAAAATAAACAAGCGGTCTAATAATTTAGGGGGGCTAATAATTCTGATTTCAACTGTATATGTATCAATAGCATAATAAATTAATGTGTTGCAGTTTTTATAATTTAATGAACAAATATGATTATGACTCACAGTACAATAGGTGAGATGGTGAGGAACTTTCTGGATGCTGTGAACTGAATGCCGTAGTCCATCTGTTCCCAGTGTGTGAGCAAACGTGCTTTGCCTTGGTCTGGTGTTTCAAACGGTGTGCCTTTGACTGTGTGCAAAAACAGATACATCGCCTGGACAGCAAAGACATGAGATGAGAGATAGAGATTAACACATAACTAACTCTTCTTTTTTTTTCCTGTTTTAATTTTACAATACTGATTTTTTTCTACTGTGGAGTAGAGGACTGCAAATAAATTTCTGAATAAAACGTGGTTGTAGTCGGTAACTGGTGTAATTTAAACGGGAGCGGGTGGTCTAACAATATAGCGCTCCCAAGATATATATATATATATATATATATATATATATATATATATATATATATATATATATATAGAGAGAGAGAGAGAGAGAGAGAGAGAGAGAGAGAGAGCGCTAATCCGCTGTGGTGCTGTGTGTTGCTTGTTATAAGCTGTCTGTATTCTGTAGCATTCAGCTGGATGTATGCTGGAGGCATATTTAATCGCTATACATTTTACATTCTTCCTTGGCCCAATATGTACCTGCTATGTGTATAGAAATAATGCTGATATGATATATGAAACACAATCGGTAGTTGGAAAATATATTGAGTGGATTTGTTTTTAAATCTGACTTTGAAAGAGGGCCTCACCAGCCACAAACCTCACCACACATCGCTCTGACATTTAGCCTACAATCCTTGCACACCCTACACTTTTATCTGGTATCTCTTTCTTTTGGTAGTACCCAATTTTACATGAGATTTTGGAAACCAGATCTAAATTTAGCGGGAACGGTCAGGTCGGGAAGCAAACGGAGCGGGGCGAGCAGCGGGTGAACAAAAACTGAATATACGGCGCGAGTTGTTGGGTGTTTAATAAAACCTGGCGAAATTCGGATAAAAAAATTTAGTCCCGCGCAGATCTCTACCGTGGAGTTTAAGTTTCATAAAACTAAGCTTCCTTCTCACAAGTCTTATTCTCTAAATTCAAATTTTTTGTTGCACATTTTGGACTTCTTTTAGGACTGTGACTGGATATTTAAGGCAATTATTGGAGTTTTTTTTTTGCAATTTCTATTTTTATTGCACGGAAATCTGAATGAACATTATATAATTTTTTCCCTCTAGGAATTAGGAGTTTACATCTGGCAACTTTTTCTGGGAATAATGAGTTCAAACTAAAATCTCCCCTAAAAAATTATGTGGAACTCTGGGTTTACATCCCACAATACTGACTTTTTTTTGTCAGAATTTTCACATTTTACAATTCTGAGTTTTACATTTTGCAATTTCCTTTAAGTTTAAATGTCAAAATGAATTAGACTTTTTTTTCTTTTCTTCTTCGGAATTCTTTACATTGCACAATTTTGCCTGACTTTTCCTGGGAATTGCAAGTTTTCATTTCCCAATTCTGACATTTCAGTTTATATATAACAATTCCAACTTGTTTCCTTAAATTAGGAGGATACATCTCAAAATCTTGACTTGAGTTATTGGGTTTACATGTCAGATTTTTAAACTCTGTCTTGGAAAATTCTTTGGTTTCTTCTCTTAATTCTGCTTTTATTTAAAAAAATCTAATAATATGAGTTTACATTTCTTAATTCTGTTTTGTTGTTTCTGCCATGGAATGAAAAATGAAACAGTAAGTAGGAGTTTATACCTCAATTAAGGGAAAAAAAATTTAATTGTGACACTGTCATGTTAAATTATCCCTTGTGTGCTGTCACGGATGTTTTCATTCACTTTGGGGTCATTTTGAGGCTTTATTTGGCCACAACTTTTACTGTGTTTCAGCAAAAGGAATGATTTTGGTGACAAACCTTATTTTGATACATACAGTGCTCAGCATATATAAGTACACCCCTCACAAATCTCTCTTTAAAATGTTTATTTTTAATATACAATAATATATTTGTGCATATTCATTAGATTAGTCAGTACTGAAGTCAAACATGGAGCTTATCTAAGAAAATAACTTTTGATAACGCTCCAAAAACTAGTACACCTAAATTAATGTTATAGAAAAATGGGCTTGAAAGGGCCTTGCAATTCAACAACACATAAATTGACTACCCTTTTATGTTCATGCCGTTTTTTGCTCCATTGACTTCCAATATTACGACATTTTTTGATTGCAAAGCCATGACACCAAATAATCATGCATTCTTGACTATCCGTGGTTTTTCCTGTTGGAAAGAGAAACAATTTGTGATTTTTACTGTTGATCAGTTACAGAGCAAAATAAATGCTTCGTTTCTGGCTTTCATATGAAGTATAATGTGTGTGTGTGTGTGTGTGTGTGTGTGTGTGTGTGTGTGTGTGTGTGTGTGTGTGTGTGTGTGTGTGTTTGTCTGTGTGTGTCTGTGTGTAAGAGCGACATATGCATACTTACCTAGATATGTTTGAGAAAATAAAAGATAAGCACCACAGCTCTCAGAACATAGTAAGTGTATTTACAATATGCTGTTTTACTCCATAGAACTCCATATAAATGCCAGAAACTATTTTGCACATGCCTAAAAGGTATCTAAAGGGTTAAAGCTGCTAACTGATGAACAACCGTTAAGATGATCTCTTCCCAACTTTGAAAACCCCCAACAATCAAGAATGCATGAATATGTGGCATCATAGCTTTGCAATCAAAAAATGTGGCTATATTGGAAGTCAATGGGGCAAAAACAGCTTCAAACATAATAAAAGGGTAGTCAATCATTCTGTCACAATCTCTTTCATGTTTTTGTTTTTAAAGAGACACACCACTAGAATGATTTCTCGCCTGCACTGACCAGGTTGTGAATGATATTGGTGAGCGTCCAGACCACCGGCACGCTGAGAAACGGGATGCTGAGCAGCACCACATGCAGGGCGGTGGTGAGCAGCAGGTAGGCCAGCCAGATTCCCCGGCTGTTCATCACCCGCGTGTTCGGGTTCACCTCGCTGTGAGCAACGCCCACATTCATCCTGCATGAAAACAACAGTCGTGAGATCCTTCTTTTTTTTTAATTATTAAAGTCCTTACAAAATGACATCGCTCTGTAGGGCTGTGCGATTTGGAGAAAACATCTAAGTGCGATTTTTCTGACAGATATTGCGATTTGATTTGCGCTTTAATTTAGTAGTCAAGCTTCAGCTCAATAATCTGTAAGCCGTGGCAACAATTCTGCAACAGCTCATAACAATGAACTGTTTTTGTTCGATGTCTGCGACTTTTGGAAACTAAAATATTCCCATATTACAGACATGCTGTTTTCCTTTGATATTTGTCTATTATTGCTTCTGAAGCAGCAGACGCCTTCATCCCAATTGTCCACGCTTTCCTGTTTCTTTTTCATTGTGGCTGTTCTGCATAGTTCAGTTGCGCAATTCTGATTGGGCAGAACAAAAGTGTGCTCACTCAATTGGCTAGTAAGACTGTCACACACAGACGGCAGTCACACATTTGCTCTGGGCGGGGAAAGTAAATAATACATATATGTTTCATATCTCAGCCTCTTACGATTAGCTAATCGCAACATTTAAAACTGCGATTGCAAATTGACTAATCACACAGCCCTATTGCTCTGGTTCCTTATTTTCAGATAATGAAAATCTATTTAAATAATGACTAAATCCTTGCAAAAAAAGAAGAAAAAACTGAAAAATATGGTTTCCCAGAGATGGGTTGCGGCTGGAAGGGCATCCGCTGCGTAAAAAACTTGCTGGATAAGTTGGCGGTTCATTCCGCTGTGGCAACCCTGGATTAATAAAGGGACTAAGCCGACAAGAAAATGAATGAATGAATGGAAAATATGGGTTGGAATCAGTAGATTTAGATTTGTGGATATAGAATTTACAAAGAAAATGTTGGCACCAGTAGCCGTTACTGTTACTGTTACTGTTACTGTGCGCTGACATATAGCACCAACGTGCTACGGCTACCCGAGTTAGATTCCCGGCTCGAGGTCCTTTGCTGATCATTCCCCTCTCTCTGCTCCCAATGCTTTCCTGTCTGAGTTCTCTACTATCCTGTCATAATAAAGGTGAAAAACTCCTAAAAAAATAATTATAAAAAAAATTTACAAAGAAAATAAATAAAATTTATAACCAAACAAGCATTTCTATAAGTAGAACAGATCCATAATAAATAAAAATAAATCATTCAAAGGGGTGGCACGGTAGCTCAGTGGTTAGCACTGACTGTTGCCTCACAACAAGAAGGTCGCTGGTCACTGAGTCCCAGCTGGGTCAGTTGGGATTTCTGTGTGGAGTTTGCATGTTCGCCCTGTGATCGTGTGGGTTTTCTCCGAGCGCTCTGGTTTAACCCCACAGTCCAAAGACATGTGCTATAGGTGAATTGAATAAACTAAACTGGCCGTAGTGTATGTGTGTGAACAAGTGTGTATGGATGTTTCCCAGTACTGGGTTGCAGCTAAAAGGGCATCTGCTGTGTAAAACATATGCTGGATAAGTTGGAGGTTCATTCCGCTGTGGCAACCCCTGATGAATAAAGGGACTATGCCAAAAGAAAATGACATATATGACAACGTAACGAATATATCATGTTACATATTATCATTACTAAATGAGTCAATATGTTTCCCAAAATTGTACAACATAATGACAATCCTAGAACAAATTAAATGTTTCTGTATTAAACTGACAACATGAACATATTCTTATTAATAATATGAATAATTAACATATTTTTATATCCGTATTATTGTTAGATTTGAACTTATTCACCAAGTGTTAAATAGGATCGTGATATCCTTCATGCAAAAACCCGAAGCCATTAAAAAAACAAATAAGGATGCCCTTTGACTGACACCACAATCCTCAGACCAAGTTACATGAGTGAACACAATTACAGCACATTTACTTTCCTCGACGATCACTTCTGCTCACTTTTATTTAGATATGTCTAGTAATATATAATCTGCGGGGTCTTAATGCGTGTTATTGATGCTGGTTTGTCATCTGAGCACTGCTAGCCATCAGGCTAGTGGATTCATTAATAGTTCAGTCGCTGCTAATAAAAGCCGAAGAAAGTGCGCCATTAAAGAGTCACGTCTGAAGTAAAAACAAATGAAGCATGCAATGAAAACAGCCCAAAATACAAGCTATTAGCGCGTTTAAGTGGTGTAAATAAAGAACTAATGTTGTCATATGACATCCACCCACCTTGCGAAGTAACCAGGAAATAAAGCGTCTGCGGCGGTGTTTGAAAAACTACTGAGCTGCCTGCGTAGACAGCATCGCGAACGCGCACTAGAAAGCGGGCACGTGTTAGTGACGGGATCTAGAGGAAGCGGTTTTGAAAAAAAAAACATTTTTTAAATAGTGTTTAAAAATAGAATTTAGGTATTTGGGATCAAATAAATATGTAAAATTATATCAAATTAAATTATTTATTAATTAATTCATTTTCCTTTGGCTTAGTCCCTTCATTCATCAGGGGTCGCCACAGCAGAATAAACCTCCAAATATTCCGGCATATGTTTTACACAGCGGATGCCCTTCTAGCTGCAACCCAGTACTGGGAAACATCCATACACACTCATTCACACACATTCACTACGGTCAATTTAGCTCACCCAATTCACCTACAGCGCATGTCTTTGGACTGTGGGGGAAAACAGAGCACCTGGTGGAAACCCACGCGAACATGCAAACTCCACACAGAAATGTCAACTAGCCCAGCTGGAACCTTCTTGCTGTCAGGCGACAGTGCTAACCACTGAGCCACTGTGTCGCCCCTAAATGAAATTATATATGTATTTTATTTTTAATACATGTATAAAACTAGGTTATTTTGTATAAGGGTTTTATGGGATTTAACTCGGCTAGTTTGTACATTGTACAGTATATTTTATAATCATGCATTTCTAAGCTTGCAAGTTATATTCAGGTTTAAAATGCATGCTCATTTTGTTCACAAATGAAACATTTAACTTTTTTTCAAATAATCTGGTTGTATTTATATGAAGACTTTGTAATTATTTTATTTTATTTATATAAAAATATTTGGGTGTCATGGTGGCGCAGTGGGTAGCACGATCGCCTCACAACAAGAAGGTCAATGGTTCAAGTAAGGGTTTTATGAGACATGTCTCAGCAAGTTTATAGGGAATGTATAATTTATAATATAATTTCTGAGCAGATGCATTCAGTGTATTATATTCAGTGCATTCAATAAATTATTTGAATTAAAATTGTAAAAATCTAACCTCAATATTATTTTATTCAATATTTTTCTATACTACACTATTACTTACCACATATTTTACTGTATATTTGATCATCATAGTGCATTTCTAGTAAAGCTTGCTTTATATATTCAGTTGTACAGATTTTGTTGCTCTGCATTTTACAAATTTATATACAATATTTAGATGAATACTTTGTATTTATTTTATTATTTTTATCTATTTATTATTTGACAATATAAATAAATTAAATCACATTAAAAATATTTTTAACATTTTTAAAATAGTGTTTTAAAGTAGTTTTAAGGTATTTGACTGGATAATCTATTTAAATATATCAAATGATGTATTTGATTTTTAATAAAACTAGTTTGTTTAATATATTTTTAATAAAACTGTGTTATTTTGTGTAAGGGTTTTTAGAGATGTCTCAGCGAGTTTTTAGGGGATGTATAATTTATAATATAATATCTCAGCAGATGCATTCAGTGTATTATCAGTGTATTCAATAATATATTTGACTTAAAATTGTAGAAATCAAACCTCAATATTATTTTATTCAATACTTTCTTTATTATATTATTACTTAATACATATTATACTGTATATTTGATCCTCATGTGTTTCTACTAAAGCCCACTGTTATATTCAGTTGTGTCCTCATTTTGCGGCTCTTCATTTGACAAATTAAACATTTAACTTTTTAAATATGCTGTCTCTATTTCAAATATTTCAAGAGAGTGACCTTATCAGATCAGATATCTAGACTTTTTACAGATTCACTGGTAGTGGCAACAGTCCTACTTCCTCCACACTGTGACCACAGGAAAACTTCACACAGTACTACCACAAAAAAAAAAATTATAATAATAAATGACACCATATTAAACAATTTACCAGTAGTGTCAGAAAAGATGATGTCTGCGCTTTATTATTTGTCCAAATTATTGTTTTATAATATTTACTGTCAAAATAGCTTAATGTCAATAATGCCACCTCTGTCTTTGCTATAGTCCTGATGGTAAACGGAGTTCCCTTTTGTTCTGCTGACATCATCCTTATCAAGACAATACACACTGAGCGGTGACAGCATCTCTTGAGCTTGGGACATATTTTTTTGCAGGAAGCTTCTTGTCATCGTAAAAAAAAGCGTAGTATGAATGTTTATGGAAATCACATCTTCCCTCTCCTATTACATAGAGCTGTTGAATACAGACTGGGAAATTTGGCAACATTAACCCGGCCATTTCCTTGTCCATTAATACTAGTAGTAAAGGTGATTTGCTTACTTGTTAGTTTTTCATTTTGTTGTTGCCGCAAACGAACAATGCACATGAATGAAGGACAAACTCTGAAATGCTTGCTCATAGATTTATTGGTTATAAATGACACACCTTCTCTGAAGTTATATAAAATCATTGAACAATAAATACAATAATAAATAAGAACAATAAATAAATATATTATCATATTCTTAATGTTAACACAACTTTAAGTTGTTAATAAATCCATGCTTTTTATTACACATGAGAACCTTGTAGAAGCAGCAAAGGCTGTTTGAACATTTTGATCAACATGATCACAAATAACATGTATTTTCTAGCAGTCTAACACTGTTTTAGGTTAACTCCAGTAGTCACTGGAGAAGCCAGGTATGAGAACACACGTGCAGATATGATGGAGAAGGAGTAGAGTCTTTCCACGCTGTCCCGACACAAGAAGTCGTCATTCCAGTCTTCTGCAGTCCAAGGGGCATGCACTGCCGATTCCTGATCATCAAACAAGGGTAATAATGAAATTAAAAGTGTGACAGGATTACATTTACATTTATGAAATGCTACAGAATATGGGAATTACTTTTTTGTCTCTTGCTTAATGAAAACTGGCAGGTGTCTAGACACTATAATAAAAGAAAATATGGAAAAACACACACCTTAAGCACTTTCAGGAGGTGGCCAGTAACATTGGCGATCTGTTCGGCATTTACTCTCCATTTACTGCAAGCTGATTTATTGAAGATGCCATCTTTGTGAAAGATTCTGCTGTAATTTTTCAGAGCCAGAATGATTCTTGACTGACAAGTCTGAAATACAAAGGACAGGTGAAAATTAGAACATTGGTCAACATAAAGATGATTTTGTTTAAGCCGGACTTGTGCTATAAAATATCTGATCGATAAATATGAAAGATACTTCTTTATTTGCATCAAAGAAAGTTAAATGAAGTTTTTTTTCATTCTGCAAATTATTATTTACATTTTTAAAAGTTTATTTAAATTTTAAAATCTTCTACACATAAAGGAAAATGTTTTTTTTTAAGAAATGATTTAAATCAGTTACCAAATATTTTATGTTAGGCTATCAATTTGAAACTTTTTTTTTTTTTTTGGTAGGCTAGCATTGTTGTTAGAGTGTGGTTTTCATTTGTTTACCCACATTAGATGAACTGATACTCATATAACAACCTTTAATGTTATTGTCACTCATTTATTATTTTTAAGATCAAAAAGTCGAATATTTAAAATGTAAATGTACATGTGTACACTCTCAGAAATAAAGGTACGCAAGCTGTCACTGGGGTGGTACCTTTTTAAACCTTTTACAAATTTGTACCTAAAAGGTCCATATTAATACCTCAATGGTACATATAAGTACCTAAAAGTACAAAAGTGTTCCTCTTAAAATTTGTAGGTACTAAAATATACTTTTGATGTACCAATATGGACCCTTGAAAGGTACCACCCCAGTGACAGCTCGTGTACCTTTATTTCTGTATGCACTGTAAACTATATAGGCCAGTGTGTGACTGTTTTATTAACAAATATTAATGAACATTGTATATCCTAAACGTACTTTAGTTCGTTAACAAATGAGACCTTCACGTAAAGTGTTACAAATTCTCAACATAATCTCTGTTATTTACCTTTTTGTTGCTTTGAAGGCTCTGAGGGTCACATGTGTCATTCGGTCTTATAGTCACTGGCAGGTCGGTAATGACGCTTGTCATTTTTGGAGACTCAACCTGCAGAGAGCATAACAATCCTTTAATAAAAACCAACATCTTGAGAATGCATCTATAAAATAACAACAACCGAAAATGAACGATTTTATCATCCTTCAAGAACGTACCTTGTTGTATAAATCTCTCGCCATCTCTACGAGGTGGATGGAGAGTCTTTTGCACTCCCTGAAATTCACCTCTGCGTGTGCGCCCGTCGGAGCTCCATTCGCGCTGGACCACGCCGAAAACACAACGCAAAGGATTAATAATGGTGATGGATTCATGCTGACAAATATTCTCCGTGTTGCTGTTACGGTTTATTCTTTCTTCTGCAGTGTTTAAAGGGCAATCTGATTGCAAAGGCTTTCCCACTTGCTTATAACTCTACAGCAGTGGGTGTGGAGAATCGTAGGATTTTCCCGCGACAGGTAGACTCATAATTAATGCATTTAAGTTTCGCTTTCATTAAAAAAATGTTTTGTTCCTCAAACGTCTACAAGATGTTCAACACAATACTTGAACAAATCTTAATGAGATATTTATAGATTCATAGGAGGACTTTATGATGTGTTTGCTCCATATGAATTGAGAATTGCTCCAGAATTGAGTGTGAAATGTACTACACTCATGTTTCTTCACAGGTTCATCACACGTGCGAATTCCTCATGAAATAAATTGGGGAATTCCAAAATTCCCAAACTCTTGGAGTTTCAAAATGTGGGGATAGTTGTGTGAAATGTCACTGTGGTCATCGCATGATCTCTGTGTTTGCTCGCCATCGCGCCCTTCCAGATCAATTTCATGATCCATGTGAATCCATGTAGCCTATAATACAATTGATTAGTCTGTTTTTATTTTTAGGTGATGAATTAGAACCATTCGTTTAACAAATTCGAATATATATTTATGTTAGAAAAAATTAGTTGTCACTGAAAATCACTGTTACAAATTAGATTTTATATAGCCTACAAAGAAAGCACATAGGAAATGCAAGTAGTAGGTTATTGTGTCTACTTTAATGTTTTAAGTTATTTAGTGAAAACTGAATTGCCTATTTGGTTTAAAAGTAATTAACAGATGTAAAATGAAATAACTAAACTTTAAAATGTATAAAATATGAAGTGATCTCATTATATTTGGTTTTAAATTATTTAAAAACTGCTTGTTGGCAAATTAAAGGGCCATAACACCCCCCAATTTCGGTTAAAGTCTACTTTAGAAAAGGCGTGGAGCTCCGCGAGCATCGGGCAGGAGTGGGCGTGGCCAGCAGGGGAGAGGGGGAGCGAACAACTGTTGATGTCAGTTAGCTCACAAAATGAGACCAACAGTGAGGAGACGCATGAATTTATAGTTTACAAAGTTAAAATGCAAAGAAATAAACAGTAATTTAATGTCCTGCTACATTTGTTATTCGTAATTTCATATACAAGCAACCACAATTTATATCATTATAAAGATAATCGTGTTCATAAAAACACTATAAATGAGGACTTCTCCCTCAATCCCCGGGTCTGAATCATAGATCTAAATGCAGACTCAGTGGAGCAGGTCTCCTGACCTGTCTATTTTAACCATTAGTCCTGCTGGTAATCAGAGGATTTAGGCAAACACAGCAGCACGGCGATGTGTCTGAATGTGAATGAACTCCTGACACAAGACAACATCCGCCATTCTCCAATTCTCGTGCTGCTCTCCCGACAAAATGCTTGCATCACACACACAGCTTTGCTGTATGATCGGCCCTGACATGATCGCGGAGAAAAAAACATGCAACAAACCCCGTGTATCATGGAAATAAAAGCATATGAGCCTTCATGAACGGCTAAATACTGTGGCGTGTCTCACAGCTCGGGCTTGACTCTGCCAGGTTTAAGCTGGACATAGCTGGTTTTGGCTGGGCTCCCAGCCTGGCTAGGCTGGTCAAGCTGGTTTTAGCTGGATTTAGCTGGTCATTTTCCAGCCTGACCAGCTAAAACCAGGCTGGAAATGGCTGGAAACCAGCCTGGAAGTGGCCAAAACCCCTCTAAAACCAGCCTGGTTGACCAGCTAAAACCAGCCAACCAGCCTAGGCTGGTTTAAGCTGGATTTTTCAGCAGGGGGATCATGGAAACAAACACATACGAGCCTTCATAAACAGCTACTGCGCGTCTGCGTCTGCCTTGCCCTCGGAAAGCATGTGCTGTCGTGCTCTCATGAATAATTAAGCAGGCGGCTCTTCTCATAGGATAAGAAAACTCCGCTTTGAATAATAACGAGAAACTGACGCGTCATCATTGCACTTGCGGTACTTCGCTACGTCGCTGATTTTGATCCCTCCCCAAAAATCATTTTAAACCCGGTAGCTGAAATTAGCTGACAAAAGCTCAAAATTATCCAGTTTTCCCCACAATTAAAGCTGACAGATGCTAACATTGTCTTAACTGATGCTCAACACGCACAAATCTGTTAATATATAAAAAAAAGTTCTTCAGGGTGTCCTGAACCTTTAATAAAACCTGGTTTGAATTTTAGTGACAAAATAATTCAAATAACATAGCATTTAATAATCATTTAACAATGTTTTTAAGACTATAAAAGATACATTATCACAAAGAGGTGTGAAATTTAGTTTTTTCTTTAAAAAAAAACTGCATTAGGATTTTTTTAGGTGAAAACTATCGCATTCTACCTATTTTTTCATGTTTAAAGACTAAGATTATGGGTGAATCTATCAAGATTGCACAGCATAAAGGAATATAAAATCCACTGAAATATACATTTTCCTCTCTTCTCAAACTTTTATAGTCTTAAATAGCATGTATAACATACACTCACAGGCCACTTTATTAGGGACACCCGTCCAACTGCTCGTTGACGCAAAATTCTAATGAGCCAATGGCAGCAACTCAATGCATTTAGGCATGTGGACATGGTCAAGACGATCTGCTGCAGTTCAAAGCAAGTATAAGAATGGGGAAGAAAGATGATTTAAGTGACTTTAAACGTGGCATGGTTGTTGGTGCCAGACAGGCTGGTCTGAGTATTTCAGAAACTGCTGATCTACTGGGATTTTCACACACAACCATTTCCAGGGTTTACAGAGAATGGTCCAAAAAAGAGAAAATTCCCAGTGAGCGGCAGTTCTGTGGGCGCAAAAGCCTTGATACCAGAGGTAAGAGGATAATGGCCAGACTGGTTCGAGCTTATAGAAAGGCAACTGTAACTCAAATAACCACTCGTTACAACCGAGGTATGCAGAAGAGCATCTCTGAATACACAACACGTCCAACCTTGAGGCAGATGGGCTACAGTAGCTAAAGAGCACATCGGGTGCCACTCCTGTCAGCTAAGAATAGGAAACTGAGGCTACAATTCCCACAGACTCACCAAAATTGGACAAGAGAAGATTGAGAAATGATTGCCTGGTCTGATGAGTCTCGATTTCTGCTGCGACATTCGGATTGTCCGGTTATAATTTGGCATCAACAACATGTACGCATGGATCCATCCTGCCTTCTATCAACAGTTCAGGCTGGTAGTGGTGTAATGGTGGGAATATTTTCTTGGCACACTTTGGGCCCATTAGTACCAATTGAGCATCGTGTCAATGCCACAGTCTACCTGAGTATTGTTGCTGACCATGTCCATTCCCTTATGACCACAGTGTAGCCATCTTCTGATGGCTACTTCAAGCAGGATAACAGACCATGTCATAAAGTTTAAACAATCTCAGACTGGTTTCTTGAACATGACAATAAATTCACTGTACGCAAATGGCCTCCACAGTCACCTGAACTCAATCCGATACCTTTGGGATGTGGTGAAACAAGAGATTCGCATTATGGATGTGCAGCTGACAAATCTGCAGCAACTGCGTGATGATATCATGTCAATATGGACCAAAATCTCAGAGGAATATTTCCAGTACCTTGTTAAATCTACGCCATGAAGGATTAAGGCAGGTCTGAAGGCAAACGGGGGTCCAACCCGGTACTAGTAAGGTGTACTTAATGAGTTTATATCACAATTAGGCTACATTACATTTGGTTTAAATCTAATTAGCTTTCTGAGTAAAAAAAAAAGACATCCAACCCTTAATTTCCTACGGTGCATATTAAGACAAAAACTCATGTGATTGCTGATTGATATTCTAACAATTACTTTTAGTCCACAGCTTCCTATTTACTTTGAAACACAAAAGGATGAGCTGAACCTGTCCATTGTATAAACAGATACACAAACTTTTGATCCACAAAAAAGGCATAGCAAAAGTGATACAGGAAGTTAGATGATGTAATGATGTGTCATGTATAAAACAGAATCAATGCTGAACTACTGCACGGCAACGTGATGGGTATTGTTGTATGAATTTTGACAGGATTACCAATCATTTATGACTTATGAAAATAAAGCATGGATCTGGAGAGTACCAAAAACACAAATGTAATAGCTGACTTGTAAAACAAGGTATTTTTTGGAGCGCACCTCTACTTTGCTTTAATTAGAGTCATCAGTACATCATCAGTACACAATTACAGGAATTTTCTCAGCACAGCACAATCGACATTCACGAGAATTTGGGGAGGTAAACCTCTTGTAGATTCTCTCATTCAGAAATTCATTGAAAACAATTCTTTCATTAAGGGCAATAGAAATTATAGAACTTCCACAGCTATATAAACCAAACCACTTTTCTTAGAATCCTGAATGAGAGAGTTTCCCCAATTCGAGGACTTATCAATGAGGAAGTGAGAGCAAAGCATGCAGATCACACACAGAATTTCTCCCATGAATATGAACCATTTGTGACTGATAAGCTGCTGACTTTATACCGTGGATTTTTTTTTTATCTTGTTTCTTTTGAAGCTACTACAGGCCCATAGCCAGGGGGGTTTGGGTGATTCTAAAGACCCACCCCTCACTGACAAACATCTATAGTTTTTCCCCATACATGAGCTCATTTGTCCTATTTTAATTGCTATGCCATCATAAATAGTGAAAATAACCAATTGAAAAAGGTTTTATGACCAAGTGAAATCCTCTGTTGGCTGTCGCTTCAGTGTGACTTCAGTTAATCAGTTTTGTCCAATGCACACAATTATTTTTCACGAGTTCAACATCCAGCTGTGCAGTAAAACATACAATCTGACGTAAGTGAAGTCATCTTTTGCTACTGTATTGTTTTTAAATAGAGAAAATATTCTACAAGTAACTTTTATTCTAAATCTTGGACCTTATTCTTGAAACAAAAAATTACCAATGAATAGGTTTGACGCAATAAAAGTGACCAATATTAAAATGAATTTCAATAATAATTTGGCTATTGATGTTATCCATGAATTTTCAAATGTACTTTTTTGGTAATATGACCACCCAACAAGCTATTTCAGCTGAAATCGAGCCTAAATGAGGCCTGTAACTGCAAAAAGGTCCACTTTTTGAGAAAAAAGAACCATCCCTTTCACCAGGCCGGCCACAGCCCTGAACTACACTACTCATAGACTGTAAAAAAAAGTAGTAATTCATTAATAAATACCTATAGCATTGGAATTTTTCCATATCAGCCATTTTTTTTATTGATTTATATTTTGTTTGTGTAATTAGACGATAAACTAAAGTAAATTGTATTAAGAAATGCCCTCATGTCTTTGGGTCACACCATTAAGTTACAACATTAGGTTATACTGATTTTTTGTGAAAAAATAAGACGTTTCTAAAGAATTAAATATAGATTATTTACTAAATTAAATGTTTCAAAGACTAAATGACTGACAGATGTTTAAATATTTCATCTGTGACACAGTTAAAGCGCCGGTTGAGGATACCGGAAGCAGATTAGGCTTACCCGGAAGTGCGCGGTTGTTTTTGTTTTGAATGAAGCGAGTAGCATGAGCATATGGATACGAGGATAACTATAGTCTAAAGGTATGATTTATCTTGTACAAATATTAAAAGAAGGACTTGTAATACTCTTTCTGAAATGCTGTCGAAAGCTAAATGAAACCGTACACAAGTGCCAGTCGTCATATGCACAGGAAAATGTCATGCACGCCAGTTCATAGAATAATGTCATGCAGGCCAATTTATATTGTACCATAATTATCTTGTAGTGCACATAGACACTATTACAAACATTGATTATGTAACTTCCAGCTTGTTTACGTGGATTAGTTAACAAGCAGGGAAGTTTGATTGTGTTTCAAAAAGTGAGCTGTCTAACGTTACCTAAATCAGTGTTGTTGTCGTCTAGTCTCTTGTTAGGCTAAACTAAAGATATAAAGATATATGCTTGGCAGCTCAGTGGGTTTAAGAAGCTGCTATGAAGTCTCTATGACAGCTTGAAAATTCTCACGCAAATTGAGAAACCATTTGTCAGTTCTTTCAGTTTCTCTGGATTTATAAGTTATGATTTTGAGTAAAATCTTTATAGTTATTTCATTATTTGGAGGTCAGATAACATTTCCTTCAATTGTTATCATTTAGAACAGTTCAATAAAGAAACTGTCCATTTCACCCCCACAATATGTTTATTTATTTGTTGTGTTAAACACATATGTTTGAGTAAACTATTGATGGCACTTCTTCCAGTCAGGTAAGATTATGTTCATATATATATATATATATATATATATATATATATATATATATATATATATATATATATATATATATATATATATATATAATTTGTGTGTGTATGTATGTATGTATGTGTGTGTGTGTGTGTGTGTGTGTGTGTGTGTGTGTGTATATATATATATATATATATATATATATATATATATATATATATATATATATATATATATATATAAACTCATAAATCCATAGAAACTGAACCTTTTTGTGCATGTAATGATAATAAAAATAATTCCTTTTATATAGCGCTTTTCTGGACACTCAAAGCCAAAGCCACACATTTTTTGGGGGGGGATCTCCTCATCCACCACCAGTGTGCAGCATCCACCTGGATAACACAACCAGCTGAGTGGTGGAGAGGAAACAGAGGGATGAAGCTAATTACAATATGGGGATGGTTAGGAGGCCAGTGGTCAAATTTGGTCAGGATTAAACCCCTACTCCAGGGGTGGCCAACCCTGTTCCTGGAGAGCCAGCTTCCTGCAGATTTCAGTTGCAACCCTTATCAAACACACCTGCCAGTAATTATTACGTGGTGTTCAGGTAGTAACTAATTGGTTCTGGTGTTTTTGATATGGGTAGCAACCGAAATCTGCAGGAAAGTGGCTGTCCAGGAACACAGGAACATGGTTGGCCACCCCTGCCCTACTCTTTTTCAAAGGACATCCTGGGATTTTTTAATGACCACAGAGAATCAGGTTTAACATTTCACTGCGGCACTCACTGAGCAGTATAGAGTACCTAGCAATATACTGCGCATTAGGACCCACACAGGCCGCAGGGTTGAGCTCCCCCTGCTGTTTTCACTAACACCACTTTCAGCAGTAACCTATCTTTCCCATGTGGTCTCCCATCCAGGTACTGACCCAGCGCAGCCTTGCTTAGCTTCAGTGGACGACCATGTGAGAGCTGCAGTGAGCTAGTTGCCGGCAGATGTAGTTTTAATTAACTGCTGTGATGTTTCATGCTAATAACATTTCTAGAAACATTCAGTTTTCAATAATTACTTTACTGATAAAACAAACAGCAGAAGTATTAGTAAAATGTATATTAATAAAAAATTATCTTGTAAATTAATTATAAAACAAGCAAGAACAATATAATTATGTAAAGATATATGTGTATATTATGTATCTTAATCCAAAAGTATAGAAGAATAAAAAAATACTAAGCTTATGTCCATATTTTAAGAAGGAACTGGAAACAGAGCAGTGAAACGGGCCATGAAACCAATCATTTATGAGGAAAAATAAGGACAGTAAAATGATCAGTAAATAAATACTTTTGGTTGATGTGTTGGGAATACTCATGTGAAAGCATACAAACAGGAAAATATATATATAAGGGACCTAAATTACTTAATTTCACAATTTTTTTTTGTACCCCATCAGCACCGTCCTCATGATGAACTTCGAGGGTCTGGACCCGGGTTTGGGCGATTATGCGCCTGGCCTGCATGGTGGCCTGGAGCCCGGTCTGGACTCTTCCCTGGACCCGCGGCTCGACCCGGCGCTACTGCAGGGTGTGGAGATCGACCCCGATGGGCTGGCTGTGTCAGAGTCTGTGCACATAGTGGAAGGCATGTACTCGGAGTTGCACAGCGTGGCAGCTGAAGTCGGGATCCCTGTGACAGCCACACACTTCGATCTGCAGGAGGAGTTGCTCTGGATGGGGAACCACCGGGTGAAGAGACACATTCATTACTGTTTTTACACTGCTGCATGATTGTTTAGAATGCTACGATTATTTTGGGGTGTTTGGAAGTGTGTTATGCTCATCAAAGCAATTATTTGATCAAAAATACATTATGTAACGTAAAATCTATTTTATAATTTAAGTGTACTGTTTCTTTTTTCAAACTTTAAAAAAATATTTATTTATTTTTGTGATGGCAAAGCAGAATTTTAGGCCTTCAGATGATGCTGAAGTAATTATCATTTTTTTATGAATTAATCATTATAAGTGCTCAGTTTTAAAGAGATGGTTTACACAAAAAGGTAAATTTGTTGGTAATTTGAAGTGAAGTGAGCTTTTACTAGCTCTCAGATTTTGAAATGTTTTAAAATAAGCCTCTCCTGCTCACCAAGGCTGCATTTATTTAATTAAAAATACAGTACAAATTGTGAAATGTTATTGCACTATAAAATAACTGTTTAAAAGTAGTTTATCAATTAATTTAATAATTTATTCCAGTGATTTTAAAGAGGAATTTTCAGCTTCATTACTCCATTCTTCAGTCACATGATCCTTACAAAGTCACTCTAATATTAATTATTATTATTATCATTATTAATATTACTATTATTATTACATTAATAATAATTGAATGATAATACTAATATATATATATATATATATATATATATAATTTTTTTTATCATTTGCTTTATTGGGTTCATCTTAGGTCAGACAAAAAATAACACTTTAAATAGAATAAGAAATAATATTCATACATATATGCATAAAATGCCATAAAAATCAGGCACTGATACATTTCACCAAACATGTAATTATCAGGAAAACATAATTATACACTAAATAAGTATAGAAATAATAAGGTTAAATATCACATATATACATAAACACATACATGCATAAGATAACATTAGCCCCTATTTTTGTTTAACAGAGAGAAGATTTTTTCAACACATTTCTAATCATATTAGTTTTAATAACTCGTTTCTAATAACTGATTTCTTTTATCTTTGTCATAATGACAGTAAATAATATTTGACTAGATATTTTTCAAGACACTTTCATACAGCTTAAAGTGACATTTAAAGGCTTAACTAGGTTAATTAGGTTAACTATGCAGGTTTGGGTAATTAGGCAAGTTTTGTATAACGATGGTTTGTTCTGTAGACTATCGAAAAAAATTAAGCTTAAAGGGGCTAATAATATTGACCTTAGAATGTTTTTTTTTTAATTAAAACTGTAAATTTTATTCTAGCCAAATAAAAAGACTTTCTCCAGAAGAAGAAATATTATCAGACATACTGTGAAAAATTCCTTGCTCTGTTAAACATCATTTGGAAAATATTTTCAAAAGAAATAAAGTTTAAAGAGGGGGTAATAATTCTGGCTTCAACTTCATGCAGAGGAAAAAATTAAGATTTAATGATTTAAGCTTTTTTTTCTTCTTCAGTAGGAAAATAAAAAATCTTTTTTGAAAGAGTAATATATATATATACAGAAAAAAGTGTGACTGCTGATGATACATAAAGGTCTTATGAAGTGAAATGATTAATCCCTTAAAGAATTTAAACATTGTTTCCTGCATCTTGAATGGCCTAATTGAGAGTAGGTTAACACTAAATTTTTTAATTTTTGGACGAACCGTCACTTTATTAATGGTGCTTGTTATATTTAATTCTAATAGTAGTTTTTTAGCTTTGCAATTTTATAAAATATCTATTCAGTCACTTTTGATCAGTTTAATCTGTCTTAGCTAAAAGTTTGTTTTATATTAAACTATTACACTCACTCTAAACATTTGAATATAAACAAATCAAGATTTTTTTTCCAAAAAAAAGTTTAATAAACACAAAATTCACACATTATATTGATTCTGTAAGGACACTGAGGACTGGCAATTCAGCTTTCCATAACAGGAATAAACTACATCCTAAAATATATTCGGTCACACTTTACAATAAGGTTCATTAGTTAATGTTACTTAATGCATTTACTAACATGAGCGATACATTTACTACAGTATTTGTTCATGTTATTTACGTTAGTTATGAAAATTCAGTTGTTCATTGTGAGTTCATGTTAACTCACGGTGCATTAACTAATGTTAACAAGCATGAGTTTGGATGTTAATAATGCATTAGTAAATGTTCAATTATGATTAATAAATGCTGTACATGTGTTGTTCATGATTAGTTCATGTTAGTAAATGCATTTACTAATGGACCTTATTGTAAAGTGTTACCATATATTAAAATAAAAAAATAGCTCTTTTAAATGATATTATTTCAAAAACAATTTTTTTTCATCATACTTTCCATGAAATAAAAGCACCCAGGTGAGACTTCTTTCTAAAACATTATTAAACAAAATCTTTATTAATCATGCAGTGTGTATCATCTGTACACTCTCAGAGCTATAAAATCAAGCAATCTCCCTCAGTAGTGTTTTCTCCAAAAATTCTGCATGAATGAATAAATGCTTCTATTGAAGTTGGAAGATTTAAGGCTAAAGTTTATTCTCGCTCCAAAAATCCAGCTGTGGTTTTGAAAGTGGTCTGCCGCATCATCTCTGATGTACTTCCACATTGAGGTGATGTCACTTTATTCGTGAGTAGGAGCTGCATTACTGACTTTGGGTGTGTTTGCTTTTGTTCTTTCCTGTTTCGTAACAGGGACACGCGAGTTCCTTCTTTGGGCCGACAATGGGCCGCTACTCGTCTTTCCAGGTGCACATGACTGACGACATTCGCCATATCCAGAGTATGGACACGGGGGTGCTGTTCCTGACCAAAAACAACCTCAGATGCCTCACACGAGGAGGTTTTATCATGTTTGATTATCCGTGAGTTGCACACCTATAGTAAATGCATACAATTTACATTTAAAAAACTGGAAAATTAGGTAACCGCGTCTTTTAAATTACGATGAACTACTTTTAATTCATTAACAAATGCATTTGTAATATATGAGCCTATTGAAGTATTAATATAAGAATTGCACCGCTGTAATACAGAGACAAAAACAATTCTAGGTGATGATGAGGAAGTCAAATGAACCAAACTCATCACAAACAGCATTTCCACATGCTGAAAAACATACTAATATGTACTACTAAACATGTCTTGTTAACACTCAAGGCACTAAAGCAGAGATGCCCAAACTAGGACCCGCCGGCCAATGTTGGCCCATGGTAATATTTATTTTGTCCCACCATCCTATCAGAGAAGAGAGGGAGAATGATAGTTGAATATTCATTTCAAATTTAATGTAATCTTTTATTTGTTTGTTTTATTGGTTAGCTACCAAAAAGGTAGCTGAAATTAAATGTTGTAATTTAGTTTATAATGTGTATAATGTCACCTGATAGATAAAGGACAATGCAGAGACTTTGAGCAAATCATAGTAAAGGCAGATTCTGCTTGTCTAGTAGTGTTTTCAGCATTGAACTCCCCTGTGTTTTAAATGTGATTGTTTATGTTTTTATTGCAATAAGTTATCATTAAAAAAGTAATACTGCCTTAGTTAATACGATTCAAAGTGCTGTCTTTCTAATTATTTTTAAATATTATTAAATAAATTGCCCCTTGTAACTTTAAAGTAAAGTAGTTTGGTATATTAATCAATCATCTTTATATTTAATATTTATATATGAATATTTATCATATCAATCATCATAGTTTGGTATATTATATTTATCGGCCCAAGGCTCTCAATGATATTTGGTTTATGGCCCTTTCTATGAAAAAGTTTGGGCACCCCTGCACTAAAGTAATGCAATGAAAATTATGTTAACATTATTAAGCTGTAATGTGTATAACTAAGGAGGTAACGTAAAATTAATTATAGTTATTTCAACAAAAATGTCATAGTAATTTTTAAGTGTCAGGCAGAGAGTTTTAGGAAATTGTTATTGTTCTTTTTTAGTATAGAACTTTTTATTGTAATTTTATTGTAACACTTTTATAAGTCTTTTCAATTAAAGCCATGTTCAACTTTTGCAGTGTACACTACCTGACTAAAGTCTTGTCACTTATCCAAGTTTTAGGAACAACGAATAATAACTTGACTTCTAGTTGATCATTTGATTTCAGAAGTGGCTTAAATGAAAGACAAAGGCCTCTAGATTACACTTATTTTACCAAAATAAATTATGATCATGCTTTGATTTTTAATTATTTTATTAGGACAGTAAGGTCTGACTTTGCTGGGCAGCACTAATGATACCTTGATACCTCAGGCCATTGGTGTTGCCATCCACTCTGCAGATCTCTTGCGTGTCCTCATACTGAATGTAATAGGATGCAGTTCAACAGATGATTCATCAGAAAAATCGACCTTCTGCACTTTTCCAAATGATCAACTAGAAGTCAAGTAATTATTTGTTGCTCTTACAACTGGGATCAACGACAAGACTTTTGTCATGTAGTGTACATTTATCACATTAATGCAGGTATAATCTCAGAACTCAGAGCATAATGTTATAAAATGCAGGCATACACTGTGTCTAGTGCAATACAAGGTTTTATGTTCTTGTGTTTGCCAGTGTGTGAGTGTTTATTCGTGCATTTTGTTTTCAGAATGGAGGAGGGTGCTGACATGCACAGCTTGATTCTTACTGAAAATAACACCTTGTTAATGGGAGGCCTGCAGAACTATGTGGCTGAACTGGACCTCACCACAGTGCAGGAAACTCAAAAAGTAAGATGCCTGCTGTTTTTCTTTTATAAATACTGTTGTTGTTGTTGTTGTTGTTGTTTTAAAAAAAGATAAAAAAGAATTATTTAAAATGCAATAAATGTCATTTGTGTGTTTAACATTTTTAACATTTATCTATATTTATTTATGGTTTAATTGTTTATTATGTTTAATTTATGGTTTCCCACTGATGGGTTGCAGCTCGATTTGTGCATTTTATGTATATACTTAATATATACTTTATATATAATACTTAATAAATGCACAGTACACATTTCTTGTAAATACAAAATGTATGGTATATCAGCCTGATCTCACGAGGAAACGTAACTATTGTAGGTTTCGTCAGTTTAGTGGCTAATTCATACAAAAATTTACCATTTTTAAAAGTATGCATGGCACCAAACCCCGTCCTTAAACCCAACCATCATTGGGGGATGAGTAAATCATACTAATTTGGACAAATGAGATTGTACGAATTCATACGAATTAGCCACTAAATCAAAAAGTTACGAATTGCCGTTAGATAGCATGTGTTTATTCATCCAGTAACAGGGTAATTTTTCTGCATGTTTTTGCACTTCTTTTCTAATTTCTTTTTTGCTGTCACTCTAGTTTACTGTTGAAGTGCCTGGTGTCGCCATCATGAGACAAACTAGTCGTTTCTTCTTTTGTGGTCACACATCTGGCAAGGTGAGTGCAGCAGCTGAGCGAAAATGGATGTGGAACAAATAGTTTCCTCCTTTCGCTTTTCCCACAGAATAGAGGGATGTGGTGTATAAAAAGTTTTGCCCTTAGCTCATGTGGGAATGTGCTGCCTACACTTCAGCTGTAAACACAGGTATAATACATATGGGCTTTTTCCTTTTGTTTATTTACACAATCCTCGTTTTCTCAGCTCAGACTAGCCGGTGGCTGGAATTTTCATCTTGTCCACAAAATTAAGTGGAAGAGCTTTTTCGTGCATGGATTTATCTGTCTCACCACGTCAGCTAAAACATCACTTTCATTAAAATCATGCAAAAAGATTAAGGTCTTTCATTAGTAACCGAAGTTACTTTCATTTGCCAAGATTTTTCCTATATCACAATATGTCCTATTAAATTACATTTTCTTCTGAGCCAAAAAAAAAAACAAGTTTTGATGCTAGTTTTACCATTATTTACAAAAGATGCATCCATAGTTTATATTGTAAAAAAATCTTACCAGGCATATTTAGAGCAAAGATTATTTTATGACACTGAAAACACTGTATTTAAGGATCACAGTTCATCCTAAAATACAAATTTATTTTCCTTTAAATTATTATTTTTTTTACTTTTAAACTATCCTTTTTACCAATTTGTCTTTAAAAAGCTTTTAATAACTTAAAATGTAATGCTAAAAAAAGGTAATATGACCACTAGCACAGTTCAGAATAAGTATGTTCCTTCATTTATACATAAATATATTATTTGGCCCAATATTCGAAGGCAAAATAAATAAATTAAGTGAGGTTAGAGGAGGAACTTTTACTTTTAATTAAAAAAAAATATATTTCTCAAATTATGTTGAACAGAGCAAGGTAATTTTCACAGTATTTCCTATTATATTTTTTCTTCTGGAAAAAAGTGTTGTTTCTTTTAGTTCGACTGGAATAAAAGCAGTTTTACATTAAAAAATACAATTTTGAAGGTTTTTATTTCAGCCCATTTCCCCCCAAATGGCTACAGAAAAAAACACTTAACCAATAGCTTACTTAAATACCCTAACCTGCCTCATTATTTTAGTAATCTAGTAAAGCCTTTAATTTGATGACATGTTAAGGATCACAGTTCACCCATAAAATATTGATTTATTTTCCTTTAATTTAATTTACTTCTTCATTATCCTTCAAAGGACAGGTTTCCCCCATTTGTCAGCAAAAAGCTTTTAATCATTTAAAATATAGTAAAATTAATATCACTAGTGCAGGTACATACATATAAGTATGTTGCTTCATTAATACTTGAATATATTATTTGACCATATTGTGACATTTTATTTTCACAAAAGTAAACAGTTGAAGGCAAAATGAAAGAATCAAGTGATGTTAGAGCGAGGCAATGATCACAGTATTTTCTTTAATTTTTCTTATGGAGAAAGTCTTGTTTCTTTTAGTTTGGCTGGAAGTTTGGAGTTTTTCAATTGACTGCAGAACAAAATACCATTACCCAATAACTTGCCTAATTAACCCAACCTGCCCAGTTAACCTAGTAATCTAGTAAAGCCTTTAATTAGCACTCAAGCTGAATACCAGCATCTTCCAAAACAACTAGAAAAACATCACAGCATATACAAAAGAAATTAGCATCTATTCTTCCATTTAGTTGTCTCTTACGTCAATCTATAGATTATGAATGCTTCCTCTTACCTATGTTTTTTCAAAGTACGTAAAAAATATTGACACCCTTTACTGTGTTACCGTAATATTTAAAGTGTATTGTAATCCTTGGAAAAGAATCTCTTAATGGTCATTTGTGCATTGTTTGTTGTAGGTGTCTCTTCGTGATCTGCGCACGTTTAAAATGGAGCACGAGTTTGATGCATTCTCCGGCAGCCTGTCTGATTTCGACATTCACGGTAACCTGTTAGCGGCATGTGGTTTCTCAAGTCGCGGTCTGAACGGGCTGTCCTGTGATCGGTTCCTCATGGTGTACGATCTGCGCATGATGAGGGCCGTCACCCCATTGCAGGTCCACGTGGACCCCCTATTCCTCCGCTTTATCCCCACATACACCTCCCGCCTGGCCATCATTTCACAAACAGGTATGATGCACATGTGTCTCTGTCTGAAGTGATGTTTATCCAGCTATTATCTCTGAAAGCGACTGTTAAAGTTGTAATGTAATGACATAAAGAAGAATCTTCATGAAAAATACAGTCAAAAATGACACCAAACACAACATTTAGACACTAAACACAATATTTTTCTTGTATCTTTTGCAAAATACTATTGTTTTCATAAGTAGGAGAGGATAGCAGAAGTATAAAAAGTGACATATTATAACCAACATTTGTTCATACCAGTAAGAAAACTGACTGAACAAAAGCAAAAGGGATTTTTTGTGTAAATATTGTCTTATAGATGATTGTAATCCATTACAAACTGTATCTATCAAAAATTCATCTGACAATAACAGGATTATTTAGCTCTAATTTCTAGTTTAGCTGTAAGTTCTTGTCATAATTTGGCCCTATTTTTGAAACTATAGCAAATTAACTGTGATAATGTGAGAAATCTTGAAGAGGTGTCTAAATAATATTTGGTTTAACTGTATGTGGGATAGTATTTGTGTTTGGGGATTTTTATTCGGAGCTTGCCTGTTTATTCTATAGTATTCTTCTTCCGTCTTCAGTTGTTGCTTAATCAAATTTTTCAGAAGCTCACTAATATTATATGAGGATATTTTTTGTGGCTTCTTCTGACATGTCTATACTGGATGTAAAAGTTCTACCTTGTTTTCATTTCTGCTTTGGCTCTTCTCATATTGTCCACATTTTTACTTGGTAGGTCACGTGAAGTGATTTTGCTGAATGTGCCGAACAACGGTCCGGCCGTGTATTGCAATTTCCTCGCTTTAAAACATATATTTTAAATTCTGTTTGCGAGTTCTGAAATAAAAGAGTCTTTTAAAGAGAACTTTTTAAGTACAAATGAAGCTCTAATCACAAAAAATAAAGTAACTGATAACAAAAGTTTGTAACCTTGTCCTCACATACAAATCTATGATGTCATAGATCTTAAACTACGTTACATTTAAGTGAAATTTGAGTCAAATAAGTCAAATTAAAACCGTAATACTGAATACTGTTTTTTTTTGCCTTGAATTAAAATGAACTGAAAATTAACCAAAATAGTAGGAAATGTAAACATACTTTGACTGAAATAAAAAGTAATTATTAAGACATTCAAACATGATTTAATACCATTAACTGATGATATATACGGTTGAAGTCAGAATTTTTAGCCCCCCTTTGATTTTTTTTTCTTTTTTTTAAATCTTTTCCAAATTATGTTTAACAGAGCAAGGAAAATTTCACAGCATGTCTGATAATATTTTTTCTTCAGGAGAATATCTTATTTGTTTTATTTCAGCTTTTTATTACAGAGCAAACCATTGTTATACAATAACTTGCCTAATTACCCTAACCTGCCTAGTTAACCTAATTAACCTAGTTAAGCCTTTAAATGTCACTTTAAGCTGTATGGTCTTGAAAAATATCTAGTCAAATATTATTTACTGTCATTATGGCAAAGATAGAAATAAATCAGTTATTAGAAATGAGTTAATAAAACTATTATGTTTAGAAATGTGTTGAAAAAATATCTTCTCTTTGTTAAACAGAAATTGGGGAAAAAAATAAACAAGGGGGCTAATAATTCTGACTTGGTCATTTCTAGCATTTGGGGATGTGAGATTTACTCGTTTTGTTGTTTTGAGAGTGTTAGAATGAATATCACCCATAGGCTCTTCCCTCCTTTGGAAAGCAGCAGCTCATTTGCAATTAAAAAGAACACACAAAACATACGTGTTTTCAAACCCGAATAAGGGCAATTTTTAAAGCTATAATAAATGATTCATGGGGTATTTTGAGTGGAAACTTCACAGACAAAATTCTGAAGAAGCGTAGTACTGTATGCTCGCTTTAAAGTACATATGAAATCAAAACTAACCATATTGATTTTGCTAGCTTACATCCCTATAGTTTTGTACTGAACAATTCATCTGTGCATGTCATTTAGAAAATATTTTTCCATTTTAATCTTTAATTGAAATCTGAAAGCGCACTTCCTGTTTGTTTTCAATAAAAAAAACTTCAGATTTCTGTCTGCGGTATTGGGGTGTGTCTAACATACTTAACCACACCCCTTCAACTTTCAGTTTTGACGTGGCTATGACAGCATACAGAAATGGTGAGGAGGAAGTGCCTGTTAGTTTGTAAGAACTCACCTGAAACCCTTTTCCCGATCTTTCTGAGTGAAATGCTTACTTCTACATCCAATCATCTTGAGGTACAAACAACAAGCCACGCCCACTTTTTATGTGTCATAGTATGAAAAAAAGAACATTTAAAGTCCACATGAACTAGAAGCTGTGAAGCTCCATTTTTTCATATTGTGATGCAGTTCCTAGAGAAACGGAATATCAAATGAGTAAACAGTGGGCGTGGCTTGTTTCTTTAATTTCAAGCTGATTGGATGTAGTAAAGTAATCATTTCACTGAGAAAGATCTGGAAAAGGAATTCAGGAGAGTTCTTACAACCTAGCAGACACCTCATCCTCACCATTTCTGTTTGTTGTTAAAACATACAATTGGAGGGGCGTGGTTAAGTATGTTAGCCACGCCCACTACCTTAGACAGACATAATCTGAGAATTGACTGAAAACAAACAGGAAGTGCATTTTCACATTTCAGTTTAAGCTTTCAATTTTAATCGATTAAAATTTCTTAATGACACGCACAGATGAAATGTTCACAACAAAACTAGCAATGTGAGCTAACAAAATCAACATGGTTAGTTTGGATTCATGTGAACTTCAATGTCTTGCAGGTCAGTGTCAGTTCTGTGAGCCCACCGGCCTGGCCAGCCTGGCTGATATCTTCCACGTCAACACAGTGGGCCAGCTGCTGATGAGCTTTGACGTGTCCTCCAGCAAGCAGGCTCTGTCATTCGGGGACTCGGGCGGCTGTGTGCATCTGTGGTCCAGCGCCCCTGAGGTGTCCTATAACAGCTACTCTAGAGACACAGAGCTGGCGCTGCCCTGCCTGGTGGACTCACTGCCGCAGATGGACTGGAACCACGAGCTGATGCCTCTGTCTCTTCTGCCAATGCCTCTCACCAGCACTGAGCCTCTGCTGTCTGACTGGCCCACCGCCCTCATCGCACCCAGCCCCAGGTATAACTGAGCTTAAATGGTTATATGTGCAGCTGTGGCGAAAAAATTAGTTCTGCATCATTTCCATTAGCGTTGCTAATATCTTCTTTTGTGTTAAACAGAAGAAAGAAACTCAAACTTGCTTGGAATAACAATGAGTACAGGATGACGTGGTTTTTATTTTTGTGTGAACTATCCCTTTTAAATTACTTAATGAAAATACAGTTGTCCATTGTAAGTTCTTATGAACTCACAGTGCATTAGCTAATGTTTGGCACAATTTTGGATGTAAATATTTATTAAATGTTAAACTGATTTGATGATTAATTGATGTAGTACAAATAATGGTCATTCAAACACTAACAAGCATTAAATAATGTTAACTTATTGTAAAGTGTGATTAGATAAACTGCTATTTTGTAAAAAAAAAAAAAAAAAAAAAAAAAAATATATATATATATATATATATATATATATATATATATATATATATATATATATATATATATATATATATATATATATAAATATGTAATTTTCTTGTGTAGTGCCTATTTTTGTAAAAAAAATCTGGATTGTTCATGCATAAATACATATTTTCATAATGTGCACGATATATTCATTCCATATTTCATTTCTGAACATACCTGTGTGTCAGAGGCTTATTGTGTAATACTGCCCCCTGCAGTACATTTCTGTAAATGTGCTCAATCTATTATGATATGCTTTTGGTATTTTCATTTAGTAGAGATGTATATTTATTGTAATTTTTCTTGCATCTCTTTTCCATGCCAGTTTTCTTTACACAGTTTTTGGACAGTAAATCTCTTAACAAATGACATTTTTTGGGGATGTTTATGGATGTTGATGTGTTTGTTTCACTGTCAGACGAGCGCCTCCAGTAGACCCAGAGATTCTGAGGACAATGAAAACTGTGGGATTTATTGGATACGCACCAAATCCTAGAACCCGTCCCAGAAACCAGGTAATTTTTCAAAATACATGGCAAGGCAAGTTTCATACACAATGGTATAAGAATATACCATTAAATATAATAAAAAATATAAACAAATAAAAAATGATTCAAAACAGATTAAAATGTGTTAAAATAGGTTTTAAAGGAGTAAAAAAAGAGAAAGACATAATAGTGTGATCTGTCAGACGTAGCACAGTGCTCATTCAGTAAAAGCACAGCTAAACAGATGTGTTTTAGGTGTTGGTTTGAATTTAACTAATGTTGGAGGAAGCACATTTGATCATTTCTGGAAGCTGATTCCAGCAGCACCGGGGGACGGGGGTGCAGTAGCTGAAAGCGGATTCACCCTGCTTTCACTGAACTCCTGGAATTTCTAATTTACTTGATCCTAACGATTTGAGGGATCTGTTAGGTTTGTATTTAATGAGCATATCCCTAATGCAATGAGCTCCTTGGCCATTAAGTAATTTACAGACAAGGAATAACACTTTCAAATTTATTCTGAATGTAACTGGGAGCCAGTGTAAAGACCTGAGGACAGGTGTAATGTGCTCTAATGTTCTGGTTCTGGTCAAAATCCTGGCAGCAGAGTTCTGGATGAGCTGCAACTTTCTGACTGTCTTTTTGAGAAGGCCAGTAAGGAGTCCATTACAGTAATCCACCCTGCTGCTGATAAAAGCATGAAGAAAAAATACGAAGTTGGTTCTTTGTATATATCCTAAACATGAAGAACTTTAATATTTTTTAAAAAGTATCACTAATTAAGCATGCATGATCACTATACTCTTAATCAGTATTGTTTTTCATATTCTGTAAGAGGGAAGTCATGTCATACAGTAATGTAGCTGTGTCATTTTTTGTTGATGCGTCATTCATTTCAGTGCAGTAATGCTGTGTAACCAGTATCTTGATCCTCTTTTTTTTTGCCAGGTTCCATATAAGATAAAAGATGTCGAGCTTGACTATGACAGCTATAATCAGGTGCCGGAGTCTCCCATTGGTCGAGACGAGGAGCCACATCTTTACATGGTGCCAAAGAAATACAGGAAGGTAGTGATGAGCTATTGTTGTGCATAATCCTGTTCCGCATCATCCAAATAATGACACACCACTAGAGCTATTTTGCACATTACAGGTGTTTGTGTGCAAGTTATTTTTAGATCAGATGATGTTGAACCTTTTTTGGAAGCGTAAAGGAAGTGGTTGCACGCAACACATTAGTTTATTATTGCAGTAGTATTCGTTTAATTCTGCAGTAATATTAATCATTTATCACAGTGTCGTGTTGGAGGCTCAGTGGTGATTGTCATGTTTGTTATTTACATCTGAAATATTCTACCATTCTGAAGTGACAGAATTTTTATATTTTATGCCAGGTGACCATTAAATATTCCAAACTGGGACTGGAAGACTTTGATTTTAAGCACTATAATCGGACTCTGTTTGCTGGTCTGGAGCCTCACATACCCAACGCTTACTGTAACTGTATGATCCAGGTAAAAATATGAAACTACACACATCCACACATTCAGTCAATCAAACACACACACACACACAGTTATGCCTTTAAAAATATACAAATAAACACACACACACACCCACATGGAATGTTTTTAAAACATTTGTTAGTCTGAGCAGTTGTCCTAAAAATTGTACTTTTATAGACACATTTTTGGGGAAAAAAGCTCTAAATTACAAGAAATGTTATCAGAGTTTATCGAATGAAACAAATATTACAACTCCACAGTCCTCAAACCCATACCTGAGTTTGTAACTTATTTCTTTAAATATTTATCTTATTTATAAGAATTGTTTTAACAAAAATTGCTCTGGCTCTAGTTATTCATCTAACTGTTCTAAGACTAAAATAAAATACAGTAAGAACTGTACAGGCATTTAAAAACAGTTAAAAAAATTACAAAAACAACAAAATTACTACCACTTTTTATATTTATTCTAATTGTATATATCCATATATAATCATTCTAAATAAATACTTAATAGTCTTTTTTATACTTGTATATATGCTTGTCTCAGTTTTCACTGAATTAATAAACAACACAACTGGTTTAAACATTGATTATTATATATATAAATAATAAATTTATAACTAAACTATAAATAAATAAACTAAACTAATATATGAGCAATATCACATATCACACGAGTAGCAATGCTATATGGCTGAATGTCAGCACTGGTGGGAGGTGTGCGCTGCTTAGTGTCTCACCATACATACAGCCATATCGCACTTGTGTGATATTGTGTTTATACAACAGTTTGACGCACAATCGTGTATATAGAAAAGAAAATCTAACGCAGAGAGTCTAAAAATCCTTAGGAACAACTTTTTTTCCGCCATTCACATCTACAGCTGACGTCAAAACAGCAGAAGCCGTTACTAATTCACCAACATCACTTTAAAGCTACAGTAGTGTTTGAATGATTCTATAACGTAATGTCTAAAGTGATGACAAAATAGGTGATTTTGCTGACATTTTAACATGAAATGCTATACATCTACAGAGATATCTCCCTACATTATTATAATCTACAATTAATCTATAATTTCTCTGTTAGATATCACAATATTTAACCCTGAAAAAAATCTGATTGCTATTGTGTTTGCAATAAGGTAAATCGCTAAACACATTCCGGCAGTTCTTCTTTCTGCCAGCACAACACACATTCCTGATGTGTGGGTCCCATCTCACACTCAATATAATACAATTAATACTTTATAAATACAGCACTGCAAAATAAATAAGAGAGAAATTGACTAGTTAGAAACTGCGCTGTTTTAATCTTCTAAGGCAGGGGTCACCAATTTCGGTCCTGAAGGACTGGTGTCCCTGCAGGGTTTAGCTCCAACTTGCCTCAACACACCTGCCTGAGTGTTTCAAGTATGCATATAAGACCTTGATTGGCTTGTTCAGGTGAGTTTGATTAGGATTGGAGCTAAAATCTGCATAACACCGGCCCTCCAGAACAAGTTTGGTGACCCCTGTTCTAAGGGCTTATTAAGCGGTCCTGTAACCATCTTATGGATAGAAAACGTCAACCGTCTTTGGTCTACTAAGTGTGGGAGGCTAATGACTGCGGACCCGCTGTCTCTTAGAAATTGTAGATATTTTACAATCTCTTTAAGGCACTATCCTTATAAATAAACTGCATAGTTGAAATCTTAACAACTACAATCTCGACTTAAAAAACAGCAGTAGTATTTGTCAAACTGTAGAGTTTCTTCTGCTTGTTGCTGAATGTGGGCGGAGTAATACACAAACGTGAAGGGTGAGGAGGCTGGTCCTGTGTGTGTGTGTGTGTGTGTGTGTGTGTGTGTGTGTGTATCTGTGAGATTTATGTGAATGCATGACTTTCACTTTTAAGTTCTAGCCCTATGGATTATTAATAATACTTAACTCTCTCTTTCTCTGTCTCTCTGTCTGTCTCTCTGTCTGTCTCTCTGTCTGTCTCTCTCTCTCTCTCTCTCTCTCTCTCTCTCTCTCTCTCTCTCTCTCTCTCTCTCTCTCTCTCTCTCTCTCTCTCTCTTTCTCTCTCTTTGTGTGCGTGCATGTGTGTGTGCTGGGCAGGTTTTGTACTTCCTGGAGCCCATCAGGTGTCTGGTACAGAATCACCTGTGTCAGAAAGAGTTCTGCCTGGCCTGTGAGCTGGGCTTCCTCTTCCACATGCTGGACCTGAGCAGAGGAGACCCCTGTCAGGTGCACTAGAGCTTCTCGTCCAATCAGAGTTCATCTCCGGTTTGCAGATCTGTGCATCATGATTATTAGTAATGCATCACATTTATACCTACACACAGCATTTGTTTGTTTCCCCAGGCCAGTAATTTTCTCCGGGCTTTCCGGACAATTCCCGAGGCATCTGCTCTGGGTTTAATCCTGGCTGACTCCGATGAGCAGACTGGGAAAGCCCGTCTGGGCCGTCTAATCCAGAGCTGGAACCGTTTTATTCTTGCACAGCTGCATCAGGAAACGCTCGAGCAGGAAGGGCCGCAGGCGTACAGAGGAGCCAGCAGCAGGTGTGGACTCATGCCTAAAGCAGAACCAATTTCTGTGGAAATCACTCTTAAGCTCTCTGATTTGACTGTAATAAGTTGACATAAGGACGATTTGTGTTTTGTGCTAATAGCAGTGTGCTGAGCTCCTCAGGGGAGTCTGTGATTAGCCGGTTGTTTGGCTGTGAAGTGGAGAACAGCAGTCTGTGTTGTTGTGGAAAGGAGACGGTTCGCTCTTCATTGACGCTGCTGTTTACCATGCATTACCCCGAGCAGAGCTCCCTGGGTCAGAAACGCCAAACCGCACATTATTCACTCATCGATCCATCTATATAGACCAACTTTATCCATCTATATGGCCTTTTTTCTTTCACTTAAAAGTTCTTGTTCTGTTCTTGACTGAATTTATTGATTTTGTTTTGTTTTTTCTTTTCATTTGGACAGAGAAGAAGATAGAGGAATATGAATTTGTAGATATTCTGAGGAAGAGTATCTGTCTGGAACAGAGCACACAGGCCTGGTGTGACAACTGTGAGAAGTACCAGCCAACAGTAAGTCTTTAACTTGCACACTGCAAAAAATGCTTTTCTTACTTAGAGTGTTTGTCTTGTTGTTTCTAGTGCAAATATCTAAATATTCTTCAATCAGGAAACTTTTTCTAGACAAGTAAAATGTAGTCAAAATTAAGTGAGTTTTCTTTAAAACGTGTAAAACAAGCAAATAAATTTGCCAACAGGGTCAGCAAAATAATCGTATTTCAAAGTGAAATCGACGTTTTTAGTAGAATATTTAGCTTGTTTTTAAGGAAAAACTCACTTATTTTTTAATTGTTATTTCTGAAAACAAGACAATGCTTTTACTTGTTTAGAAAATGCTTCTTGATTTAAGCGTTTTTGATATTTGGACTATAAAAAACCCAAAATCATACTGACCCTAAGGTTTTGATTTAAAGTGTATGTAAATGGAGTGTAAACACTAAATAATGTGTTGTGATCTATGTTTAGGTGCAGACCAGGAACATTCGCTGTCTGCCTGATGTTCTGGTGATAAACTGTGAGGTGAACAGTGCAAAAGAGGCAGAATTCTGGAAGGCACAGACTGAGGTATTGATATCATGATCTCTTCAAAATAAAGTGAATAACTGTTTATCATTGTAAGCCTTAGAGTGTATTTTAGAATATCAGATTGTTGTGTTGATTGATTGTTAAGACTTAATTGGTTGTTTATTTTTAAACATTAACAGTTTCACATGTTAATCCGGTCTATATTGTGATAATACTGTATAACTTGATAAAAGCTTCAGCAATTCATTGCAACAAGTAAGTTGAATAGCAGCAGAAGCCTAATCACACAGTCAATAACTCAGAGATACTTTTTTGTTGACAGTATGTGTTCAACAAAGCTTTGAAGAAAGAAGCAGCCGAACCTCCCAAACCTAAAGAGCCTTTACCCACAGAATGGTGTTTGGAGTAAGTGAATATGAAAAATGAATAAAACTAAAACACACATTCTAAAATCAGTAATCATTAAAAGTTAATACATACATATAGATAGATAGATAGATAGATAGATAGATAGATAGATAGATAGATAGATAGATAGATAGATAGATAGATAGATAGATAGATAGATAGATAGATAGATAGATAGATAGATAGATAGATAGATAACTTTGAACAATTATAAAAATTAGTGCTGGGCAAAAATGATTTGCAGTTAGTCGCTTCAAAAGTTTATTTTGACATGTAATTGTTGATTACATGTTTATTTATATTTTGATATGAAATATAATATGATGTAAATTAAGTATACAATGAAATATTCATGTAACAAATTTTTTTGTATAGTTTTGTTTTTATCACATCTACATAAAAAAATAAATATAATACACACGCATTTACAGTTGAAGTCAGAATTATTAGCCCCCCTGTATTATTAGCGCCCCTGTTTATTTTTTCCCTCAATTTTTGTTTAATGGAGGGAAGATTGTTTCAGCGCATTTCTAAGCATAATTGTTAAGCATAAGAGTAAAATAATATTTTACTTGATATTTTACAAGACACTTCTATACAGCTTAAAGTGACATTTAAAGGCTTAACAAGGTTAATTAGGTTAATTAGGCAGGTTATTGTAATTAGGCAAGTTATTGTATATCGATGGTTTGTTCTGTAGACTATCTGACAAAAATAGCTTAAAGGGACTAATAATTTTGTCCCAAAATGGTTTTTAAAAAATTAATAACTGCTTTTATTCTAGCCGAAATAAAGCAAATAAGACTTTCTCCAGAAGAAAAAATATTATCAGAGATGCTGTAAAAATGCCATTGCTCTGTTAAACATCATTTGGGAAATATTTAAAAAATAAAATCAAAATCAAAAGGGGGCTAATAATTCTGACTTCAACTGCATGTAAAAAACTAACTTTTATTTTGAATTTGATTAATCGCAGTTTATCTTTGCCCTGCACTTAATAATAATATAAAGCCTTATCATATAAACATCTTTAAATGTAGTTTATTAAAATAAATCTTTTTTTTTTCTTTCAGAGAAGAGCTGTGCAATGTGGAGGGCTTGACCTTTGACACTCAAGCAGAAGACATGAGGCATGTGTGGATTCCTCTCAGTCTGAGGATGTGCATCAGTAAAGCTCAAGGCCTGGAGGTCAGCAGCCTAACTGAGGGAGAGGAGGTGAGACACAACTTTTTTTTTTTCATTAATCACATCAAGATATTTTAAACATGGGACACATATAGTTGAAGTCAAAATTCTTAGCCCTCTTGTGAATTTTATTTATTTTTCAAATATTTCCTAAATTATGTTTAACAGAGCAAGGAATGTTTTACAGTATTACTATAATATTTTTTTCTTCTGGAGAAAGTCTTATTTGTTTTGTTTTGGCTAGAATAAAAGCAGTTTTTAATTTTTTTAAAACCATTTTAAGGTCAATTTTATTATCCCCCTTAAGCAATTGTCTACAGAACAAACTATCTTTTTAAAATGACTTGCCTTATTATCCTAACTTGCTTAAATAACGTAGTTAAGCCTTTAAATTTCACTTTAAGTTGAATACTGTTATCGTGAAAATATCTAGTAAAATATTATGTACTATCATCAGGGCAAAGATAATATAAATCAGTTATTACAAATGAGTTATTAAAACTATTATGTTTAGAAATGTTTTCTCTGTTTAACAGAAATTGGGGAAAATATGCAGGGAGGCTAGTAATTTAGGAGGGCTATTAATTCTTCAACTGTATCACTTTGGCTCAAATTTATCGTGTCTTGTTCCTTTTCATAGCTGACTGAAAGTGAAGAGGCAGAAGGAGTGTCCATCTACGATCTGTTTGTCACTGTGTCGCATGTCCAGGACACTCGGACTGGAGGAAACATGGTGGCGCACATCAAAGTGGGCGAGACTTATCATCAGCGCAAAGAGGTGGGCAAATATTGAATCTCCCACAGAAAAAATACTTTAAATGAGAAACAAACTCAATTTTCTGTATCTTGCTTTTAGGGAGTCACACACCAGCAGTGGTATCTGTTCAATGATTTTCTGATTGAGCCCATTGATAAGGTAAAAACACCAGATACCACAAATCTGTTTAAAGGGGTCATGAGCTGATCTAATTAATCTAAATTCTGTTGATCTTTTGACGAAAGGTCATAGGTCTATGAAAACATATATATACAAAGAAATTCTTATGCACAATTGTAGACAAGTATTCAAGTATTTTTTTCAATGCAGCAGTGTTTATTATCATATACTGTATATGGGTTAAAGTGGAAAAAAGAAAAGAAAAAGAAATTCTCTTGTTGGTCTATATTGAAGCCAAACTGCCAACCTTACAAGAAAAAGACATTTTGTCATTTTTAGTCTAGATCAGTGGTCACCAAACTTGTTCCTGGAGGGCCGGTGTCCTGCAGATTTTAGCTCCAACCCTAATCAAACACACCTGATCAAGCTAATCAAGGTCTTGCTAGGTATCCTTGAAACATCCAGGCAGGTGTGTTGAGGCAAATTGGAGCTAAACCCTGCAGGGACACCGGCCCTCCAGGACCGAGATTGGTGATCCCTGATCTAGATCAACATTAGTGAAGAGCATACCTGCCAACCCTCCTGTTTTTCCTGAGATTCACATGTATTTTACCATTCTATCCTGCTGTCATCATGGGAACCCTTATGAGCATAAACGATTAGGAAAGCAATTAAATGCTTGTCATTATAGATCGGTGCATTTGGACTTAAAGTGTAACGTCTGTATTCCTTATTATCACATCCCAATGTTGACAGGTGTGGTAAAGACTGATTAACTCATATTTTTAATGAAGATTCAGAATGTGACAGTAAAGGGCTGTCAGGCCATTCATTTCAGGCTAGTATGTTTTGTGTGTTTCACAAGTCGCTTCTTCTTAGGCTCACGTTGGAGTTTTCTCGATTCATAATATAGAATCAGATTTGACTGTCGGTAAAAGAGAGTGCTCTGATTAGCTGTTCAGCTATTAATCAGGAAGCACAAACAAAACTTGAAGTAAAACAACTAAACTAATGCTGCAACATGCACAAAGAAACACAAAGAAGCCTGCTGCATTTCATCACATTTCTTAAATATTTGCAAAAACAATATTGATTTATTATCAGACATATTTGCACAAGCGAACCCTTCTATGGTAACAGAAATCTTCTGTGAAAATGGTGCATAAATACAGCAGCACTAGTACCATTTTTTTTTCTGTGAATGCAAATCTAGAGACAGCGACCTGTTCAGTCAGCTGTTGTCCGTTTGGTGTGTTCATGCAAATCTTTTTGCTCTAGACAGGACCAGATACAGCCAACGCAAGGTGACAACAAAGTCACTGCTTGTTCTTTGAGTTCAAGTTGGTGTGTGCTGGGCTTAAGAACTTTAATTTATTATACAGCAAATTCAGTTACCAACAAGGCACAAGTTGATGCTGGATTTTTCAATTTACTAGCCTGTCTAAAATAGGATATATTATTATGTAAAAATATAAATGGAGCTCAAAGAGCCAAACAAAATAGCAAATACAAAAAAGGCAGCTCATAACCCTTTTGAAAAACATCTACGAAATACTGTATACCACAGTTTATTTACTCTGAAATTGTTTAAAATGTGACTGTAAATCATTTCACATCTTTTCCCATGTCATTTCATATCTTGATTAGGCTGAATCGGTTCAGTTTGATGTGAACTGGAAGGTTCCTGCTGTACTTTATTACATCAAGAGGAACTACCACACCAAGTTTGATTTGCGCAGTATGTGACTGTCTTAATAACAGAATCATTGAATGGTTGACTCAAATGATTCCTTTGAATCATTCTGCCATATTCTTATTTCCTCTTATAGTTAAGAACCCTATCGAGGCAAGCGTTCTGCTGACGGAGGCTTCTTTAGCACGAAAACAGAGGAAGAGTCACGCCACCTTCATACCCCTCATGGTGAGCGAAATGCCACAGGTTGGAGACCTTGTCGGATTGGATGCAGAATTTGTCACTCTCAACCAGGTATGTGGGAAACACTGTGCTTTCAGCTTAAATGTTTTGTTAGCTTCGACATCATTTGACATATGATCTCACCATTGAACTGATCAGGAAGAGGCAGAACTGCGCAGCGATGGAACTAAGTCCACTATTAAACCCAGCCAGATGTCTGTTGCTCGTATCACTTGTGTGAGAGGCCAGGGACAAAATGAAGGAGTGCCGTTCATTGATGACTACATATCTACACAGGAACAGGTCAAGAAATTACCTTTTGGGAAATTACGTTTTGAAATGACAAGGTTTTTTTTATGACCTCATAAAGTGAGAACCGTAATAGGAGGATCTGTTAGTATCACATTTTAAAAATACTGTATACTCAGGGTGAATCACTAAGGAACAACTATTACTGTACTAGTGAGTTCTATACTTTTGCTTGTTTTTTCTTCATCAAAACAAGAAAGCATGTTGAGGTGTTGGAAAAAAAACCTTTCTGCTTCTTACTGGTTTAATCTTTTTGCATGTACAGGTGGTAGACTATCTGACCCAGTATTCTGGTATCAAACCTGGAGATTTGGATGCAAAGATTTCCTCGAAACACCTGACTACTCTGAAATCCACATATCTTAAATTGCGGTTTCTTATTGACACTGGGGTTCGCTTTGTCGGGCACGGCTTACAGAAGGATTTCCGGGTCATAAACCTGATGGTGAGTTCAATTTGTGTGAATTAATATACATGCTGAGCTGAGCCTCCTTTTTGCCATAAGAAATGCCTTAATTCTTCTCTGGCACCAACAATTTATGAAACCACTTTATTTCCCATTTTAATGCTCAGATTAACCTTAAAAGTGCATTATGTATGATTTATTTCAGTAAAATATCCAAAGGTCACTAGAATGGTGTTAAATATTTCGCTGATTTGTCTATTTACATCATCCCTAGTATTTCAAATGATGTTTAAAGGGTCACTAAACACCAAAACACATTTTTTGAGCTGTTGACAGTCGTATATGTGTCCCACACTGCTAAAAACACTATTAGGACACCTATATTTCACTAAAAAGTGTAAATTGGTTGTTTTTGCGTTATTTCAAGCAAATTCGTACTTCCGGTTTGAAACGAATTTTTGAAGCTGCGTCACGGTCATGACATAATATCGTTGTATTCCAGCATGCAGACTGGGCGTCTGTGCCAGAGTGAGTCTTATTACGTCTTACAGTGTGATGCATTAATGCATGAGTAAGGCTTGGTTCAAACCAATCAGCGCGCTCTATTGTGCAACTTCATTAATATTCATTACTGTCAGAGTGTCGACGGCAAAGACGCCACGTTGTATTGGCAAAACAAGCGTGAAGTGTTGCTTTTATAGTTTGCTGAAGTTAAGTTGCGTTTTCATTTTCTGTCTGTGAGAGCTCAGAGTCACGTGTGGATTAACAGTGTACGCGACGCTCGACAACAATAACTTACGTGCCTAAGGAGGATTATTGTTTACCTGAGAGCTGTTCTCATCTGCAAACGCTAAGATCCGGATTCGCTTGTAGTCTCCTCTAAATAAAGACGCGGCTCTAGTTGCTGGTGATTGTCCTGTCTCTACAGATTTGGTAAGTGAGCGACCAGTGCTCTTTGTTTATTCAGTTCGTATTTTATTCGTATCAAACAAACTATTGCGTTAGCACTAACAGTTACAACCAAACTATAACCTCGTGTTGGATTTTGTGACCGGAATAACACACGCGGCTTTCTGACGCTACCTGCCATGTGCATCTAAGTTTCCGGGAAATGCAGAGTTTTTTTTCTCTCATTCGCCGTGCGGTATCAAACATTGCATGAAAAATACACGCTTAGAGCAGTTCCTCGAATCAAATATCACGTTTGTCGGGAGGGACATTAATGAATTCCCTGAATGAAAGAGCCAAACTGCAGTTAAAGTCCACCATTTAATAATTTGGCAAATAATTCGACTACAGATGTCCATGTAAACACAGTCACATTGTCCGCTGTGGGTGTGTGTTTTGACTCTGAAATTCAGCGCGCCCAAATAGACACTCCTATACCAAGCCTCTTTTCTTCCTCCGACACTCCCCCCTAAACAGAGCTGGACACGCCCACTTTTCTGACTTTTTTCAAAGTAGAGGTGTGAAAACACCCTGCTGAAACGAGGGGGTTTCATGGCCCTTTAAATCCAGTAAATGAAGCAATTTTAACTTGTAACACAGACTGTGTACTGTTTCGCCATGCTTATGACATCATACATTCTGGATATCCAGTTTAGTTTTATATAAACATGCTTTAATATGTTTTGTGTATTATTAGACTGCACAGAGCAGCATTACAACATAACCTTAAATATATATTTAGTTTTATAAAACAGCACTGTTTACTCCCCATATAATCTCTTCTCTCATCAGCAACTACGTCAGAGGAATCCTATAAGATGTAATAAAGATGAGAACTTACATGATTTCACAAGCATTGACGACTTTATCAAAATATGCCTTTGTTTGTTGTGAATATGTGCCCTCTAGTGGTGAAAATTGCATACAGTGCCTTTACACAGTTCTGTATGCTTATTTGCATTGAGTTTCTGTTGTATGATTGGCTAATTCAATATTCTTGTTAATGATCAGCTGACTACTAGAGGTTACCTAATAAAGTGTTTGGTGAGAGTATCATTTAATATGTTTACAGCAAAAACAAATGTTGAAACCTTCACTTTTTAGGTCCCAAAAGACCAGGTGATCGACACTGTCTACCTCTTTCACATGCCTAGGAAACGAATGATCTCTCTGCGGTTCCTTGCATGGTATTTTCTTGGTAGGTTTTTGTTATAAACTTTCCCTCAACTCCTGACCTGAAGTGTAAGTTTCTGCGTCTCAGTGTTTTGTGGCTTTTTTGGTTGTTTGTTTAGATTTGAACATCCAGGGTGAAACTCATGACAGTATTGAAGATGCGCGGACTGCTTTGCAGTTGTACAGGAAGTACCTAGAGCTGAGCCATAATGGAGGACAGGAGGAGTTCCGGAAGGTTCTCAAGGCTCTCTATGAGAAAGGACGCAAGCTAGACTGGAAAGTTCCAGACATCGATTCTGCAGATGGTCAAGGTAGCCCAAAAAGTATGAATCACTGACATGGCAGTGAGATTTTTTTACATAATGTTTGTTGTTGCTCATGTTTATTTATAATCATTATTATATGAATAAGGAGGTCATATTTTTTATCTTAAAAAAATGTGACTTGCGCTATACAATTAAAAGCTAGCAAGAAAAATGTGCAAAGCTGAATCAGTGAACAGGTAAGTGTGTTTGTGTAGTGCAATTAACACATGCTAGTTTTAGTTTTACTTTAAATATGTTACGTAAAGATTAATATTTGAAAATGAAATGAAATGTTGTAATATTTGTAAATGCTTTGTATTATAAAAGATGATGGTAACACTGCAGATAATGTTTTGTCTTGTTTTTAGTCCAAATAGCTAAACATTATTAAATCAAGAAGCATTTTCTAGACAAGCAGAACATATAATCTTGTTTTAAGACATAATGTCGAAATGAAGTGAGTTTTTCTATTAAACAAGCTAAATAATCTGCCAGTGGGGTGAGCAAAAAATCTTTTTCCTTCTGGCATAAGATTATTTTGTTCACCCCATTGGCAGATAATTTTGCTTGTTTTAGGGAAATACTCGCTTAATTTTGACATATTATTTATTAAAACAAGACAATGTTTCAGCTTGTCTACAAAATAAGCACCTTTCTCAAAAGTGAGCCATCAGACGGTTTTATTCACTTACTTGCGGCGATCTTTGGGTTGCAAGGTGTGCATTCTAAAATCAATGTCCATAAAGAAACAATTCAGTTTTCATTTTGTATTTGTGAGAGTCGTTCACTGTAAAAAAATGCAGGGCTCTACACAATTCATTCATATTGTCCCAACACCAATCGATTCAGTTAACTGCACAGATTTAACTAATTTAAGTGGATTGAACATAAAAACTTTAAGTTGTCCCAACGAAATCTCAGCAATCGTGTTGTTTCAGCTTATATTAAGTAGTTTGAACAACAAACAAAAATTTATTTATTATAATCGTTGATTCAGTAATATTTAAACAAAAAAGTGTCCACGATTTTGCCAGATGTCGTTTAATGAAGTTGTGGTGCGTTTTCCCTCTGCAGGCACAGCCGTATTTCCCTCAGTGATGGGTTTATGATTGGATCTGTTGGATATATTCCTGCCAAACAGATGCCAGCTCTCCAGCACTTCTTGTATAGACTTTCGGTGTTCTCTTCCAACACTGTTTCATCCAAATTGCCACCTGATACATATATTTCATGTTGCACATCTGAAATAAGGCATGTTTTCTGTCCTAGAAAAAAGTCTGCCATTTGAAAACTGAACAATGAACAATTCACCATGCCAGTTCCTAGTCTATATCTGGTCTGTCAGGAAGAAAGTACACAAACAAATCATGATTTCAACACCTGTAAGAGCTCGTTCAAGTGTTTCATGCTTGCTTGTTAATGTTGTGTTGGAAATTGCTCTCATTCTGAAAATGAATATGGATCACGCAGTCTGTGGATTTACTGGCTTGTTTTCTATTTTGTAAAATATGTTGTACTTTTTCATAATGTGGCAGCTGAATAAAAAACCTTTGGATAAATCTTTGAGTCCATTTTAAAGTTCATTTTTCCTTTTAATTTTGAAGTGGGAAAAAATTTAACAAAGTTAAACATCTTCATTAATTCATACACATCTTCTGGTTATGCTCTGCCCTTAAATACTTCATTAAATATATGAATTTATGTTTCAGGAGGAAAAAATATATTTCACCCTAATTTTTGGGTGCTTGTGGGTCTCTTGTAATAAATCAATCATAATGTGTGATTTTTTTTTTTTTTTTTTTACATAACCCACCCCCTCGTCTGCCACCAGATTGTGTTTGTTGCCTCGGGGCAACAACATGCTATAAGAGCACTGAAACACCAAGGTTTTTTATATATGATTATAAGTGAAAACAAGCCATAAATGCATTAGAAAAAGTTTTAATTTAAAATAAACAAATCTACAATTAATGTTTCATCAAAAACTAGACATAAATGGTGTATTGTGCTGAGTAAATGTATTTACCAATGTTATTATTCACTGTGGAATCTCAGAAAGCAGTTGTTGGTGGTTGTGAAGCAAAGGAGGGTGCCACGTTTTTTTCACTTGGCTTTAGGTCAGGGGTGCCAAAACTCACTCCTGGTGGGCCAGTGTCCTGCAGAGTATAGCTCTAACCCCAGTTAGACACACCTGAAACAGCTACTTCAGCTCTAACTAGCTATACTAGAAACGTATTGGCAGATTGGCAACTAAACTCTGCAGGACACTGGCCCTCCAGGACAGAGTTTGTGCACCCACCCTTGCATCCTGGTACTCTGTATCTCCCTTTCTGAGTTTCCATGACCATCAAGTGGGCTTAATTCAGATGCACATCAAACTTAGCTCCTGGAGGGCTGCAGACCTGCAGAGTTTAGTTCCTATCCCGCTTCAACACTCTTACCAGTAGGTTTCAAACAAGCTTGAATAACTCAGTTTGTTTAATCAGGTTTGTTTAATCAGGCTTAAAGATAAACTGTGCAGAACTGTGGCTTTTTGCAAGTTTAATTTGCATCTTTGAATGGAAACATAGCTACTGTGAATGTTCAAGCTCCCTGTCAGAAAGAATGAGCCTCACTGCTTAATCTTGTTCTTTACCTCCAAAAAATGTTTCAACATCCATTTCCTGTATAAGTAGTAAACAGTAAAGAAAAAAAAAAAAATTAAAAAAAAAATAAATAAATAAATATATATATATATATATATATATATATATATATATATATATATATATATATATATATATATATATATATATATATACATAATGACAGTAAATAATATTTTACTAGATATTTTTTCAAGACACTTCTATACAGCTTAAAGTGACATTTAAAGGCTTAACTAGGTTAATAAGGTTAACTAGGCAGGTTAGGTTAATTAGGCGAGTTATTACATAATGAGGGTTTGTTCTGTAGACTGTCGAAGAAAATAGCATAAAGGGGTTAATAATTGTGACCTTAAAATGGCTTAAAAATTTAAAAACTGCTTTTATTCTAGCCAAAATAAAAACAAATAAGATTTTATCCAGAAAAAATATATTATCAGACATACTGTGAACATTTCCCTGCTCTGTTAAACATCATTTGGAAAATATTAAAAAAAGAAAAATAAATTCATATTCTCTGGGGTTGAATTCTGACTTCAACTGTGTATATATATATATATATATATATATATATATACAGACCACAGTACACAGTACAGACCAAAAGTTTGGACACACCTTCTCATTCAAAGTTTGAGAAAAGTAAGTTTCTTTATTTTCATGACTGAAAATTGTAGATTCACACTGAAGGCATCAAACTATGACGTGTGGAATTATATACATAACAAAAAAAGTGTGAAACAACTGGAAAAATATCATATTCTAGGTTTTTGAAAGTAGCCACGTTTTGCTTTGATTACTGCTTTGCACAATGTTGGCATTCTCTTGATGGTCTAACAGCACAATGTTGCCGAGGCAACAAATGAAAAACATTTTAGTATATGGATAATTCATATATCCATGCATATCACACACATTTTAATTATAAAGATATTTAAATATGTTAAAAAGGGAAATCTATCTTACTTTCTGTCAGTAGTGTGCTCAAGCAGGCTATGGTCCCAAAAATTGCTCCTATGCCCCCAGAAGACAGGTCAAATCCACACCCACCTCAAATTTCATTGGTGACCAACTTATTATTAAGACTTTTTGTGATAGGGGGAACACCATGCCATAGCAGGTTAGATTTTAATTTGATGTTTTAGCATTGTTCATTGTTGTTAGTCTAACCCCCATCATGATCTAAAACTTAAATTTGCTTTGCCATTGTGGAGATGGAAACAATTCAAACTAATTTTAGGCCTTGACCAAGTGTGCTGGTATGACATGGCAACAATGATATATTATTTCTGTTATACTGACTGAAAAATGCATACATACTTATACCCTCATTTTTAGCTCTCCATTACAATAAAAACAGGTATTGCAATTACACTCGACTTTCTCTAATAGCTTTATCGGGTATAGATTTGACAGCATGCACTTTTAAAACAAGGGGGGAAATTGCATAGAAGAAGGTTGCACTGAACATTTAGACACATTTCACAATATTGAGCCTTTGTTTTTGAAACAAGCACCTGTATGGTGTATCATTAATGCAGAGTAATAATATAATAAATGTGTTTATAAAGAGCTTTTGAGGTTACCTGAAAAAAAAGGTGCTGAATTGAACTTTCATTAAACAGTTTATGTATTAACCGGTTTGGATATTTAAGACATTTCAATGTTGGAGGTCTTTTTTTATTATTAGAAAGCTTGAGTTTCACATCTTTAAAAAAATAAAAATTACATGTCCTATTTTGAGAATTGTCATTGATTCTGTTTCTAAAACCGTTGAGCAAGAGAAGTTTAACACAGGGACAATAATAATTGAATATTTTAAATCCATTTAATCAAAAGTATAGGCTAATGTCGTTTTAATGGTGAAACATGTTGAATTCATATATTAAAATTTAAAAACAAATTGCAGCTATTGATTTTGATTGAACATCTAATTCAATAAGAGTTCCTCAAAAGTGTTCGAATAGGCTATATTGCTTTTAATAGCAGTTTTTATGCTAAATGAGATATCTTTTTTGGGTTGTTAATAAAATCAGTCGTTCTCTCAGGCTGTATTGTGGTTTTTTGCAAAAGCTTTTCACATAATTTAACAGTAACAATTTCTTTAATCCAAATTATGAATATGAATATATCAGTTTATAATAGCCTAAGTCTATTTAAGCCTAAAGTAGGCTAATTTTCTAAAACATACTTGGATATTTTTTATTTGGTTCTGTCATAGTAATAATGGAAAATTAACCGTGATTAACAAACAATTTTAAGACCCTTCGCAGATGGTTCGTCAAGTGTTTTGTCTGCTCGTCGCTTTCTCACATGCAGTTTCTGACGAGACTTTCCGGGATGTGAATGTCGCATGTGCAAATATTACTGCAAACTCACTCGTTTATTGAAAACAACACTACAAACGCATGACTCGTGATGTATATTAAAATTAAAAACGAAATTGTGCCAAACATAACCTTAAAGTCATGCAAATATACTCAAAGGCGCAGAAAAGGTTCTGCTGTTTTGACACTTATAGCACCCGCGTTTAAAGGATTTTAATGCAACAAACTGAGCCTCGTAAACAGCCGAATAATAGCATAAAAATTATACATCCTAAAATACACTATTATTGTAAATAAAATCGCTATTTATATAAGCGATTTAACAAAAAAACTTAAATTTTCTCTTTTAGGTAGGCTGGGCTTAACGAATGAAATCATTATATTTTTATGTTAATTCTACGTGATATTTTAATGTATTTACATAATTTAGAACCGGTGAGTGTTATTAGTTTAAATGCTGAAAAATAAGAGTGAAATCCCACCCTGAAAGTTGGCCAAAGTGCTCTGACGTCATGTTCCCACAATGCACGCGCCCGTCGGCTCGAGAACTGCTGCTGTGTTTAGAGGGAAAGAAACAGCAGGCCCGAAAAATACACACATTATTGAACAAAAAATAAGTTGTCCTCTGCCAACAGTTCGGGAGAATTTACCGCGGTATGGCCTAGAAACGAATTTTTCGTTTGCACCGTTGCGAGATGTAAAATGGAGGAATGCGCGTTGAATGCAACTTTTTGCGGGGATCAAAAGTTTGTGGTGAGCACAAGACTGTTTTATGCAAATGTTATATTGTTAATTTAGGACCGCGTGGACTGTTTGCGGGTATGCTCGCGCGTTAGAAACCCTCATAGAGTTTCGTGGATGGTATTTTTAGGCTTTTGGGAAGATAAATGTCTGCCATTCACCCTCATAAGAGGCTCAAATGTTGCGTGCATGAGCAAACACATTAGCTGCGCGCAACACTGTTTGTGTATTCAGTGTGTTTGTTTGTTTTAAATATAACTTACGTTTAACGTTATGGGAATTTGGATGGATTGTTTTTGCTATTTTATAACGAATAATGTCGGTTCTATAATTTTAATCGCAATGTTTTACAGCTCTTTAATTTGAGAGCAAGTTTGCTGAAGCGAAACGTGTAGCCAGAATTCTGAAGCCGAAACGTGCCAGAAGTAAACACGTTACAAAACCAACATGCTTTCTAAAGTCAGATAACTATGAGAAAATACTAGAAACTGTTAGTTTCAAGCTTCATAGTGTGTTTTTATTTGTTCATATATTACGCAACAATAACTTCTGTATGTATAATGCAAATGTATTTCCATATTTACATGTCATGTTAGTTGAAACGTGGAGTTGTGCTATTTCTGTAATTAGTAGCATATAACGTTAGCTAAAATATTTTGTTAGCTATTTGGATTTTGAATATTAAAAACTTAAAAATAAGCAGACCTATTTATCTAAAATTGTGCTGTAATTGTTGTATTAATATGTACTATTTGATATAGTTTAATTATTAAAATAATTGTGCGTTTCTAGCTGGATAAAAGTAATGCTAATGCACAGTTGAGGCACATTTTGTCCCACCTACATTTCTTATAAAACACAATTCAATGCTCAACCCTCATTTAATACTATTAAAGTGACACAATTTAATCACAATGTTCTGTCTCTTTAGAGATTTTCAGACCCTAAAACATATTGAGGCTAAATACTAAATCAACAGGTGCTTTTAGTGTATTTAGACTTATTTCTTATTTAATGACATTTTATAATATGTGTACCATTTACTTTTGTCTCATATTTTCATGCCATATTACTATAATATATTGTTTTTGAATATTATTGACATTGAAATGTATTGTTTCTACGTAATTAGTAGGACAGTTACTAGATTAAAAGCCATTTGGGATTTTAAAATTCAAGGATTTTAAAAAGCTTGAACTCGTTAAAGAGTTCATAATTTTTGCTACAGGTAGCACTTTACAACAATGCTTGTTTGTGAACATTAGGTCATGTATTAGCTAACAAACTAACAGCAATATATTTATAGTGGTTAGTAATCTTTAACATTAGTAAATAAATAGTTGACAGTACATTAAAGCTAACAAATGTACTCTGCATTATAATAATGTAATAATTGAAGCTAGTTAAATTAAAATTTTCAATGTCTGGGTAAAAAACTACTTTTTTCCCTATTAAACACAATATATTTTATTTTAAAAATGTTGATGGTTTTAAATTCTTGACTTTTTCAAACCTTAAAAACGGTTATCGTCCCATGCCTAATAGCAATGGTATGCTATTAAAGATTATACATAAGGCAGCACATTTCATCCCAACTAAAAGCTCAAGCACATTCATAAAAATAATAAAAAGTTATGTTAAAATAAGTTTCTTTGAATAGCTTATTAAAAATGTGAAAAGATTGCATGAGTGATGTCTATCTGTTGTCTAAAAGGGAGGGAAAAATAAAGAAGATGTGTTTTCCGGAGGTCTGTCAAGATAATGAATGTGCTTTTGTGAGACTTGAAACAGGTAAACAAACCCTTTATAAATGTCACTAACTAGTCATCATTGATGTCACCTCAGGGTGTTTTTAAGTTTCTTGTGTTGAAATCTATTACCATTCAGAGGCAGGAAGGGATGTTTACGGACTGTGCTGCTCTTCCATTAAGTACTTGTTACAAGTTTAAAAAAAAAATATATATATATTTGTTAAACAATTATAAAGTCTTTAAATATATGTTTGTCGACATTTTTCGACAGATCTAATTAAATTGTTCTTGATAGTTCACACAAATGAGCATTTCCTCGCCATCAAGTGGTTCAAAACTTTTTTTTGAATTTTTCTTCTGTTGAACATTAAAGAAGATATTCTTAAGAATATACAGGAAAGCAACAGCCGGTGACATCCTTAGTTCAAACAAACATTCCTATGGATGTCAGTGGCTGTTTGTTCCAAAATTCTTCAATATACTTTTCTTTGTGTTCAACAGAAGAAAGAAGCTGAACAAGTTAAGGATGAGTAAAGCATTTTCATTTTCAGTTGAACTCTCTCCTAAAAAATGTAACAATTTCTATGATGTGGTTAATATTTCTGTCTGTTTCTTATGTACCAAAAGCCAAAATACCTAGCTTAAATTTAGCAGGAATAGTAGTTGTGCTAGTCTACTTTTGTAAATGATTATGCCACATATCTAATTATAATTTTTGAAATTTATAATTTTTGAATTTTTTTTTTAAATTTATAATTTTTGAAATGTATAATTTTTGAAAGCTCTGGAGCTTCAAAGTTAGGTTTGTTTTTCTGGATTTGTTCTAAGGATGTTCATTTCGGTCAGTTTTGCCAACCGACAATTGCTGCTCAATTACCGAATATTAATGGTTAACTGGTCAGATTAATATAAAATTTTTTAATTAAAAAAATAATTGACATGTATATTTTGTGTCTGACACACAAAAAAAAAATACTGATTAATTTTAACATGAACAACTGTACATCTTCAAGAACTTGCCTTATTTCCAACAGCATAGAAAAACAGAATAAACTAAATAAAAAGAATCTAATAAACCTACCTGTCAACCATTGGATTTGAAAATATGGGATAACCCCCACCCTAACCTGACCCTAAACTTACCCAACCTCCCCTCTCTGCACCCTCGTCACCGAAAAAAAAAGTTTCCACAGATTACTAAATATGTTTATCTGGAGCTGTTTCATTGTAAATAAATAGTTGACACGATCAGTAATTTGTTTCATTATTATTGTTATTTTTGTCATTATTATTATTATTATTTAAAAAGGATGTAACAAGTTTAGATTAGTAAAACCTGCAAATAAATTAAACAGTTTAGCATCTATTTATCAATATGGAATGCGTCTGACAGTCACGCTCTGCTTACATGAACTGTTTTGATGATCGCAAAATCTCATCGTTTTTATATATATATATATATATAAACTGGAAGCACAGAACAAATTCACATTTAAGAGCAAGCAGCATTCCCCGGTGGTTCAGCGGTATGGGTTACTTATAGGAAGGATTGACTCTTTAATGTTTATTGCCACCCTTTTATTGAAAATACAGTAGAAATACAGGAAAATACTTTTACGGGATTTCAGCGGGATATAATTGTAAAATACAAGACAATACCAGGAAAAACAGGAGGGTTGACAGGTATTTAAATAAATAATCATGCCCTTGATATTTTTCCTTGAATAATAGGTTTAGGTTACAAAACGAAAACACTAACTGAATCCTTCATATGCTGTTTGTGCAGTCATTTATTTATTTTTTTCTTCGTCAAATAAAAATAGCAGGCTACCTCAAATCAATTGCTCCACAGAAAATATGTATTTAATCAACAGAAACTCCGCCTCTGCTTTCATTTGATTAAAGAATGATATATATATATATATATATATATGTCTTTTTATCGTTTAACTGATACCATTAATAAAACGCACTCATTTGGTTAACAGTTAAATGGTTATTTTGAGCATCCTTATTTTGTATTTTGTATTTCATAGGTATGTAATTTGAGCGTGTTCATTTATTGATTGCTTTTTTAATCTTATTAAATTAGAGGATGATCCCTTTTATGAATTCAATATGAATTGTTTTGGGAAACCAATTCTTAACTGCTGCATTTGTGTGCTGTTGTCTGCAGAAGTTTGAACATGCAAAAAAACAACCTTCACTCACAAGAAAAATCACCTGTCGGAGCTTCTTCTCAGGTACCTGTGAAATACTTTTCTCTCATATGTGGTTGTTCTCTATTTCTGTCCTTGTAGCCACTAATTATGTTTGACTTCTCCCAGATGTACAGTGATACAATCCTAGAAAGCGACCCATATATATGAGAAAATGTACCATGGCAAAGACCAGCTAAACGGCCACCTGCAGACCCACGACCCCAACAAGCAGGAGCTGCGCTGCGAGGAATGCGGGAAGCATTACAACACTCGCCTGGGTCTGAGACGCCACGTGGCCACACACGCCACCTCTGCCTCCAGTGACCTCACCTGTAAGGTCTGCCGCCAGGTGTTTGAGAGCATGCCGGCGTTACTGGAGCACTTGAGCACGCACACTGGTCGGCCCCCTCCGGGGACTGTGGTACGAGAAAGGAAGCATCAATGCGAGCGGTGCGGCCGACGCTTCTTTACCCGCAAGGATGTAAGGCGCCATGCTGTGGTACACACTGGCAGACGGGACTTCCTTTGTCCACGTTGTGCTCAACGCTTTGGCCGTCGGGATCACCTCACCCGACACCTGAAGAAGAGCCACGCGCAAGAGTTGGATGCCCTGCCAACATTGCCCATTAAAGAAGAGCCCAGTCCCACCATGTGCTCTGTCGGATCTCCAAAGGACGTCACTGAGGCATTTCCGATGGCAATGTTCAACTCGCAAGGCCTTCAGAGCGCATCTACCTCAGGGGTCAGTCACCATCATCACGGGATGGTGTCTGGCCCCCTGTCCAGCCCAGTGGGTATGGGCTGCTACCTCGAGCCAAACAAGCCTCCGCCGCAGCAGTACCAGCAGACACCCAGATATCAGCCCAGCTCCACTACCTCATATCTGAAAGCAGAGATGGAGAACTTCCTGACTGAACTCCAGTGTGGGCCAATGCCTCCGCAGGCAGCTGTGGCGACTGCCGTCTCCCGGCCCGGGGACCTCCTTCCTGAGAGTTTGGGAGGTCAGAGTGCGCATTTCACCCTCAGGAACTCCGCGTTCACCTCCGCCGAGCCGCCCGCCAGCTCTGCCAACATGGACCTTTCACATCTGCTGGGCTTCCTGCCGTTCGGTCTGCCTCCTTACAGCACTCCTTTGGGATACTCCACCACCTCGGCTGCCCCCGCCGTGTCCCCGAGCCCTACCTCGCAGCTCTCTGGGCCTCTTACCTCATTTCAGCCACAGTCACTGCATGAGCCTCAGGCTGCAGGGCACTTAAACCAGCTCTCTGGTTTCTCTCCCACTCTACCTCGATTCCATCAGGCCTTCCAGCAATGATCCACTACCAACAACCTGTCCGAAACAAAAGCCCCGTTGCATCATTGCCAAGTAGCATATAGGTAATGAACTGGAGACGGTAAAGTGAAGTGGATGCGAGGTCTTCAAATGTAGAAATAGACAAGATGATCGCTAGAATAGATGGAGGTTTGCTTTTAGAGTAGTTTTAACTTTGTGGATTTTCCTAGAGGGTCTTCCGAGTAACTGTTTTGTAGTGATAAAAGAAACATATACTGAAAGGTTAGAAAAGAAATACCTCAATATTTTTTGTCAAGAAGGAAAATAATGCTGTTTCAGTGTTCTCTCCGTTGTATAATGAAGCACTTTTTTTATTTTTTTATCAACGGCACTTCAATGACTGAAGGTGTGGTCACATTTATCGTCACTTATGAAATTTCAGCTGTTTGATAATATTGTCTGAGATAGGCCATGCAAATGTTGCAAAGCATTTGCTGAGGGTAGAGGCGACATGGTGGCTCAGTGGTTAGTACTTTCACCTCACAGCAAAGAGGTCTCTGGTTTGAACCCTGGATGGGTCAATTGGCATTTCTGTGTGGAGTTTGCATGATCTCCCCGTGTTCGAGTGGGTTTCCTCCAAGTGCTTCAGTTTCCCCTACGTCTGAAGACATGCGGTATGTGGTCCACCCTGAAGATAACTTGTCTAATAGAATAAAAAAAAATGCAGAAAATAAATTACAAATACTTCCTTTCCTCCTTAAACCAAGAAACAGGAGAAAAATCACTTGAAAATAAATGGCACTCAGCCCCTACAGTGTTCAGTTTACTGCTTCATAGTACAAAATTGGTGTTACCACAGTCACTACAAAGAGGTGAGAGAAGAAAGATGGAGGGTACCTTAAATAAAGTTGTCCTTCTCCCACTGCTCAAGATCTAAATCCGTCAGTCTCCGTTTTAAAAGATGCTGTGTTCTCCAAGCACCAACCACAGTGCATGCCTGTGGCACGTTCAGTCAAGTAGGGCGACTTGGAAAGAGGACAGGAGAGAGAGAAACACAGCAGCACAGAAAAGACAACCCACCAATATGCTCAGGCATAACAAGATAAATTGGATGAACAAAATTGGTCCGTGTATTAATGTTAGAGTTTACGGATGTTACCCAGTGACCGGAAGGGCATCTGCTGTGTAAATAGCTGGAATGTGCATATGCTGGAATAGTTATCAAGTTCCCGCTATGGCGAACCTTAAATGACTAAGCTGAAGGAAAATGAATGAATTTGACAAGGGTGCTTTTATACATGACTCCGTTCATGCAAAGCCAAGCCTGCATCCAAATACTATTGAACTGATCACCACTTCAGTGTCTACATTTGTGTTAAGTGCAGTTTTTAGGAAGTCACGGAAATGTGCAGAAACCCCAAACTTCAAGAGCATTTCTGTTATAGATATTGAAACTAGAAGAGAGGCTGTTTTTTCACTCCGCTTACCTACAAATCCTGATGGTAGTAGCGATTCAACTTGCAACCAGAAACAAGCTAGACCAACTCGTATGTTATCAATAGCAACTGACTTACTTGATATAGTGTGATTGTGTTCATATTGAGGTTACCCCGAATCCCTGAACCTGTATGCCAGACGACAGAAAACTTTGAAAGTGACTTTTGCATAAGCTGGTCTTCACTTTTCAACACTTAACTGTTTTTAGCCCAAAAACCTGCCGAAAAATGTGTCCACACCACACCCAGTCAAGTTGAACTGTGGTCTTAGATGTTCCTCTCAGCTCACGGTCACACAACACAAAAAACCTACCTCTTTAAGCTGAATCTTGTCATGAAAAGGATTCAGTGGTTTGACAAGAAATGAAGCAAATCCTCATGCGAATAGCATGAAGAACATGATCTCATTTTTGATGTTTTTCTTTCTTTATAGGTTGCTCTACAGGTTTAGTTAGGGTTAGTTCTACAGAAAATTTGTAGAATCAGGAGATTAATTAGCATTTAATTCATTAGCTTGTGTTGATTTTAGCCTTTAGGTAAAATTTGTAGGTGCTTTGGTTGTTCACATCCTTAATGCTAATGAAAGGACTCGCTCGTCTCCTGTAAATCCCCCATCTCTCTCCGTTCATTCCAGAGTATTTTGTAAGTGAGAAGAGAAAGTATTAATTATTCTGGAATTGAAAAATCATAATGATTAGTGAATATTTGTATAAAATTACATAACCCATCCTGACAAATTCCCATTATGGGAACTAAGTAAAATATAACAACTTTTTTGTTTTGTTTAATGATAAAGATCATATGTGTGCCCTGAATATCTCTATAGAAAGTATAGTGGACAAATAATTTTACTTGCAAAAATTTCACACTATGAAATTTGCTCATTGTTTTGGAGTTTCAGGCTAAATAAGCTTAGCACAAGCCCTGCTATTGCTGAAGCACTTCATGTACTTCTCCAAGCAAAACCCAGGAGCACTGTCAGAAAAAAAAAGTGTTATATCATGTAAATTTGAATGGCATTTTAGCACTGCCTCACTATTGTTTTGACTCAGTGTTACATTCATCAGTGACCTAAAAGGTGACTGACGGTGTATGTTGTCAAGTCCGTTTTGTTTAAGCCAAACGAAGGACTGAATTCACTTGATGAGTTTATTCTGTTAATCACATTTTGTTCATGAGCATTTCCCTCTTTGGCCGAACTCAAATGAAGCTGGCAACTCAACTCAACTGTGATGTATTGGACTCAGACTGATCTACCTCAGTGAGATGCACTCTGTGCACAGCTGTACTGTACCTTTAGTGAGAAATGTAAAGTTTCAGAGGCTGTTTAGCGCGAGTAAACAGGTGCTTTACATCTTTAAAATTTCCAAGCATTGGCATTTTTTGTTCCGAGGACTGTTTGTTTTCATTCTGAAAGCAGAAGTGGGTGAGTGCGAGATGGCGTATGCAGAAAGAAACAATGTTGAGGATGAATTAAGAAATAAAGTATCTTGTAGATTTTGAGTCATGGTGTGTTTCATGCTTTAATAATTACTCTCAGTAAAATAGTCACTAAAATGACATTTATTGGTTATCGTGTCTATTACAAGAAATATTCAAGTAAATATAAATCACCATGCTATATTTAATGTTACAGAATGTTTTTTATATATATAATAATGATATAAATAATAGAAAATATTATTGATAATAATAAAATTCCTTACATTTTATAAAGTGAAATTTTTTTTTCTTTTTTCTAAAAACTGAAAGCGTGTTACACTTTTTGGGGGAATCTCCTCATCCTCCCTAGTGTGCAGCATCCACCTAAATGATGCTACGGCTGCTATATTGCGCCAGACCGCACACAAGCTAATTGGTGCAGAGAAGAGTGATGAAGCCAATTATGATATAGGGATGGTTAGGAGGCCAGTGGGCAAATTTGGCAGTGTTTCAAGGACATCCTAGTATTTTCAACGTCTTTTAACATCTCATTCGAAAGACGGCATCCACTGATAGTGTAGTGTCCCCTTCACTATACTGGGGCATTAGGACACAAACAGACCGCAGGTTGAGCGCCCCTGCTGTTCTCACTAACGCCACTTCCAGCGGCAACCTAGCTTTCTCATGTGGTCTCCCATCCAGGTACTGACATCCAGGTAGCTTCAGTGGGCAACCATGTGAGAGTTGCAGAGCGCTAGCTGCCAGTGATGCAAACTAATCACACACAACATTTCCTTTAGTTATTCAAACATTTATTTACACCTATTTTGTTACTCAACGGGAATCGCTTCTTGTTTTATGAATATTACACAATCATTACATTCAATTTAAATATAAAAAGTATTGTCATGTTGACTACACTACATCGAATAAGCTATTAAAACTTTTTTTAGATATAAAAACTTAAAATATAAATACAAGACATAGACTGAGTGATGTTAGGCTATGAAAAATAACATATACAAGATATATGAATGTAAACTTTTGGATCGCATACAGCTAAGTTAGATGCAAACTGTAAACTGTAATTATGTTTGTTGAAGTTGCACCACGACTAAAAACATAAAATTTAAACTTATTATATAAGTTAAGGCACAAAACATAGGACAATATTTATTTAACGAAAGGTTATGGTTATCTTTTATTACTCATTTCGCATTACTTGCTAACTCATAACTGACTGACTTGAATAATTGCTGGAAAGTTTTAATTAATTATTTTTATTTTTTTATCAGATTTTTTTTATTTTACAGGGAAAATACACTTGAAATTGTTATACAAAGATAACATAAAGCTAATTTGCAGCCCTCGTCACTGCTTAGGCTATGGTTACGTCCCTTATGTAATATATTGATCAATTCTGAGCAATTGACAGCAATTGCCTAATGTGTAAAATATATATATTTTCTAAAAAACACACAGGGGACTTGTGGTCGTCTACTGTAGAAATTATCTTAAAATGTTTCTATGTCTTGAAATCTTAATTTAACTACAGATTCTGACTTAAGAAAAGTGATTACATCTACAAAACGGCAAGATTTTATTATCGTTTATCTCCACGTTGCGTGGAAAGAAATCCGTTTCCAAATAAACAAACTTGCAGTCGGGCATATGAAAGGACAGCTAACTGTCATCCAAACAGGAAGTGGAACCAATGTAAAGAAGGACCATTCCTTTCAATCGAAAACACTAGCAAAATATTTCACCTATAATGACATTCGCACAATGAATAGCTGTCTGTTTATTGAAGCAGCAGTTGATTTATACCTGTAGTCGGATTGGTTGGTTCTGCCGTTGTTCGTCGCCGGTCAGTTTCAGTGGGGCATCGGCTGGACTGGCTCGAGATGGCAGATGAGGCTCTTTTTCAGTTCCTACACAGTGAAATCATTCAGTATGTCAACAGTGCAGAAACTGGGGAATCGGTAAGACCTGTGCAACAGAATAGCCTAATGATATAACTGTAAACGTCAAGCAATAATGAAACAAATTACTGTAAGTGTGGGGATGTAGAATTAATGCAACATACTGCTGTGAACAGGAGAATGGACGATGTGTTTCTAAACTTGAGAACATGGGCTTTCGTGTGGGACAAGGACTTATTGAGAGGTACATCTTTTCATTCATAGGTCTAAATTGTATCCTCAAGTCAATTTATTATATATGTTGTGCTGTTACTCTTGAAGCAGGTCTATTGGTAGTTGTGCAAAATGTCACTGAAATGTTCAACTACAACCCTCACAAATATCTCCTTTAAATTAATATTTTCTATAGGATGCTTTACAATACTACATTTCTGCATATACATTAGATTAGTCAGTACTGAAGCCAAACCTGGGGCTAATCTAACAAAATAACTTATGTTAATGGTCAAATAATAGTACATCCAAATTTATATTAGGGTAAAAAATTAAATACAAAAATTAAAAAGAGCATAATTTAAGAGAAACAAAATAAATTATAACATTTTGTTTCAATATTTCACGATTTTAAATGTATTATCTCTCTATTTCTAAAGATGCTCTATGACTAAAATATTATTTTAATAAATATTTCAGTATATAAATCTATTTTTTTTTCCAAATGCACCAAACTATTTTACCAATATTAAGTGAGAAATGGATAAAAATCTTAATTTTTCAAAATGGGCTGTAGTCATTTATGCTGAGCACTGTATTTAAATACTAAACTATGCGAGTTGTTTGCAATTAGCTTACTAAACATGTAATCGAATTGTTATTTTTAATTATTTATTAGGATAAATCTTATCATTAAGTCAATTATATATATATATATATATATATATATATATATATATATATATATATATATATATATATATATATATATATATATGTATAGTGTTACTTTTGAAGCAATTTTATTAGTAGTTGTGCAGACTGTCACTGAAATATTCTATTCATATATGTGAGTTGTTTGTAATTGGTTTACTGAAAATGTAATAGACCAGTTATTTTCATTTATTTATTAGGATAAGTCTTATGTATTGTGATATTACACTTGAAGTAGTTTTATTGGTTATTTTATGTATTTATTTTATATAATTATTTATTATTGATATATCATTTCGTTTACAGGTTTACCAAAGACACGCCACGCTTTAAAGATGAGCTTGACGTTATGAAGTTCATCTGCAAAGATTTCTGGACCAGTGTTTTTAAGAAGCAGATTGACAACCTGAGAACAAACCACCAGGTTTGCACAGTATTGGAATTCAGATTGTTTTTATTTTAAGTACATTCATGAAGCTTATTGACAATGCTTATTAACATGATTAATACAGATACAAACAATTGTGCAAATTGTTTGTAGGGTATTTATGTACTACAAGATAACAAGTTCCGCCTACTGACCCAACTGTCTGCTGGCAAACAGTATCTGGAACATGCGCCGAAGGTAACCAGCACAAACATCTTTAATAAACTTTAATAATACATTGAATGAAAACATAAACAGGCGACGCAGTGGCGCAGTAGGTAGCGGTTCATTCTGCTGCGGCGATCCCGGATTAATAAGGGTACTAAGCTGACAAGAAAATGAATGAATGAAAACATAAACATAACCTGAGATGTACTTTTTTAAAATAAACCACTACTAAATCACATACTACACACTTACACCAGGGCTGCAAACTATATTATTTCAGCATCGATATCGCAATGTGCATTAGCCACATCGCTGGATATGCAATGTTTAGTTGGGTTCACAGTTGTCCAGGAGTCATAGTGTGTTTTTGAAATGTATGAACATTTCAAGAGAGTTTAAAGCAATCAGGCAGAATCAATTGTACCAGTTGTAACTTTTATAAGGAAACATTTAGTTGTATTATTCATACAATGAAGACGATGCATTTCCTTTTTCTGTACCTGAATACTGTTATACAAAACCATAAAGCAACATTCCTAAGTTGATTATTTTTATGCATGATTCTATCACAATCAATCTGAATTAATGAGTACTTTCTAAATCGAGTTATTCAAGGCACCTGATGAAACTCTATCCATATAATATTTATTGCAGAAAAACAAAATATCACAATGTCAGAGTTTTCCAATATTGTGCAGCCGTAACTTATACACACTTATACACTCGGCCATGTAATGTATGAGTTTAATGTTGACCCAAATAGAACACTAACATATTTGTACTGACCATTATTTGTCAAACCATTTGACAAAACTACCAAATTGTCATATAAATGTACAAACTACCAAATAAACCTGACATGTGTATAACCTCATTCACCATTGGGAGGCAGCATAATCGCTTGCATTGTGTAATTTTGCTTGCACAATTCAAATTAAATAAAGTAATCCAACCTTAGGGGCCAACAGCTCCACCACTTCCACTACATCTCTTCTTTTTATCAGTTAAATAAGTGGAAATAACTGGGTATTTAAATTGCTTTTGTTCTTTTTAGATATTTCAGTGTGAATGCACTGCTTACACTATTTATACTACAAGATGGTGTAGAATAGCGCACAAGTATGTGATCTGAGCGCACTTAGTATCTTCAACATTTTGTTTTATTTGAATGAAAACACCTTAAAGGGGCAGTTCACCCAAAAATGAAAATTTGCTCTTAATTTATTCATTTAAAATGTAGCTGACTTTTGCAGTTGAACATTAAAGAAGTTTTTTTTTAGCTTCAACCACTGTTTTTGTGTTAATAAAAATGCAGTCAATAACAATTCAAAAACAGATACAGGTAAAACAAAAGTATCTTCAGTGGGTCATGATGAAACATTAAGCCATTTTAAAACAAAACGATCAGTCTGTGTAGACAAATAGCATCTGCTCACTAGCTAAAGTTCATTTTGCAATAGGATACTTGTGTTTCAGAATTTTGAATGCACTCCGGACTTTGTGCTGTTAATTAATAATAATAATAAAAATAATAATATTCATTCATTCATTTTCTTTTTGGCTTAGTCCCTTTATTAATCCAAGGTCGCCACAGCGGAACCACCAAGTTATCCATCACATGTTCTACGTAGTTGGGGAAACCGGAGCACCCAGAGAAAACCCACGCGAACACAGGGAGAACATGCAAACTCAGAAACTCTAACTGACCCAGCCAAGGCTCGAACCAGCGACCTTCTTGCTGTGAGGCGACAGCACTACCTATTGCGCTACTGCGTCACCCGATGTTAATAATAATAATAATAATAATGGGGAACGGTGGCTCAGTGTTTATCACTGTCGTCTCACAGCAAGAAAGTCACTGGTTCGAGTCCCAACTGGGCCAGTTGGCATTTCTTTGTGAGGTTTACATGTTCTCCCAGTGTTGGCTGGGGTTTCCTCCTGGTGCTCCGGTTTACCCCACAGTCCAAAGACATGCACTATTGGTGAATTGAATAAACTAAATTGTCCGTAGTGTATGTGTGTGAATGAATATGTTTGAATGTTTCCCAGTACTGGGGTTGCAGCTGGAAAGACATCAGCTGTGTAAAACACATGCTGGATAAGACCACTGTGGCAACCCCCGATTAATAAAGGGACTAAGCCGAATGAATGGATAATAATAATAATAATAATACTGTAATTAGTGTTCATTTTCATAGCACAGACCGATTATTTCACTTCATAAGACTCAGGAGTCGTTGATTTGCATTTTAGTTGAAACTAAGGAACACTGTTTCAGCTTAAAGTCTTCTTTAATATTGTGTGAGGAAAAAAACTACATCTTTGATGGTGAGTAAATTACCAGAAAATGTTCTTTATAGTTGAACTATCCCTTTAACGATATGAGGATCGGTGTCTATATACTCTATATTCAGTTTTTCTGGTGATTCTCAGTTTCTTTTTTGTCTTGACTGCAGTTTTTAGCCTTCACTTGTGGACTGGTCCGAGGAGCACTTTCAAACATTGGTGTGAAAAGTATCGTCACGGCGGAAGTGTCAGTCATGCCTGCCTGTAAGACACAAATAAAATGTTTACAAATGCAAAAATATACAAACTTATGCAGGACATTCTACCAGAAAAGTACATTATCTGTCCCTGAAATCAAAACATAAAATATCTAGAATGGATTGAAGCTTGATTTATGCGAGTTGTTCTGTAATGGAATGTGTCATTCATTTGGTTCTCAGATTTTTGTTCTTTATTAAAAACACTTTACAAATGTACAAACCCATCATTGTCCTTGTCCTCAACCTTCAGCTTTAATAGTTTTGTTATGCTAAAAACTGTTATTTAAAAAAAAAACTCCAGAAGAGCAAGATTAAGTTGTTATCATTCACATCAATTGATTAAAAACATGAAATTATAAATAAATTTAACAAAATAATACTACAAATATATATTACAATTGTCCCCATGTTTCTGTCAGTTCTGTCTTATTTGCATTAAACTTTACAGAAGCTTAAACATGTTTAAGGCTGTGACTCAAAAGTGACATCATTTGACAGAGGAGAAGCTGACAGCGATTAAGGATGCGTTCTATCATTGAAATATATGATTTTATGCTTGTTTTGTATGATTTTTTTGAGGACAACAAGCTTAAGTCAGGCCCTTCCACATTTTTATAAGTAAAAATTTACATTTCTGGTAGAATTTCCCATATAATGAATTACTATATGCTGTACTATTCAATCTTAATCTATAAGTGAGCAACACTGAAGTACTAATTAACAGTAAAGTAATAGCAACTAATCGTTTCTTTTTTTTGTCTCTCTCCATCCCTCCACTTCTCTGCCTTGTTTATTTTTAGGTAAATTCCAGGTGATGATTCAGAAGATGTGATTCACTACAATGGAGCATATAGTTCACAACGTGCATCTCAGTTTTATTGCCTTGTCGTTTTTTATTGCCTGCACATTTTATCAATAATATCACTATGAAGTTTTTTTTTTTAATTTGCAGTAACTTGAAAACTACTGGCATTAAATGTATTTTGACATGTACTGTATTTTTTGTTAGTATTTTGACACTCATTATCTGTCCATATTCACTGTTCTGATTATTCATTTGCACTAATAGCATTAAAGCTAGAATCCTGCTATGGGTTTGCTTCATTTTTAAGTGAGGATTATTGGTAAATAAATAGGAAATTGTAAATAATGCATTATATGTGTTTAAAGGTGAGATTTTTTGTTTTTAATATCAAGTAATCACAAAAGGCTACATTACAAAAAGCTTTGTCCGTGTCTGTCAATGAACAATCTCTAATTAATATAAAACTGGTATAAATTTAATAAGCCACTTAACTTCAACGTGTGTCTGTGAATAAATAATCTCCAATTAATATATGAAATTCTATGATATTCTAATATATGAAAAGCTTTCTATAAAGCTTTTGCCGCAAATAAGAAACTGCAGTGTCGATAAATAATCTCTTATTGATAAATAAAACTAGTATAAATTCAATAAGAAACTGCAATGTCAATAAATAGTCTCTTATTGATAAATAAAACTGGTATAAATTCAATAAGAAACTGCAATGTCAATAAATAATATCTTATTGATAAATAAAACTGGTATAAATTCAATAAGAAACTGCAATGTCAATAAATAGTCTCTTATTGATAAATAAAACTGGTATAAATTCAATAAGAAACTGCAATGTCAATAAATAATATCTTATTGATAAATAAAACTGGTATAAATTCAATAAGCCACTTTTTACAAAACTTAAGCTGCAAAAAAGAAACAGCAATGTTTGTCTGTCAATAAATAATCTATAATTATTATATTAAACTGGTATAAATGTAATAAGCCACTGTTTATAAAGCTTTAGCAGCAGAACAAAAAGTCCATGTGTGTCTGTCAATAAAATAATCTCTAATTAATATATAAACTTCCCAGAGATGGGTTGTGGCTGGAAGGGCACCCGCTGCATACAAAAGTGCTGGATAAGTTGGCGGTTCATTTTGCTGTGGCGACCCCGGATTAATAAAGAGACTAAGCCGAAAAGAAAACGAATGAATGAATAATATATAAAACTGGTAAAAATGTAATAAGCCACTGTCTATAAAACTTTAGCCACAAAAGAGAAACTTCAATGTGTGTCTGTCAGTAAATAATCTCTAATTATATTAAACTGGTATATATGTATTAAGCCACTGTCTATAAAACATTGGCCACAAATCAGAAATGGCAATGTGTCTGTGAATAAATAATCTTTAATGAATATATGAGCCACTTTCTATAAAGCTTAGCCGCAAATCGGAAACTGCAATGGGTGTCTGTCAATTATTAATCTCTAATTAATATATGAAACTGATATATATGTAATATTTATAATGTCCTTTTGGTATGCATCTACAGTCTATGGTATTTTATTGTTTTAGCAAGAATGTGCCTCTGCTGATCACGTGACTGCTTTTTTGTAACGTCACAAACACGGAACGAATAGGAAACGAGATGCGCCGCGTTACGCAGTCTGATTGGCTTATTTGTAAAGTCAGTTCTAACGGCACCCAGATTTAAACTAGCATTTGCATCGGGCTGTTTGTGGATGTAAGATATACGAGCGTCTGCTGGTTAAACTGTTTATTGTATTTATTTGTCATTTTAAGGTGACTGGAGGCATTGAATTGAAGTGTAAGTAATGTTTGTTTTCCTTTACGGAGTTTGTTATTTCCTTGGAATGTAACTGCTGCGTTTTAAACGACTATTTTGATGTGACTTGACGTTAATGTTAGTCGTATCGGGCCGTGATCGTTGTACTCTAACGTTAAATTAAGCTGTTAAAGTAAACGGAATATTTTTATCTGTAATGATCATGTCAAAGACTATTGTTTAATTGTTGCTTTCTCAAGATAAACAAGTTGTTGTTATGATTAGTCCGCATTAAAAGATCTTTGTTTACATTTTTGTCATTTGTTGGTGCTTGCACTAATTACAGATTAAAGCGTAACGTTATGTTAGATGGCGCTATATTTGCACATCGTTTATAAACTAATCTGATATGCGAAAATGAGTGGCCAAAAGTGAGTGATGATGTTGCAGGCCAGCAGCTCGAGTCTGAGATCCGCCATTAACTGCCATTTTGCGCACTTCAGTGCTTGAGTCACGCTAAGTTACATTGACGCCTCTGTTATTTTTTTCCTGCTCTGTTTTGTGCACCGTGTTGTTTATAGTAGTTTTGAATTTATGATTTTCCAGACTAATCCGGTGTGAATATGGACGGGGGCTCTACTTATTCATACGCATGGGATGCCCCTACGCATGTTTTGGAGTCCATAGATGATTTCGCCCTGGACCCTCAGGATAATGCGGACAAGTGGTTTGGTCAGTCTGTTTGTTCATTATGTAGGGTAAAATGCCTGTTCTAGGCAAGTGTTTACATACAGAAACTTCAACGTGATTTTTTTTTCTATTAATAAACTATTTTTCCTTTGACGACATGCTTCAGCAGTATTTTCACAATATTTATAATGATTGTGCGTTTGAGTTTTGACACCCCAGAGATAATTGCTCCTATACTTTAAATAATTGTATTTTTCAGTCGTTTGTCAGTTCACTTAAGTGAAATAGTTTAATAAAACAAATTTCATTACAAAGCTAATGATTTAATAGATGGGAGAGAGAGAGTGTGTGTGTGTGTGTGTGTGTGTGTGTGTGTATGTATACATGCATGCATACATGTATATCTGTGTGTGTGTGTGTGTGTGTATATATAGGATCTCTCTCAGATGAAGGGAGTCGTTTTGCTCTAGTAGCCATACATGCTTACAGTAAAAACATGTACCGTAAAAATACATGGTGGTATTTAATGTATGCATGTGTAACTGCACTACAAATCTGGTCATAAGTGTCTTTTTGTTTAAATAATTTTTACATATCCATTAGAATCTGAATAAGTAACCTTTCTGGTGATTTGTATTTTGTTAGGACAATATTTGGCTATAAGATGCAACTTTTTGAACATCTGGAATATTGGGGTTGAAATACTGAAAAAATTGCCTTTTTTAAAGGGGTGTGTGTGTATCTAAAGTGCTTAGCAATGCATATTGCAGCTGCAGCTAAGAGATTTGATACATTTACAGTAGGAGATTTGCCAAAAAAAAATTAAATCTTAATGATTAATCTTAATGTTATGATTTTTTCTGTACATAAAAGAAATCTATAATTGATCGTTTGGTTATTTGGTAGAATAGTTTTGGCTATTGCCAAAATGTATCAATGCAACATAAGACCCATTGTAAATGTGTACTCGTATTACTTTTCACTCGTATTACATTTTGTGCAAAAATAAAATCAATACTTTTTGTATAAATTACGTTACTGTAGCAGTTTAGTCACAAATATTGCTGTGTACTGAGTGAAGCAAACTATACATACTTAAATACTGAAATTGGTATGGGAAATAAGTTCATTTGTTAAATGTTGTTTTAGGTTTGCAGGCGGCTAGTGAAAGTGGTGTTATGGAACAGCTTACCACCCCTTTACGGACTAAACCTTTTGATGAACCTGTTGATACCAACAAGCCCAAAGCTATGGTGTCTCCCCTGGTCAGACAAGAGCCGACAAGCTCGGGTCAGGAAAAACTTTTTTTTTTTTCTCCTCTCTTCTTCTTCAGTCAGACATGCAAGATGAGCATCTTATTTTTTTTTTTTTTAATGACTGTTTCATGCATGCTCTGCTTCTAATGTCACAGAAAGTACCTCTACAGACATCCCGTCTAATATAGTCACATCATGGGGAAACAGCAGAACTACTGGAGCTCCTGGTCAGGGCCCCAAGTCTGTTCCTGCACAGCCACGCAGGTAAAACGAATAAGACATGTATTAAACAAGTGTATTTTTTTCACCTTTTAATCTCTTCTAGCTCCACTGATAGATTTTACATATTTTCCTATTGATACATTTTTATTTTTTTCCACCAGGGTGTCTAAACGACCTTTGCCCAAAAACGAAAAGCCCACCGTTGTCACAACACCTCCTTCTGTCAAGAAAAGACGGTATGACTTTAAAAATAGTTTTAGATTTTTTTTTCTTTTTGCAAATGAATGGTGGTAAGTTAGCCATTTTATTCTGCTGAATAGAGTTTTACTGGCTGCATCTTCAAGGAGAGTATTTGATCAGCGCCGAAGGTAAAATGAACTGAAAAGTATTTGCTAAGAAGTGGGGCCACCTAGTTGGTGATTTATTGGAGTTCACGGTGAAACGCTAATGTGGGGTCTTGCTCGAGAGACCAGAAATGAGTCCAAAGGGGTATCTCTTCCAAAAATGAAAAGTTCTTTACCATTTACTCAAGTGGTTACATTTTAGCATTTTTTTAATGATTTTTATCAAAGCAGGCATTGACATTATTATTTATTTTCTTAACATGGAACTCCATGGCTTATTTTTATTTTTTGCAACATTTTTCAGTATATCTTTGTGTTGAACAGAAGAAACTAAAATGGGTTTGCAGCAAGTTGACACTGAGTGAATCATGGAAGAATTTTCATTATTGGTTGAACTCTGTTTGTTTGTTTGTGTGTGTGTGTGTGTGTGTTTATATTTATATTTTTGTTATTGGTAATCTTCACAGAAGCTCTACATCGAGAACGATGCGACGCAGTGGTGCTGGAGTGAGAAGCAGTGTCCGACTAAAGGCAAAACCAGCCATTTCAAAGACCACTGATATTGCTTCCAATACTACTCAGTACGTTGTTCAAAAGTTACAGTAATTGTATTAACATTTGTGTACATTTTTCAAATAAGTCTTGCTTTTTAAATGGTCCCTTCATCAAAGGATCCTGAAAATAATTATATCCAATTTAACCACACAACGGTTTAACAATAATATAAAGTTTTTCTTGAGCTCCAACTCCATTTGCAATAATTTGATAAATAGTCTGACAATGAAGACTAATGAATTCATGGAATTAAGTTATTTAACGTTAGTGTTAGATCTATATTGATGTATATTTTATGGTGATGTGTATGTATTCACTGTAGCCATTAATACATTGCTGTCAATTTGTGTATTCTAAATTGACTTTATCTGTCTGTCTCTCTATCTGTCTATCTACACACACGGTTGAAGTCAGAATTATTAGCCCCTTTTGATTTTCTTTTTTAAATATTTCCCAAATTATGTTTAACAGAGCAATGAAATGTTCACAGTATGTCTGATAATAATTTTTTCTTCTGGAGAAAGTCTTGTTTGTTTTATTTTTAGCTAGAATTAATGCAGGTAATTAAAAAAAAAAAAACATTTTTGGGACAAAATTATTAGCCCCTTTAAGCTATTTTTTTTTTCAATAGTCTACAGAACAAACCATCATTATACAATAACTTGACTAATTACCCCAACCTTCCGAGATTACCTTAACCATGTTAAGCCTTTAAATGTCACTTTAAGCTGTATAGAAGTGTCTTGAAAAATATCAAGTAAAATATTGTTTACTGTCTTTATGGCAAAGATAAAATAAATCTGTTATTAGAGATGAGTTATTATCTATTATGCTTAGAAATGTGCTGAAACAATCTTCCCTCCATTAAACAGAAATTGGGGAAAAAATAAACAGGGGCGCTAATAATTCAGGGGAGCTAATAATTCTGACTTCAACTGTATATAATGTATGTATGTGTATATGATTTTCTTGAATTACATCCTTTTTGAATTTCAGTCATAAAAGCACAGAGCAGCAGGAGCTAGAGCGCATTGAAGCTCTGCAAAAAGAGGTGGCTGAACAACGGCGCAAGAATGAGGCCAGTTACAGAGCCGCACTGGCAGGAAGTAAGTCACAAGTAATGATCTACTTTGTGGACTGCGACACTGAGGTTTTATTATTGTCATTGTTATTAATAATAATGTTTTTTTGTTTTTTTTCTAATTGTATAAAGGTCAGCTTGTAAAGAAGCAAGTGCTCTCTACCACCATTCCCAAAGAGTTCAACTTCCGCACAGATAGCCGGCTGAAGAACTACAAGGATGGAGTCTCAGCCGTAGACAACTCTTACAAGGAGACCACATTCACCTCTCAGCTTCGCAAGCACCCATCTTCTCCGGTAAGTAGCATCACTAGGATGTTGGATTCTCTATAAATCTCCTTAATGATTTTAAGTGAATTCTGTGTTGTTCTGTAGTTGAAGGCTCCAAAGGGAACCACCATTCCCAAACCCTTCAATCTCTCCAGAGGCAAGAGGAAGCATGATGAAACTGGAGTCTATGTGCCAATGGCCCAACAGGTCGAGCAATTCCAGAAGCGCACACCCACCCGCTATCATCTGCGCAGTCGGCAGAGCCAGGAGAGAGGTGTGCCTACTCTTAAATTTTGTTTCTGGAGGCTTTGAATATCAGCACTGCTTTCTTGAGATGCTGTGAAATGTCTCTTTACGGAATAATTTAAACTGCAAGGTTGTCTGGAGAGTAATAGTATAATCTTGTATGCATAGAAACTCGTGTCTTCAAATTACTGTACAGTAGAATCTATTTTTTAGAGTAGTAACACGAGACGTTTTTTACAGTAGGTCTTCCATGCTTAAACAGGTTTTGACAGGAATAAAAATGGTAAACTTTTTAGATTACAGATCATTATTTTATTCACTCAAATGGGCAATATTTGCGTCTTTTTATTATTATTATTATTATTATTTATAATGTTTTTTTATTTTTTGTAATACAGGGCCATCACCTCTGAAGGCAGATAAGTCAAAAATCACACATCCCAAAACACCACAGCTACTCACTCAGCAGAGACATCGTCCCACAACGGTGAAAAGCACTGCAGAGCTGGAGGCTGAGGAAGTGGAAAAACTGCAGCAGTAAGCTTTGCTCTAAGGCTTTTGTGTAAAATGTTTAATATGAATATGGTTCAAACTTGTCGTATTTTATCTTAGGTTTAAGTTCAAAGCTCTAGAACTTAACAGAAAGATACTGGAAGGGGCTTTGGTTCCTAAAAAGCCAGCTTGTAAAGAAAAGACTAAGCCTGAGGGCTTCCATTTGGAGATTGAGAAGAGACTTCAGGAAAGACAGACCAGTAAGAAACCTGAAGAAAAAGAGGACCACACATTCCATTCCCGACCGCTGCCAACCCGGATTCTGGAGGAAGTTGTGGTTTGTATCAGTTGTTTCAACCTTCTTGATGTATTAAGGTTTTGAGTCCCCTTTTTTATGATTGTCATGTTCATCTTAATACTTGCAGGGAGTCCCTGAGAAAAAAATGATAAACCCAACTGTTCCAGAATCACCAGCGTTTGCTCTTAAAAGTCGTGTGCGAATAGAAAAGAAAAAAGAAGAGGCAAGTTAATAACATGCTATTAAAAAACAAAAACGCATATCTTTGGGGAAATCTTTTTGTCTAATTACTTTTTTGCACCCTCAGGAAAAGCCTCCTGCTCCAATTAAGGCCTTAGCTGTGCCCCACTACCTGCCCTTCCAGCCCAAACCTCCAGTCAAGAGTCAGGTAGAAATGTGCCCGTTCTCATTCGAGGAACGTGATCGTGAACGAAAGATGATGAAGGAAAAGAAACTGGAGGAACTGAGAAACGAAGAGGTATTTTCTTTGCGGATTGGCCGTTCAATAAAGACTTCCAGAATTTAAATTGTGCCTAATTGCACTGCCTCACCTATTGCCACAGGTGCCAAAGTTCAAGGCTCAACCCCTTCCTGACTTCCATGAAGTGCATCTACCTGAGAAAAAGGTACAGGAGGCCACCAAACCTGCTCCTTTTAAACTGATGATTGACGAACGAGGGGCTGCAAGGAGTGAACGCTGGGAGCAGATGGTAAGGTTTCCTTCTGAGTGTTTTTGCTTTGTATATTGTAATTGTTATTGGTTGCGTGTTTGTTTATTTTTCTCTCTCTTGTGCCACAGACATGTGGCTTTTTAGCATTGCCTTTACTTGTAATATCAAAAGTGAGATTAAACTCAATTTATTTGTTTTATCAATCAAATGCCACCTCCCACGTTTTGATTTTTTTCATCTAAATTTGATGGCCTTCATAATATTTTCTGCTAGGAATGACGAGCCATATTATATCAATGTTGAAACGAGCCTTTGTTTTCCCTTCTATTGTTAATTAACAAGCTCTCTCAATGGCAGAAAACTAAGGCTTTAATGTGCTTCAAGCTGCACAATATATCATTTGAATATCAATATTATGTGTGCATTGTCTTATTGCAACGCATGCAATGTTTAGTTGGATTTATAAATCCGAAACCACAGGTTAAAATGCAAGAAATTTGTGGAAACACTGCAGAATTTAACCATAATGGAGTGAAAGGTTATTATTGCATGTTGTTTTCAAAGCCTGTGACTGAGCATTTTGAGAGTTTAAAGCCTTTTTAGTCTTATGTAATTTTTTTTTTTTTTATAAACCATGCCATGTTTTATATTTGATTATTCAATTTCTGTACCTGAATACTGTTGCTCTCTCCAGAAAACCATAAAGCACTGCTTTTAACTTTAATATTTGCTCTTATGTTTATGACTGGTTTGTTTATTATATGTATTTAAGAAGTTACACAAAAACATTTCACTCCATTAAAATCTTACCAATCTAAAATAATGACTTTGCAAATAGAGCTGTTTAAGTTATTTGGTGAAATTTATATCACAAAGGGAAAAAATATTGCTATGTAAACCATTTCCAATATCATGCAAACTACAAACTGGTGATGTGATTTTTGTATAAAATAATTTCAAAACTGATTTTAGTGTTTTAGAAGTTCAAAACCGCTTGCCAATGTGACCTTTTTAGGAAAGTTTGGTTTTGGTGATTGTCATTAGTCCATAGCGTTTCTTTAATTGATAGAAGGACCAGTGAGGTCATTTAAATTTACATTGAATCGTTTGGTAGGCCCTGATCCTAAACAACTTGAAAGGCAAAATAATGAAAAAGGGGAAAGTAATTTTGATCATTCCTAGTTATTCTAATGGTGCTTTCACATCTGTAGGTCGATGTTCTTTTGTTCTGAAACGGGGATTAAAATTGTTACAATGCTTATTTTTGTTCTTAGTGCGGTTCACTTTTACACGGCAAAGTTTCTAAACAGACCAAATAGCCAAAACAAGAGACATGCGAGTAAACTCTCCTCACATTAGTCAGAGTTTCAGGGTTTTTTACAGAGTACTCCTCGCTATTCTTATATAGTCTTATTGCCATAAACTAAAATAAGCGAAAAGCTGCGCCCACACCCACAGACATTATCACTAAATATAAATTTGAGAGAAGACTTTATCATACATAAATATTGGCTAGAATTATGCATTATAGGCTTTACATTTATAGAAAGAAATGGCAGAAACCAAGACTGCATTTCGGTCCGCTTTCCTAACTAATAAACAGCGCTCGGTAATTCAGCATGCTTTCACATTTCATTTGCATTTGACATGAAGTGCATATTAATCGGTAGAAATGATATCCCGCCCTACTCTTAATTCTCTCTTCATATAGCTGTATATATGCCTATAACATCTACAATGCACTGTGATTATACCCTGGTTCGTTAGATCATGTAGCTTTCTCACTACAATTTATCCGCTCCAGAGTTTGTTTCAATTGTGCTGAAACCACCTCATTCAGGCGATCTCAGACTGATTGTTTTGGCGCAGATCCTAGTGCGATTGCGGGATTCACATATGCCAAACAAACCACTCTAACTGGGGAAACGAGACTGGTTCCAAAACAAGTCTAGCTGTGAAAGCACCCTGACACTGTAATCTCTGTATTAACTTGATCCTATTTTACATTGTTTCTTCAGATGAAAGAGGAGTTGAAACATCAGGCTGAAGCAGCATGTTTTAAAGCGAGGCCAAACACTGTATCCTACAAAGAACCTTTTGTACCAAAGAAGGAGAATCGTTCCATCCTGGGTATGTCATGTTTTATGTGGTGTATGGTTATTTATTTATTTTTTTTCCACAATTTCTTGCTGTGTGATACTGGCTTGCTGGCTCTTATTTTTCCACCCTGCTCCAAGCACACAACTAACTGCAAAAACAATTGTCACTTCCTTCCAACTTTCACCACTACTGTTGTCTCAACCTGACCATTTCACATGGTCCTCTTTTGTTCACATTTGGCACTTTCTCAAGCCAATACTACTAATTCTGCAGTCCCAGAGGGCTTTCAGTTGGCAACAGAGCGGAGAGCCAAGGAGCGCTTGGAGTTTGAGAAGGAGTTGAGCGAGAGGGAAGCGCTTAGGGCTCGCATGGAGGAGGAGCGTGCCAGAGAACGAGAGCAGCAAGAAAAGGAGGAGATTGCAAGACTGCGACAGGAACAGGTAAGGGTGTTCAATCAGAATGAGCACTTTTGGAAACTTTTTAGCCATGTTTAATTTTTATTATATATATTTTTTTCCATAGTCACAGTTTGAACATTCTGAAATTCATCAATAATAATTACTATTATTTAAAAAATTTTTTATAGGTTTAACATTTGATTTCAAAAATTTATTTTATTTTTACCAGGTCTGAAGATTCATAGGTTGAACATTTTGAAATTCTATTATTTATTTTATTTTATTATTTTTTTTTTTCTCAGGTCTGAAAAGTCATGGGTTGAACATTTTAAATTCAAAAATAATTTGAACAATTTGAAATTCTATATTTTTTTTTCTCCCAGCACTGAAGAGTCATAGGTTGAACATTTGAAATTCTAGAATATGAATGTTATTAATAGGTTGAGCATTAGAAATTCGATTGATTATTATTATTATTATTGTTGTTTGTTTTAATTTATTTATTTTTAAATGTAATATTTCTCTTTTCCCCACAAGGTGTGCAAGGCCCAGCCAATCAGGCACTACAAACCAGTAGAGCTGAAAAAGAGTGATGTATCCCTCACAGTGCCCCAGTCACCAAACTTTTCTGATCGTTTCCGCATGTAAATGCATCTTATGTTGACTTAATTGTACAGTTTTCTTGTGTTTTGACTTGTTTTATATCTTTCTATAATGTCTTTTTATGGGAATATTTAGAGGAGTTTTTATCTGTCTGTGGCAAATGCATTAAACCTTTTTAGTGCTCCAGTGAACATTTTATATAGTTGGGTGAGACTTCTGCCCCAGCTCAACTTTCTTTTCAACTTTCCTTGTACTTTTTAGCTTTCCCTTCCCTATCTGAATAAATCTTGGAAAACACATCATGTCTTTAGTAAATGACTGCTATGGAATAACTTTTGTAATGGTGGTCCAACAAAATGACAAATGTTTTTCTAAAGTGCACTTATGCATGATGAGTTTCTGAATGCGAGTTAAGATCAGTCATGCAGGTGCTAGAAAAAAGCCTGAAATAAGTAGTTGGTTATTTTCTGCCTAGAGGAGAGTTGGCTTTTAAAAGGAGATGCAGGGAGAGATCAGCTGTTTGACCTAACTGTTTCAGACCCTAGGAGAGGACGTGATGCTCATGTATACAGTGGGGGAAATAAGTATTGCACTTGTAAAAATCTCAAATACATTGTCAATCCAAACTGATCTTAGTTTGTGTTTTCTGTTGGAATCAAGTCAGGTGTTTTGGCTGGGTCATTCTTCAGCTTGATTTTCTTTCTCTGGAAGTATTTGACAGATTTCTTGACTGGTTTTTGGATCATTGTCTTGCTGAAATGTCCACCCTGGTTTCATTTTCATCTTGCTAATATAGATATTGGACTGAAGCAGCTAATACTAAATTACAAAGACAAGGGCAGTGGGTTGCTGAAGAGTTACATAAATATTTCAGCTGCTGTTGGGCATTCACTGCCTTCCTATTCCTTCCTTCATGTGTTCAATACTTTTGTCCTCTCATTTCATTTTATTACACAACTGTATCTTTGGTTATCAGCATCTGGTGAAAATTGTTAATAGCACCCTGAGAAGTTTTTTTTTTTTTTTTTTTGAGAAAAACTGTTGAATACTTATTTCCCACACTGTATAATCATGCGGGGAAAAGCTTTTCTGTTTTGCTCCCTTTGTATCCATGTAAAGCTATAGATGTGGACCTGTGAAGCAAAAGCCTGTATAAAGATATAATTGGGAACTTCAAGTCACCTGGAGTTTTCATCTTAAAAGGGCTCAACTTTTGTTCTAATAAAGCTACATGACTAAAGGCACTGCATGGATGATGCTAGAGGGACGTGTCTGTCTCGCATTCATTCGGCTCACGCATTGCCGTCTCTACGCTTTTGTCTTGGAAAGACTTTGTGCCCGCTCTCCACCCCTGGGACAGTTCTGCATGCCTCTATTATCAGTTTACTGTTTGCGAGTCCCCTTCTGTGTGCTGCCTATTTCTGGTGACCAGAGATAAAAGAGGAATCTGACAGACTGCTACTGAGCTTCCACAAAACACCAGAGATCAACGTGTCCAAAATCCTTAGCAAACAAAAAACGCACGTTTATGCTGGCATTCTCCGTGTGGACCAACATCTTTACAGGTGGGTGTCAAATTTATTTTAAAATGTATTTGGAGTTTAGAGAAAGACATGAAAATAGTGTCATGCTAGTTATTGTTTGTGCTGCACAAGATAAATGTACTTCTAAAGGGATATTCACCTCATTTTCTGAAAAAGAAAATACTTTGAAGAATGTTGGTTGCTAGTAGCCATCACTTTCCATACTAGGAAAAAAAATAAGTGCCAGCTACCAGTGTTTATTTTTTAGGGACAAATATAAGAATCTGAGAATCAATGTAGTAAAACGTGTGCTGTTTCAAGAAAACAATTCATTTGTGTTTTTTCATTTGTATTGATTATTTTTTTTTATCACATGATCATTAGTCATTTATATAATTATCATGTTGTATTGATCATTTGTTAATTATTTGATTTTTTTTTTCATTTTTATGACGTTTTTCATATTTTATTCTCTCTCTCTCTATATATATATATATATATATATATATATATATATATATATATATATATTAATATTATTTTTATTTTTTTTTTATTTTCATTTGACCCTATTGTTCTAATCTTATGACTGAATTCAAGCCACACTTGTTTTCATGAGTAAGGGATAAGAGAATGTTTCCATTTCAAAGTCTGTATTGTCTTAGTATTTTTCTATTGCGTTCGCTTGTGATATAACAACACTTGTTGGATTCATCCTGGTTAGACGAAGTCTACAGGATTTTTGTGTGAAATATTCCGTTTATCAAATTTATGGACACAAATTTAGAAAGTGTAACTAATACTACTACAAAAGTTCATAGTTGCCTTTTAGCTTAAGTTTAATCCATTTGTACTCAACTATTTTAAATACATAGTACAGTCCATTTAAAATAATGTTAGATGTATTATAATAACTAATTCAGTGTTATAATTAAAATCATGTTAAATAATAAATGTTTCTTTAAAAGCTAAAGAGTCTAATGTCTAATTCAGGGCTGCCCAAACTTGGTCCTGGAGGGCTGATGTCCTGAATATTTTAGTTCCAACCCCAATTAAACACATCTGAGCCATCTAATCAAGGTCTTTATAGGTATACTAAAACTTCCAGGTAAATGTGTTGAAGAAAGTTGGAGCTAAACTATGCAGGACACCGACCCTCCAGGGCAGTTTGGACACCCCTGGTCTAAATAAAATGTTTTCTCAAATTTTTTAATTCAACTATAGGTTATTATAGTCCATTATATTAGTTTATTACCTTTTTAAAAGCTCATATGTTTACTTAAATTTTAAGTACTTTTAAGTCTACTCCATTTCTTAATTTTAATTGATTTATATTAACAACTTTAAGCTCGAAGGTCTACATAACTTATTGTCTGTGAATGCTCAATTTCTGTTTAAATTATCCTCAACTGGTATGCACATTTTAGCCTGCAACTCTCCAAACCAACTTATATTTCTAATAAATGGCTTAGATGTAGCAAAAAGTCCTTTTTTTTTTTTTTTTTTTTTTTTTTTTTTTTTTTTTTTTTGTCGATAATGCTCATTTTTCTCTTTTTCTCTAGCACAACCTTACTTTCATGTCTCTCAAGGACTCTATGAAATGCCCCGTGCCTCCATCCAACCCAACAACCCTGGAGGCCAAGGTGGATGACCTGCGGCTGAAGGTGGAACTCCTTTTGGGCTCGTCCAGAAGTTGCTCCATGTGTGGGACATGTGCACAGCACCGTGCCCTGCAGGAGACACTGACCAGTCAGCTGTCCACCCAGACCAGACTCCTGGACTCTCTAGAGAAGAAAGTGATGGAAATGAGAGTAGCTCTGGAGGATCTGACACGCGGTATGAAGGAGAATGATTCAAGTTACATTCAGATAATTTGAAAGTGTCTCAAGTGTCCAAATGCTGTTCTTTTCTCTCAAATATGAAAGGTCTGGAGGACAGACAGTGCGAGAGAGTGTCTGTGCCTTTAGTGGCTCTTCAGAGACGGAAATCACTGCCTGTTCGAAGCTCTGCGGTCAGTGGAAACCGGGACAAGAGCCAAGATTGCTTAGAAACTGTTGCATTAACTCTTATGTCTATAACAGAGGCACAAATTATCTTCAGAATTAACACAAGTTAGAGAATGTTAGAAACTGTTAACTATCATAGCAGGAAAAATTAATACCACGGAGGAAAATGGTTACAGGTTTCCAACACTTTTTAAAATGTCACATTTTCTGTTCAACAGAAGAAAGTGAGTTAAACAGGTTTGTAACAAATGAAGGGTGGGCGAATGAGTATATTTCAAACTTTAGTGAACTCCCTTTAACAGCTATTATGTCCATTAAAGCTGTGAGAAGCGACAAATCTGATGCAGAGAGACTTCTACTAAAGTCTACTCAACCACATATCACTATTTGTGTTACATTAGTTTACATGAAAGTTTGGAAATTAACACCATATGTGGTTGACATATGTCATAATAGTGGGTGGCACGGTGGCTCAATGGTTAGCACTGTCACCTCACACAAGAAGGTTGCTGGTTTGAGGCCGGGCTGGGGCAGTTGGCATTTCTGTGTGGAGTTTCCATGTTTGCATGGTGAGGGCTTTCTCCCAAAGTCCAAAGACATAGTATGAGAGAATTGAATAAGGTTAATTGGCCATAGTGTACGAGTGCGTGTGTGTTTCCCAGTAGTGGGTTACAGCTAGTAGGGTTATTCAATTCACCTTTATTTGTATAGCGCTTTTACTTCACATAAAAGATCATCATAAACAAACTGTAGTTCATTTTTCAAAGTTTAAGTTCAGTTCAGTTTAGCTCAGTTCAGTGTGGTTTAATAATCACTACCAAGAGTTCAAACACCGAAGAGCAAATCCATTAATGCGCAGCTCTACAGATCCTAAAACATGCAAACCAGTGGCGACAGCGGCGAGGAAAAAAAATTCACCAATTGGCGAAAGTGAAAAATTAAAAAACCTTGAGAGAAACCAGGCTCAGTTTGGCACGACCATTTCTCCACTGACCAAACGTCTTGTGCAGAGCTGCTGTTTAAGCGCCGGAGGCTGGAAGCTGGACCTCAGCGGAGACTCGTCTGTCCCTGGAGCGTTACAGGAATTAGTCTCATGCTGTCCACTCCTCCATCCCCACAACAGCAGCCGCTCAGGATACGGCCTGGTCCAGGATATGGAAACCTTGGGTTCATCTTGTTGCTGGTCTTGGATCAAATCAGTGGCGCTGCATGGTTTGAGGGCCTCGGGATGAGTATCCCCAGGTGGAAATAGAGAATAAAGAGAATGATTAGCGTAGTTGCTGTTCATAGTGTATATAAACAAGATGCAGAAACCTGTGTGGAGCACATTCCTGTATCATACCTCTAAGTGATGCACTGAATGTATGCTTTACTAAAAAGATAGGTCTTTAATCTAGTTTTGAATTGAGAGAGTGTGTCTGAGCCTCATACATTATCAGGAAGGCTATTCCAGAGTTTAGAAGCCGTAAATGAGAAGGCTACTGCTGAGTAAAACATATGCTGGATAAGTCGGCGGTTCATTCTGCTGTGGTGAATAAAGGGACTAAGCCGATGAAAAATAAATGAATATATTATAATGGTCTATATAGAATAAATGAACAGTGGTATTTAATGCATTATGCCAGGTGGTTATAAACTGCCAAGCAAACATTAAAGGTTACCTCAGTGTTTCTATATGGTTATCATTCATTCATTTTATTGTCGGCTTTGTCCCTTTATTAATCCAGGGTCGCCACGCAGTGGATGCCCTTCCAGCAGCAACCCATCTCTGGGAAACATTCACACACACACACTCATACACTACGGACAATTTAGTCTACCCAATTCACCTGTACCGCATGTCTTTGGACTGTGGGGGAAACCGGAGCACCCGGAGGAAACCCATGCGAAGGCAGGGAGAACATGCAAACTCCACACAGAAACGCCAACTGAGCCGAGGTTCGAACAAGTGACCTTCTTGCTGTGAGGCGACAGCACTACCTACTGCGCCACTGCCTCGCCCTCTATATGGTTACTGCTTGGTTATTTTTTTTAAACCAAATAAGAATTTTCTGACTACATTGTCTGTTATTAATTCATTTTCTTATTATTATCTAATATATTTAACTTACTCAATTCACCTGTCTTTGGACTTGTGCGGGAAACTGGAGCACCAGAAGTAAACCCACACCATCATGGGTAGAACATGCAAACTCCACACAGAAGTCAGTTCTTTTTTTTTTTTTTTGTAACCCCTTAATTGGATCGTTCAAGCAAAAAAACAAAAATTGTGTCATCTTTTACTCGTTCTCCACTTTTTCCATACCTATTTTAATTATTTTTTTTCCTTCAGTTGAACACAAAGCAAGATATACTGAAGAATGTTGGAAAAAATTCTGTAATTTTTGTCCCATGTGGTGTGTGAATTTTCATTTTGAGTTTCATTTTCAATATTCCCAAGATATAATAATATTTTTCAACTGGGAGAAATATACTTTTTCTCCTTAAAATAAGTTGAAAACATTTTTATTAGGACAACTTGATTGTTTTACTTTCAGTCCACTTAATTTTGCAAGTTAGGTTAACTGATTTGTTTTGTGACATTATGAAGGAATTGTGTGTAGGCATTTTCCCATATATATATATATATATATATATATATATATATATATATATAGTTTTTTTTACATGTTTTTTCCTTATGCAAGGCTTTATTATTATTATTATTATTATTATTAAGTGTGTAGTAACCACATTTCATCTGTGCATTTATCACAAATTAAATACCCACAGTTTAACTACAAATACCAAAACTATGCTTGATTTGATGTGTATCTATAATATTGAACACCTAGCAAACCTTACCTGTCATGTTAGAATTGCGTAGCATTGTGATTCTCTTTTTTTCATAGCTTTAACATTTATCATGTACTTCATATGTTTGTCAACTGTTTCTTATTGACAGGAGGAAGTCTACATTTGTTTGGACAGAGACCGTAAAACGATGCCCCATGCTTTTAATAAGCCCTCAGAGAAAGGTAATTACAATAGTCTATTATTTTATATTAATGATGGCGTGGTTTTGCCACAGGATTGTCATGGTCAATTTTGATAAATCTGAATGAAACATTTGTTAACATGTTAAGAGTTGCTGAGTGACAGGGAGACGCACAAATCACCTGAATGTAGAATCAATAGTCAATACGAGGGTTTAAAGGAAAGGGTTTGAAGCTTTATGTTTTTAAGATTAAATTGTTTGCTTTTATTTGATAAGACAGGAAATGAAATGGGAGACAGAGGGGGATGGGATTAGCAAAGGTTTACAAGCCAGGATGGGAACAAACCACTGGAATATCGGCGCCAACAGAGATTTACATTTTTATACAATTTCAAGATTCTTCATGTAAAAACATTATTTTTGCATTCTAGTTGGCACAAAATTATTAGCTCTCCTTTTTTCCCAGTATTTCCTATTATATAAATGTTAAGTAATATATGTTTTCTGTTTGACTGCAATATTTTTAATGATTTTACAATAAAAGAAAAAAAAATCATGTATTAATCAATATTATTAGCCCCCTTAGGAAATATTTATTTTCGATTGGCTATAGAAGAAACCACTGTTGTCCAATGACTTGCCTAATTAACCTAACTTGCCTTGTTAAGCATTTCACTCACACTTAAATCTGAATACCACTATGTTGCAACATTACTATTAAAACAGTATATACTGTCATCATGGCAAATACGAAGAAATGAGTTATCAAAACTACTGCATTTTTTAAAATGCTTTGAGAAATCTTGTATTTATTAAACAGCACTTGGGAAATATTTGCAAAAGAATATAAATTTCATTGGAGGGCTAATTGTTTTACCTGAACTGTATATCCCAACATACCATATCCACATATATATATATAATTGTGGTCTCAAATGTGGCCTTTTCACTCTCTGTTATTCATGTTGACCTCATCAAACAGCATGCTGACATCAAATTTCTAATGTTTTTTATAGACTTTTAACACTGATAATCTTACATTTTAAAAACATGTGTGTGTGGAATGTAAATACACTGACTTTAGTTCCGACTGCTTGACTGGTTTTCATCCACAATATTTCACTCGCAGGTTTATGGTAAACGCGTCTTTGTTGTGCAGGTATTTTGCTAGAGGTCAATGAGAACAATGGAACAAGAAGAGAGGACCATCAAGCCAAGAAAGATTCAACAGAGGTGAAAGTTGAACCTACATTGCCAATTAAAAGGGAAAACGGCACATCCAGCGTAACCCCAAGATCCGAGCAAACACAGAAAATGAATAAGACTGAAAATAAGAGCATGCCACCAACCCAGAATCATGTCCTGATACCGATCAGAACTCCAGCCATTGCTTCCCAAAAAACAGAAGCCCAAGAAATCAGGAAAGTGCCGCCACCAAATATTAAAGTTCCTGTAGCAGCGGCTGTGATTATTCCCAACACAACTGGACAGACGTGCACTGAATCTGTGAATGTAACCCCAGCAAATCATATCTTACCCAAGACAACCGTCACTCCTGCAGCGCCACCATTAGTAAACAACAATACCCCCAAACTCACTGTATCGGAAGTCCCTAAAGACTTCAAACCATCCCATAAATATCCACAAACAAGTCTGCCACCATCAGTAGCTGCACAGAGGTCTGAACAAACACCAGTAAATATGCCTACAACAAAAACAACAACACCACAAGATGCAGCATTGTTTCCTCCAACCCACAAACCACCTAAAACAGTGGGTTTAAGTGTTACCACTGCAACAAAAGAGGCTTCCTCCCTCAGACAAGTGCACAGCTGCCCCAATTCTTTACAAAGGTAAAACCAGCAATGGTCCAATTATTGTCCATTTATTTACCTTAGCAGAACACACTGGTAAATGTTATTGAATTATATTGTTTATCATTTAAGAGATGTTTATTGCCATAAAAAAATGAAACTGTCACTTGTACATATACAAAACATCCATTTTGCATATACACACTTTATCAAAAACTAAAAGAAAAACTAAATAGCATTTATTTTAAGCAATAATAGTACAAGTGTGCTTAAAAATAATTGGCCGAAACAAAAGTTAACTATAATGCTTTAATTTCCTGTTTAACTGCATTATTTTCTGAGCAAAGTAATGAATTGGACTTATTAATTTATATCTTGCTTTGTGTATCGACCTTTTTCTTTTACATAAGAGGGGATGCAGCCAATGGAAGCTTCCCAGCAGGCATGTCAAATTGATGTTGTTACCCAAACGTTGTGGCGATGTTGCATTTTGTTTAGAAATGAATATTGGGTTGTCGTCAGTCTGATGTCAGTGTTCAATATCCAATCTAAAATTAAGCAAATATTAACGTCTAAAGATGTTACAACTTGACGTTGTGTGGACGTTTCCGTCTATCAGACATTGTATTTTGGTTTCCATACCTGACAGATAAATGTCAGTATTTGATGTCAATATGGTGTTGGTTTATGATGTTTGTTTGTTTGGATTTTGGTCATATTCCAACACAACCTAAAATGAACCAAATATCAACGTCATTTGAAGTCATTATTGGACGTCAAAATAATGTTGTCCTTAGATGCTGGCTAGTCATTGAATTTTTGTCATGCAAATTTTGGTCACGTCATGGCGTAAATCTAAATTAATGTTAACATCTGTTGTGTGCCTGCTGGGTTATTAGTTTCAGTCTTGTATATTTCCACAGATTTTTAGCTGTAATTTTACAAACTTGTATTTTCTTATTATAATATTCTATTTTTATGTATTATCATAAAATAGTTTGCAAAGCAAGTAGTTTGATCGTTTACCCTCGTTTGTTATTCCTAGTCATTTCCACATAGGCAAATTAATCAGAAGTACTAAAACAATCACAAGAATAAGATAATTCTGCATAGCAGAATAATGTCAATAAGTCAAAGTATGTTAGTTTATATTTACATAAATACGTCTTACACACTGAATGAATCATTTTGGCTCTTATTCCAACTTGTGCTTTCTTAATGACAATATTTGAAACCTTAATGTAGACCCTTGCCTGTTTATCTTGTACAGATTACAGGTCCCTGGATTAAAGGCAGATTTGGTCCACACTGTAACATCAACACTGACTAGTAAAAAAAGAGCAACTGAAACTGTTGGAGCAGCAAAGCTAACATCAGATGGAATACAGATTAAAATAAGTTCAGCTACAGACAAGAATTCAGCACAGACAAAGAGCTACAACCCTCCTAAACTCTGTTTTAAAGTTATAGGTAAGTAAGAAAAACACATCTCTCTATTTTGAAAATTAATTTAGGTTCAAGGATGAGGGTTCCCACTGGAATATCATGGAATGACACTGAAAATAAGTAAATAAATAATAGTAAAAAAATACATAAATAAATTATATATATATACACACACACACACACACACACATATACATACACTCTGAGAAATAAAGTATTCAAGCTGTCACTGGGGTGGTGGTACACATTTGTACTTGAAGGGTCCATATTGGTACCTCAAAAGTAAATATTCGTAACTACCTTCAAATTTTAAGAGGAACCCTTTTGAACTTTTTAGGTACTAATTTCTACCCTTGAGGTATTAATATCTATACATATACAGTTGAAGTCAGAATTATTATACCCCCTGTTTATTTTTTCCCCCAATTTCTGTTTGACGGAGAGAAGATTTGTTTAACACATTTTTAAACATAATAGTTTTAATAACCCATCTCTAATAACTGATTTATTTTATTTTTGCCATGATGACAGATATTTTTCAAGACACTTCTATACAGCTTCAAGTGACACTTAAAGGCTTAACTAGGTTAATTAGGTTAACTTGGCAGGTTAGGATAAATAGGCAAGTTATTGTATAACTATGGTTTGTTCTGTAGACTCTAGAAAAAAAATAGCTTAAAAGGGCTAATAATTTTGTCCTTAAAATGGTGTTTAAAAAATTAAAAACTGCTTGTATTCTAGCCGAAATAAAACAAATAAGACTTTTTCCAGAAGAAAAAATATGATCAGATATATACAGTATATATAATGTCATAAAATTATTTGTAAAGCAAGTCAATTGTCTTTTATTCCTGGTTATTTCAACATAGTTTTCCAAAATCCCAGAAATGAGTTAATTCGGCGAAGCAGAATAAAAGTCAAGATATGCTGTTTAACTTGTATAAATATGTCTTATACACTGAATTAAACATTTTACTCCTATTTTGACTTTTGCGACTTAATTTTATTTTTATTATTATTTATTTATTTATTTATTTATTCCTAATCATGGAATATCAGGAATATGGGAGACCACAAGGGAAAGCTAGTTTGCTGCTGGAAGTGGTATTAGTGTGACCAGCAGGGGGTGTTCAACCTGGGGTCTATGTGGGTCCTAATGCCCCAGTATTGGGATGGGGACTCTATACTTCTCAGTGAGCGCCGTCCTTTGGATGAGGCATCAAACCTGACTGAGTTCCTGACTCTCTTGAATAAAAAAGCCAGAATGTCCTTCAAAAAAAAGAATAGTGGTTAATCCCGGCATCCTGGCCAAATTTGCCCACTGGCCTCTGTCCATCATGGCCTCCTTACCATCCCCATATTATAATTGGCTTCATCACTCTTCTCCACCAATCTGTTGGTGTGTGGTGTGCGGTCTGGCGCAATACGGCTGCTGTCACGTCCTGCAGGTGGATGCTACACACTGGTGGAGGATGAGGAGATTCTGCCCCAAAACAACGTGTAAATCGCCAATGTCTAGAAAAGCGCTATATAAATATAAGGAATTATTATTATTTTTTGTCGCTTTAAATTTGAGTTCCTACTTATCAAAAACATTTTCTCTATTACTCTATTGCACTGTTTGAAGTGGTCGATTTGAAGCCAAAACTTGTGTTAAAACACAATCTGAGGTAAATGATCAATTGTTGTTCTCAGAGTGTGTATTAAAGTCATGCAAAATGATTTTCAAGCTAGACCAAAATTGTTAATATTAACTAAAATTTGAATATTTTACCATATCATTTTAATATTACATTATTGATATACAAGCACAACAGCAGCTTGTTTTTCCATTCATTAGATTTTCAGATTTTTTAGTCAGGGAATTTGATATTTAGCTTAAAGTGGGAAAACCCAGAAGAATACTTGTCAATTGATGTCAGTCAAGTATTTCTAGATAAGAGAATAGACAAGCACACATTGAAAAATTGCTGTTGTGTAAATTTGTTTTCAAAGGTTAAAAAGGTGACAGCAATGTCTCCAGTATAGCCTGACCTTAGAAATCTGAAGCATCTAGAATACGCTAATCCTTTGTCCCTGGCACATTACTGTCCTGTCCACTCTCCTGCAGCTGTTCCCGCTCCAGTTCAGCACCACAAGCATTAAAGCTCCGATTTCACCACCATTAACATCTCTGACCCGACATTCCCACTGTAAGATGATTGTCCTTATGGTTCTTTCCAGATGATGTTTCACCTCAGCCTGCTCCTTTTGCGCACCGGTTTGTGGCGCTGAAGTCTAGCCCTCCGCCCTGTGACACCTTCAGTATCCACACCAGAGAAGTGCTTGGAGGGTGAGATAATGAAAGCTTTTGATAAGTCGTTTGTCAGTTCAGATGACTTATTTAGCATCTTTTAACTTTTAATAATCTGTTTTGTTAGTGGCCGCTTTGGTAAGGTGCATAAATGTACGGAGACTAGAACGGGGATGAGGCTCGCTGCCAAAATCATCAACACAAGAAATTCCAAAGAAAGAGTGAGTACACTAGTTTCATTAGTGATGTTTTGATAAGCTAAAACATTATGGCCATTTAAAAGTGAAGCAAATATTGTTTTTCATCTTCTAACAAGACCATAATGTGTATGCGACACTGGATCACAAAGCCAAAGTGTTTAAAGCCCGATCCCAATTCTACCCCTTAGCTCTTACCGTTCACGTGACTGGTAGGAGTGTCCCAATTTTCTTTATTTTGAAGGCGTAGGGCTAAGGGGAAGGGCTAGATAGCCCTCAAAACAAAGATTTTTTAGGACCACACTCAAAACCAAGGGGTAAGAAAATTTCCCAAAATACACCATCTACAACGGCAGCATGTCTGCACACAGAAGTCAGGCAATGCACAAATTAGTATTTTTTGTTGTTATTATTATGATTTTTACAACAAACAATCATATGTTTTAGTACATTCATAACCACATTTATGTTTTACTGTTAATGTAAAAAAAAAAAACGCTCAAATAAAAACCACTAAATTTCGCTACCTATAATCATCCTAATAACTTCTGCAGTCCCACAACATACTTTCACATCTGACACTCAATAACACTCGAGTCCCCTATCAGAAAAGTATAGTGGCTGTTGGCACTGATAGCCTAGTGGTTACTGAGTCAACACATAGCACCCAGGTGCTCGCGGCAACCCAAGTTCGATTCCCAGCTCGAGGTCCTTTGCCGATCCTTCCCCTATCTCTGCTCTCCACACTTTCCTGTCTATGAATCTTCATTGACCTATCCAAAAAGGTGAAAACCCCTAAAAAAATAAAAAATAAATAAAAGTCTAGTGGCTGAGAATGACATTTTCAGTGTCTGCTATAATGTTAATGTTGTTTTCGTGTATTTACATTGATGAATATGGCCACGGTGTAAATTCACAGTACAGTTACAATCTTGTTGCTTCATTATGTCGTTATATACACATTATATTACAGTGATTTCCTGAAGTTAAATTCTAAAAAAATAACGCAACTGGAATAACTACAGTAGTCGCCATCATCGATCTCATATGAAGCAAGAGCTCACGACGGCATATGATGACGTGTGCAGGTGTTGTAGTGGTGTCCCATTGCTTAGGGGTAAATTTTGAAGCCCTTCCCCTTCACACTCTGTTTCAAGGGACAAGGGGTAGGGGTACAAAAATAGAATTGGGACTGGGCCTAAATGGAGATTAATATATCATTGAGCTGAATGAATAAAGCTGCGGTCACATTAGAGTTTGAGCATGCGATTTTCTGTCGTGCAGCGCTGCGAAAAGGGGCGGGATTAAACTAGCTGATTAGACATTTAAGAAAAGTGAGCGATTGCTCCATGCTTTAAATTTTTGTCCAGAGAGGTCATGTTTTGATCCTCGATTGGTCTCACGCAGTCAAGTGATGCGATTTCGCAGGTCAGAGTTCACCAAGCTTCAACCTGCGAAACTTGACGCATGACCCTGCGTTTCCGGTCTGATGCATTCGCGTGGGTATAAATGGAAGGCTATGGGAGGAAAAGCCCAGTGTGACTAAAGCTTTTCATTGAAGTATGTTTACTTAGGATAGAACATCCGAGAGTTAAAAACTTTTAAATTGGACTAAGTGAAGTGCTTAATGCATGTAACCAACCAAAAATGTACTTCATATTGTATAACTGACCATAAAATAATTGTAATTAATGTACAGTAGGACATTTACATGATCTTTACAATTCAGTTCACACAATCAATTTACAGTTCTTCATGGAGCATAATCTTTATTTAATATTGTAAAGATTTTTACTATACACAAATATCAATATTTTTTACCCATATCGTGTAGTTGTGGTTATTCCCTAAAAATACGACTCCAAAATAAAATGGGTTTTGTGATCCAGAGTCACAAGTAATTAATTATTAGATTAGCACAGCCATATCACCCTTCAGCCCAAGACCGATTACTCACTGAGGCTTAGCCGGGCTGAGCAGCTGCTGAGTCCTCATTCCCCAGTATAGTGAAAGGGACACTGTACTGTCAGTGAGCGCCATCTTTCAGATGAGATGTTAAACCGAGGTCCTGACTCTAGGTGGTCATTACAAATCCCATGGCACTTCTCATAAAGAGTACGGGTGTGACCCTTGTGCAATAATGCATTAGTGATAAATAAAATAACACTGTATAGTGTGTAGTATTTGTAGTCTATATAATGAAACCTAATTAATTTTGCATTATATACGTTTCATAACAACTTGGTTTATGTTCGCTAAAATCTTGCACAGTCACAGGTCTTAAAAATCCATGTTTTTTAAGATTAAACTGTGATGCCCACAAATTACATATTCTGAACAGCGGTGCTGATCAACTATGATCCCAACTTTTGCTAATACTGTGATGTGACCATTGCAGATTTATACAGTGCGATATCAATGCTGAAACAACATATTGTGCAGCCCTAGTGTAAAGTAACAAATTACAAATACTGAAATTACTGTAACTGAGTAATATTTCTTAGGCATTGTGCTTTACCATGTAGTTTTACGAATGTGTATTTTTACTTTCAATCCAGTACATTTTTAGTGCTGTATTGACCCCTTTACTCCACCTGCAGTCACTACCTTATTTTTTCTTTTCTATGGTGATTGGCTGAGTAGAATAATCAGTCTTTTGATTTCCATCCAATCAAATCACACATAGAAAAAATAATTTAAATTGAGATATTTCAGTAATTTGATGGCCATTATTCTTATATACAGCCATTACAAAAGACCAAATATATCCTTTTAAGTAAGAAAGGACCATTTTGAGTTTCTGATCAGGACATGATATGACTGTTCTCTTGTTTTTACCAGGACATGGCACTGAATGAGATGCAGGTCATGAACCAGCTGAGCCACCCCAACATCCTCCAGCTTTATGAGGCCTTCGAGGTCAAGAATCAAGTCGTGCTCATCCTGGAATAGTGAGTAGAAGCAACCCTTTATACAAGCGTTACATGGAGTATGAACCTATTGATAGTCTTGTTTTCTGTAGTGTGGAGGGAGGCGAGCTGTTCGAGAGGATTGTGGATGAAAGCAGTCCGCTGACGGAGGTGGATGCGATGGTGTTTGTGAAGCAGATCTGTGAGGGCGTTCAGTACATGCATCAGATGTACGTGCTTCATCTGGACCTTAAGGTAACAGGCAAAGCAGGAAGGGTCAGATTTAGACTTCTGTTCTCATGCAGATTGTCTGGGATTATAGAGTAAGCAGTTATGGTATATGCTGTTTTAGACAATAACGTTGAAGGGAAATGTCAGTCATAAATAGACCTCAAGGCAAATTTAGGGCAGCCATTATGTTTATTGTCTTGAAATTTGTTGTTCAGTGATTTTTGGAACAACCGTTTAATTTTCCATTAAAAGAAGATCATATACTTGACTAAACAGCACATTTTCAGCTGTTGTAAATTAACCAATATGTATATTTTTCCGTTAAGAGTATAATTTCTAAATTAAACTTGGCTTGATTTACGCTATGTTCCATTCATAAGGGCTCATTTCTATGCCCTAATCCCTTTAAAGGGTTTACCCTCTGAAGTGACAGCTATGAAGGGTGTAGGAGACAAAAAAAGCTTCTCTTTGGAACGCACTTATTTATACAGTCAAACTCCAGTTGTTATTCTATCATATAACTTTGCTGCGCTTTACTCATTTTAGGATAAAAATGAGTCACAATGTTTATGCATTAAAAAACATTAATAAATAATAAAATGTAAAAGAAAACATAATTTAAAGCCGAAATTTATTTTCTGAGTAATTTGTTTTGATTTGCACCTAAAATGGATTTGTCTTACTGCTTTTCTATTTTTTTTCATTTCGTTCGCTGTGTATAATCTTTTTTTTCCTGTTATTGTCCTTTTAAAGAGCCCTTTTTGTGCATTATAAAAGGTTATATATTGGTTTTAGGGGTCTCCCACAACAGTCTGATATGCATGCAAGGTCAAAAAAATACTTTCATTGTCTAAAAATATGCATTTATTTTTGCCTAATTATCCTAAAGATTCCCATATGATTCGTTCAGCAAAACATTTGTGCCTCTCCTTTGCGTGAGGCTAATCTGCTGTGTCTTATGACCCAGTCTGTTGTGTTTGGTCGACTGGGTTCAGTGCGAGACAGAGAGAAAGGCCCACCATAGGTATGAAGTAGCACAGAATATGCGAGAGCCCAATGCAGGAGTGCAATAAAGCAATGCAGTTAAACAGGTTATTCCTCTATTCGTAACACGAACCCCAAGTAATAACAATGACACACATTCAGTATTAATCCAAACAGTTCCAGCTGGATGACAGGAACAAACACAGCATAGGTTGGCTATACTGTGGTGTTGTTGTGAAAATGTACTTTAACCGTTTATTTCCAGCAGCTAAGTCTCCATCTGTCAGTGATTGTCATCTTCGTGTCATGATTAGTCCTGTGAACCCCCGCGCTCTGCTAGTGCCTGAATGTTTTATCGGATCCGGCACATATTTGGTGATGTACCATATTAATGCGCTCAAGCAAAAGATCCGAACCCGATTAATTTATTCAACTCCAAGTTGACTATTTCGTTAAAGAGTCAATCGTTTTAAACGGTGCACTTTCAGATTTGGCCTCAGCTGGATGTTATCTTTCACTTAGAGCTGTGTTACACACTGCATAGAAGGCCATTTTCAAAAACCCACAAAAGGGGCTCTTTAAGTACATTTTTAAACAAATTGCAAAAAAAAGTCCTTATGCAAAAGATCAAGTGTCCATCGGCTGTACCCTTCAAAATCCTTTATTCTGGAGGGCCCATAATAGTGACCAGTTTTGAGCACTTCAGTTTGGAACAACACCTTAATAAGGTGGTCATTTTTGTTTTCAAAGTGCAATTCGGAGGTCAATATATCGCAATTTTAACGCACTATTGGTGTGCAAAAAAATTCTATTAAAGTTCTCAGGAAGCGCTTTGAGTTGCATTTTTGTTTGACGTTTGACTTAATTTGAACAAAAACATGAAGACAGGGTGGGACGTAGCTCCTCCTCCTTTTTAAGAAACAGCCAATAGCATTTATTTTTTTATCACCACTCTGCATGTGGGAGAGTGGTTGAGCTCAAGCTAATATAGCAATAGCATCTTGAAGGGGGTGGGACAAATAGTAGAAAGTAGAGAGCATTTGATTGGACAGAAGATTTGATGATTTATATAAACACTTTTAGGTAATCTGTTTTGTAGATTTTATTTTGTACTTTTGTACTTTGATTGTCAGATTGCAGCTTCTTTTCAAATATTTCTCACATATTAGTCATCCTTTCGGACACCCTTAAAGGTCCTGTGAAGTGCCTTGAAATATGCACTTTTATTCGATGTTTGACATAATCTCAACCACAACATGAAAAGAGGGTGGGACTCAATGTAGCCCCTCCCCTTAAAAAAACAGCCAATAGCCTTTTGGTTTTATCAATTCTTTTGCCAGTGAAAGTGATTGAAATCAAGTGCATCAAATGAAACGCAAATGAGAAGCGTCTTGAAGTGGGCGGGGCATGTCAGAGAGAGCATTTGATTGGTCAAGATTTGATTAGAAACTAAACTATGAGGTGACTTAAATAAAACTGTTTATCCATTTAGGCAGACGTGTCAAACTACAAACTTTACATGCTTATATCAGTGTTATATCTTCTGAACGCAAATTTTGTCAATGTTTTGGAGCACACTACCTAATAGATATCCTTAAAAACTAACAATACTAATGATACTAACGTCTAAAAAACATTATTTTAATTTCATGGAACCTTTAAACCTCTAATATGGTTTGCATAGAGTTGTTTTTTGTCTGACAGCTTTAAAACGCGGTGATGATCCAACAGTTTATCACTTTCTTTTTCAGCCAGAGAACATCCTCCTTGTTAATCGCTCTAGCCATCAGGTGAAAATTATCGACTTTGGACTAGCCAGGAGGTGGGATTTATACCATGATATTGTTCTTACCCGTGCAGGTTTATGTGTTCGAACAAAGATTAGTGTTGTCATCAGCCATTTTAACTGGCCTGACATTTGCCTTACATACTTTTCCAGTGACAAGCGTGTATTTTTGCATGTGTTAATCCCTTGGGAGTCAAATATTATAGCCGAGGCTTATTTTTATGCTTTGACTAACTTTTCTCTTTGTCCCTCTTCAGATATAAACCACGAGAGAAGCTCAAAGTTTCATTTGGAACGCCTGAGTTTTTAGCTCCAGAGGTTGTGAACTTTGATTTTGTCTCCTTCCCTACGGATATGTGGACTTTGGGAGTCGTCACTTACATGCTGTAAATCACACCAAATTCATGTTGCATCGTTCTGTGTTGTAATTTCAATATATGGTCAAAGTTGCGATATACAAAGTCAGAATTGGTATGGGGAAAAGTCAGAATTTCAGATAGAAGATAGAAAGTCAAAACTGAAGATATAGTCAGAGTAGTGTGTGTGTGTGTGGGGGGGGGGGGGATGGGGGGTGTAAGAATTGACAGAAAGAGGTAAGAATTTTAGGGAAAAAAGCAAGAATTGTGAAAAAAAGGTAATTATTAAGGGGGGGGGGGAGTAATAATGGTGAGGAAAAGGGTAAAAATTGAGGGAAAATGTAAGTATTGTGAGAGAAAAAGGTAAGGATTGTAAAAAAGGTAAAAATTGTGTCAGAAAGGGGTTAGGATTGTGAGTAAAGGGGTAAGAATTGTAAGGAAAATTGTCAGAATTGTGAGAAAGAGGTAAGAATTGTGAAGAGAAAGTAAGAGTTGTAAGGGGAAAAAAGTAAGCAATGTGAGAGGTAAAAATTGTGAGGGGAAAAAGTCAGAACTGTAGGGGAAAATAGTCTTAATTTTGAGGGGGAACCATTGTTTGAGAAAAAGTAAGAATTTTAAGAATGGAAAGTAAGAATTGTGAGAAAAAGTACAAATGTGAGATACGATTATGAAATTGTATCTCACAAAGGGGAAAAAGTAAGAATTGTGAGGAGAAAAGTAAGACTCTTCACTTTTGTCCTCAAAACGCACCACCCAAGCCCACCAAATGTCATAAGGCCCATATCGGCGAGCAGTACCCCTGATTGTAAGAGTCAAATTTTTAATGAAACAAGTCAGAATTTTAAGATAGAATGCAAATAAAAAGGTTTGTGAGATACAAAGTCAGAATTGTGAGAGGTAAAAGAATTGTAAGAGGTAGAATTGTGAGATGCAAATACATAATTGTATCTCACCCTTTTTCCTTGCAAAGTTAGAATTGTGAAGGGGGAAAAGTAAGAATTTTGAGAAAAAATAATTGTGAGGAAAAAAGTAAGAAAGAGAAATATTTGTGAGATACAAATTCACAATTGTGAGCAAAAAGTAAGAATTGTGAGATAAAGTCAAAATTGTGAAGGAGAACAAGTCAATTGTGAGGGGGAAAAGTCAGGATTTTAATGAAAATATTCTGTACTGGAATTAACACTTTTTAAACATTAACTGCATTTTAATTCAACATCGCTTTCTGCAAATAAATACAAAAGTAAATCCCCATTATAAGTACAGTTATTTTTATCAATGACGTCATACAAATTAGTTAAAAACATTGGCCAACAGTGGTAACGTGTGGTAAAAGAACTGGGAGTGAGTCCAATAACATCAAACAAGGGCAGTTAAACAGCATCCAGGGTCACTCTGTCATCTGTGTTGTCTAATTAAAGCATTACCAGTGTAATGGAGTATTTGGGTAGCCACCAAAACTGAAACTTGGGCTACACTGTTAGATTCATGTCAGCTAAACTGTTGAATTTCTAATATATACAGTTGAAGCCAGAATTATTAGCCCCCCCCCTGAATTATTAGCCGCCTTGTTTATATTTTTTCCTCAATTTCTGTTTAAGGGAGAGAAGTTTTTTTTTCAACACATTTCGAAACATAGTAGTTTTAATAACTCATCTCTGATAACTGATTTATTTTATCTTTGCCATGATGACAGTAAATAATATTTTACTATATATTTTTCAAGACACTTCTATACAGCTTAAATTGACATTTAAAGGCGTAACTAGGTTAATTAGGTTAACTAGGCAGAATAGGGTAATTGGGCGAATTATTGTATAATGATGGTTTGTTCTGTAGACTATCAAAAAAATAAATATATAGCTTAAAGGGGCTAATAATATTGACCTTGAAATGGTTTTAAAAAAAAATGTAAAACCCTTTTTATTCTAGACGAATATTATCAGACACTGTGAAAACTCCTATGCAACTCCTAACATCACTGGGTGTATATATATATATATATATATATATATATACATATATATATATATATATATATATATATATATATATATATATATATATATATATATATATATATATATATATATATATATATATATGTATATATATATATATATGTAAAGAAAAATCAAAGGGGATTTAATAATTCTTACTTCAACTGTATATATTCTTTTTCTGTTCTAGTTTAAGTGGCCTCTCTCCTTTTCTGGGTGATGATGACGGCCAGACCCTCAATAATGTGCTCATGGGGAACTGGTAGGTTACGATTAAGGTTACTTGAGAAATGCAAGTTAAAACAACCCCTCATAACTGTGAAATGAAAAGTCAGAACTATAATATATATATTTTTTATCTTTGAGAGAAATGTGCTGCCAAAGAAATATCTAATCTGAAATCTTTTGTGTTCATGAAAAATGTGAAAAACTTTCAATCTAAAAATGTGTTATGAAGCAGCGCCCCCTTTTGGATGTATGTAGGTACTTCGACGAGGACGCTTTTGAGCACGTGTCTGCTGACGCGCGGGACTTTGTTTCCAACCTACTGATCAGAGAAAGAAGGTAACGTAAAATGAAAATACAAGTTCATCATCATCATATTTTAACGCTTGGCCACTCCAAAATCACATAATTGTGTTTAGTTGAACACAATATTCGCATACAGTGACTATATAGTGGCACTCAAGTTAAAACAACAACTGTATTTTGTATGACTTTTGTATATTCGAAAGATTATAGGTGTTTGTTTTTAATTCATCATCTTTTTAGTGGTCGTATGAGTGCCACACAGTGTCTCAAACACCCATGGCTCAACAACATCTTTGAGAAAGCCAAAAGCAGTAACATCGTGCTCAAGTCACAGGTTCTCCTCAAGAAATACATGGCCAGGCGATTGTGGAAGGTAAAACACTGTGTTTAGAAAGTGGCAGATCATTGTGTCCTCAGTTTTAAAGTACTAAATGCTCTCTTGCTCTCCTTCTATACAGAAAAACTACATAGCTATCGCTGCAGCAAATAGGTTCAAGAAGATTGGAAGTTCAGGTTCCTTGACCTCACTTGGAATCTGAGTATGTTCAAACTCTTATAATACACAGGTCATGTCTTTGTATTGCTGTGCCGCACTGCAAATCACCTTTCACCTCTGAAGTTTGACTGGCTGCTGATTTTAATTGCATTGGTAAACCACACAAATCTATAATGTGCAAGAACCATTTATTTATACAATACATATATATCTTGTATATTGTTTCAAGCATTCATAAATTAAACGTATAGCTATAAACACTCACCGGCCACTTTATTGGGTACACCTTACTAGTACAGGGTTGGACCCCCTTTTGGCTTCAGAACTGCCTTAATCCTTTGTGGCATAGATTCAACAGGGTACCGGAAATATTCCTGAGATTTTAGTCCATATTGAAGTGATAGCAGCACACAGTTGCTGCAGTTTAGTTTGCTGTGCATCCATGATGCGAATCTCACGTTCCACCACATCCGACAGGTGCTCAGTTGGATTGTGATCTGGTGACTGTGAGGACCATTTGAGTACAGTGAACTCATTGTCATGTTCAAAAAAACAGTCTAAGATGATTTGCTCTGCATGACATGGTGCATTATACTGCTGAAAGTAGCCATCGGAAGATAGGTAGGCTTAGGCGTTGACACAATGCTCAATTGGTACTATTGGGCCTAAAGTGTGCCAAGAAAATATCCTCCACACTATTACACCACCACCACGCTGAACTATTAATACAAGGCAGGATAGATCCATGCTTCATGTTGTAGACGCCAAAATCTGACCCTGCCATCCTAATGTCACAGCAGAAGTCAAGACTCAATCGGCCAAGCAACATTTTTCCAATCTTCCATTGTCCAATTTTGGCGAGCCTTTGCAAATTGTATCTTCAGTTTCCTGACTAAATGCATTGAGTTGGTGCCATGTGATTGACTGATTAGAACTTTGCGTTAATGAGCAGTTGGACAGTTGTACCTAATAAAGTGGCCAGTATGGGAGAGCATGTGGCTAAAATGGAAAATGTCCTAAATAAAAGGGAGCAACTTTTCTTTTTTTTGATCTGATAATGCCTAAGATTTTATTATTCATATTTTAAATGGCCAGTAAATGAAGACCACGTATCCAAAATGTGACAGGAAAATAATGGTGGTCTGACATATTTTACGAGAAATAATTGTTGGTTCATGAACAGGAAGTAAAAACAAGAAGTTCAGTATGAATTTTTGCTCGTATCAACAAAGTATTTCATGCAGAAGATCCTGTTTTGAAATGTGACGAAACATTTATATTCATTTGCTGATGATGATCAGACTGTAAATACAGGTGGTTAAATAAGCAGTGGCATGTTCATTCAAATTGCATGTGTCATTAAATTTATAATGTGACTTCCAGAAATAAACGAATAAGAAAGTATTGGAAAAACACATTGTTTCCCTTCTCAATGCTTTCATTCATTCATATTTTTTCCACTCTTGGATGTAAAAACAGGAAAATAAAGTGTACAAAATGGATTCTAAACAGGTACTTGTGCAGACATGAGTAGAATTCCCCTGGAATTGAAATTACATCATGCTAATGATGTTTTTCAGATTATAATGTCAATGTTATTTTTAGAGAAATTGGAGAAAAACAAACCTTAATACATCTTAGCCTCCTCTAGATGTTTGTGGAGCATTTAATTCATTCCACTGGTTTATTATTAAGTTAATTTATCAAACCATGGCAATGTAGCAATAAAACATCACACTGTGTGTTTGTAATACAAGAAAGAATAAACTGAACTAGAAAAGAAAAGTTCGTAGACAAACTGTATGATGGGTTGAGAGAGCCTAGTCTGAAAGTTTGAAGTAGTTTTAAAGTTTAAATAATTGAAGTGGTTTTTAAGAAGTTTGAAACAGCTGGCATAGACAAGTACATATACGTTAGCATATACGTTTTCACATGTTTTTTTAGCATACATAAGCATATTGTTAGCAAGGTTTTAGTTTAACTTGGCATGTTGTTTCTATGAATTTAGTATGAATTAGCATGATGCTAGTATTAGTATGTTTTTAGTATGGATTAGTATATTGTTAGTGTCATTTGGTGTGTTGTTAGTATGTCCAATGTAGTCAATGGCAGTTTTTTTTTTTACAATGTACGTCTATGGGATAGTTGCTAGGGTGCTGTAAGTGGTTGCTAGGGTAAGACTAGTAAGTTGAAATGTCATCAGTGATTGGCAGATGAGTAGTCTGAGTTAAATGAGTGTAACCCCAAGTCTGTATGGCAGTCTGGCGCAAAGTTATGAGGTCTCAAAGTTTGGTCCAATGTTAAGTCAATGGGACTTTCCTGAATTTTCCAGGTCAGTTTTCGGAAGTCGGATCAGTTGGAAAAGACATAGCCACCTGAGTCCGACCAGTTTGGAGGTTTGGAGTGAGTTTGGTAATTGTAGTATGAACAGTCTAGTAGGAGATGCATATAAAAATTATTCTCAGAAGAAGAAGAATATTAAGTTTGTGTAGTAAAACAGTATGTTGGCTTTCTCAAGCCACCAAAATGACTTCTAATCTATGCTGACGTCTTCAATGTGCCAGATGATATTTACAAGAGTGTAATAAAATTATGTCTTATCAACTTTAGATTTTATAACACACAATCCAACTAAACAATTGTTTGAGTTTAAATAATATGTCATAATCATGACCCTATAAAGTGTAACCATGTTGTTGTGTTTTTGTTGCATTGATTAGCATTTGTATAACCACAGTTTTAGGCTAGTCAGGTCATTTTTTTTATTCTATATTGTTTTAACTGTGTCAATTATGTCAAAGCAGCATTTTCAACAAAATGACTATAAATATAATGGGATGTGTCTCAAAGCTTTTAATACTCCTTTCAGAGGTTTGTGGTTGGTGTACTGAAACTAGATGTGGTTAGCTCATCTATTAGGGCAATTCCTTGAAGATTTGATCTGCAAGACTTGAAGATAATTAATATGTACTTAGTATTCTTTAACTGATGAATAGGTGTACTAGTGTTTAATATTTAATTTGCCATTATTTAAAGAGCCCATATTATACATGAAATAAGGTCATATCTTGGTTGTAAGGGTCTCCAACAACAGTCTAATATGCATGCAAGGTCAAAAAACACTTTCATGGTCTTATAATCTGCATTTATTTTTATCTAATTATCCCAGCGACTCCTGTATGAATCGTCCAGTGATTCATTTGTTCCCAAACCCCTCCTTAGCGCGAAGCTAATCTGCGCTGATTGGGCCGATGACAGTCTGTCGCGATTGGTCGACTGCCTTCAGTCAGAGAGGGAAATGGCCAATAGCTAATCAGCAATTTAAAAAGTAATCACAGTTCATACACGCTCGATAGTGTAGGCGTGGACTTTAGCTGCCACACTATGGCGAGTGGATAGTGCCACGGATAACCGAACGAAGGAGACAGTCGTGTACTCGCCATACCACACACACACAAAAACACACACACACCTCCGGATGACAACGCTCCCGCTTCAGCCCGCACCCGCCAGGTTTTAGCCTGAGAACCCGCTCCGTTTTCTGCCCGCCGCGCCCGGTCCCGCTAGAGCGGAGAACACAACCAAATATCACCCAGTATACAGTCCAGACAGCCAAGCTGTCTGTATAAAAAAACACACACAGCACAAAGTACACAAAGCTCGTTCGTTCGTTCGTTCGCTCTCTCTCTCTCTCTCTCCCCGCGCCAGATTTCTGCGGCGCGGGAATACATTTCCGAATAAATCGCGGGAGCAGAACTCTAGCACGGAGCTCCATAAACAAACAGCACGCGTCGCGTTTTTAACGTGACTTTGCACGCGATAAGATAAAATATCCAGTTAACCTGATACAGTACACGCGGTTACAAGTAACAAATCACAACTAAATACATTTGCAAGCTAGAGTAAACGAGGAAACAACTTTAACCGCACGTACTTACACTTGATAAATGTAGGAAGAAACCCATCCTGACGTCCATCAGTTACTCTTTACTGATCCTTCCTTTAACAAACTCAGATGAAGTATTCTTTGTAGCATGTAGCTTCCAGAAGTTTCCAACTGCTTGGTTATAATGCTGATGTTTCATCTTTGGGTAGAGACTCAATATAATATCCATCTGCAGTGTGACTTCAATCGACCGGCATGTTTGTGTGCGTGTGTTTGTGGGTGTGCGTGTGTTTGTGGGTGTGTGTGTGTGTGTGTGTGTCTGGGTTACTGCGTCAGAGGGCGGGGCCTCAGGTTTGAAATCTCCCGGGTTTGCGCGTGCACGTGAAAAACTTTGTTTCGTTCGTACGTCATGGCGAAACACCTAATGAGTCGGTATCAAGGCGACTCGTTTGAAGCACTATGATTCGACTCTTTTATAGATGAATCAACAGTTTTAAACACTGTATTCTTACAGATTTAAGCCTTAGCTGGATACTTCACTTCACTTAGAGCTGTGTTACACACTACATGGAGGGGAATTTTCAAAAACCCATAATATGGGCTCTTTAATAGGAACTAGTATGTGATAAAAACAGTGCTCAGCATATAAGAGTACAGCCCATTTTGAAAATGAATATTTTTATTTATTTCTCAGTAAATATGGATAATATATATTGGTGCATTTAAACAAAACAGATTTATCAAACAGATATGTATATTAAAATAAAATTTTAGTCACAGAACATCTTTAGTAATGGAAACATAAAACATTTACATTCATGCAAAATATTTCAACCAAATTATTTATATTTTTTTGTTTCTCCTGATTTTTGCTATTTTTCAAAATTTAATTTAATTTTTTCCCCTAACCATTATCGCAAGTTATTTTTGTTAGATTAGCTCCAGATTTGGCTTCAGCACTGACTAATGCACAAATATAATGTTGTAAAGCTTCATATAGAATATGTGAATTGAAATTAGAGATGTGGTGTGTACTCAAATATGCTGAGCACTGTATATACTGAATAAGTATAAAAAAAAGATATTAGTATCTAAAAAAAAAGATGCTAGCATGAAAACTGATGCCATACTTATGGCAAGCCGTTTTGACATTTAATCTATAACTCGTACTAGTATCTACTGTCACGTTACTACTTATTTTTAGATACTAATATCTTTTCCAATAAGTACTAGTGCTTATTCATTTTACTAGTAGTGTCTATTCTTTAGTTACTCGTGCTTTTTAAAAATACACTAGTGCTTACGCAGTAAATACTAGTTCTTTTTACTAGATACTAGTACTCATTCATTAGATTTTACTACCTATTAAATACTAGTACTTGTTCATAAGATACTAGTGTCTATTTAATAGATATAGTTCTTATTAATTAGATATTAGTACTTATTAAACAGATACTTATGAAATAGATACTACAACTTATTTAAAAGATATTAGTACACATTTATTAGATATTAGTACTTGTTTGAAATGTTACTAGTGAAATGTTTATTTGAACTCTGCTTTTCCATTTAGACTAGTCATAACATAAGACTGTTAAAAAGCAGAACTGACTAGTAAAATATGAATTGTTACTAGTAATAGTTATAAAAGACACTAAGGGCGTATAGATTTGCTTTTGTTTTTGATGGTGACCTAATTTGACACCATTTTATCTCGATTGTTGTTTTTTCATAATCGCCGTGGAGACCAAAATCAAAATAAGCCTTTCATTAATTGGTTACTATTATAGAGAGCTAGTAACAAACTTGACCTGACAATTTTCTTTGAAATGTAGCTGCTTGTGTCCACTTCTCACCTGAGTCTTGCACAGTTCGCCTGACTGGAAAAATTCTACAAAGCATTATTTTATTTTGGAGGTGATTAAATTATTGGTGGGGAAATTTTAATCTGTGGATATTGGTGGCATCATGTCCCCTCCGTCCATGCTTATTCTACACCCTTGAAAGATACTAGTGTCTCATAAATAGATACTGGTAGTTATTGATTAGTAATAGTAATTGTTTATTAGTTACTGGTATCTAATGAATTGGTACCAGTATCTATTTAAAAAGTACTACTAGTATCTAATGAAAAAGTAGTAGTACCTAATACATAAGTAATAGTATCTAATACTTAACTAGTATCTAATTAATAAGGACTAATTCATAAAAATATGTACTAGTCCCAGCTGGAATACATACTAGTCAAAAGTGAATAGTTGATATCACAATGACATATCCCAATAGAAATAAATGGAAAGTGTTTTAATTTGTTACTAGAAACATAATTGTTACTATAGTTCACTATTAAAATAAGCACTAGTATCTAATAAATAAGAACTAGTATCTATTTAATATGTACTTGTACCTATTAAATAGATAGTATCTAATATATAAGTACTAGTAGTATGTACTAAACAAAATTAATGTCTAATGAGTAGGCACTAATATATTTTTAAAAAGCTGCATAGGCACTAGTATCTATAATACATGCATCTAATAAATACTTACTTGTGCCTAATGGAAAAGATACTAGTATCTAAAAAACGAGCACTAGTAACATGAGAATAGATACTAGTACTGGCTACTGATTAAATGTTAAAACGGCTTGCCATATATTTTTGTAAACCATATTATTATTAAAAAATATAGAAATACTGAGTACACCTTTAAAATGTGACGTTTACCTTGTTGTCGACAACCTGTTAAACATTAGTAGCCATCTAAAGGGTTTAAGGCATATATAAGACATGAAGGCTTCTTTAAACAGATGTGTTTTTTGTGTGTGTACGAGTAGGCTCAGCATAATCCGCAGTAAGGGGTGGGGTGCTATTAGGACGGGTTACATTTACTAAGTACACACTCATCGACTAGTCACATCCGTGTACTGTTGCTGGGATCGACAGCATCCAAGTTTTCGCTCTACAAGTTTCGCTTTGCTGAACATTTTACTCGAGGTAAGTGGTTTTTATTTTTCACACAAATGTGTTATTGACAGGCGCGCCACACTTCTGCTTTAAAAAATTAACAGATTTTCAAGTAGTTTCGAAATTGAAGACGACGCCAGATTTTCTCGTCGTTCAAAGGTACTTGGTTTCTTACTGTTATCTTAAGTAATTAGTTTTGACTGGAAATCCTCGAAATTACACGCTGGGTGTAATTTTGTTAACCCAGTGAATAGCCACATTGTTTCCTCTGCCAGTCGTCTTATGTCGTAGACTGAATTTCAACAGACTTGCCTTTTCTGAGAGAGCGAAACTAACAGTCTTCACAACTTCAGACGCACGACAAACCTTAATTCTGTTAGATTCAACATACCATCGTGTAAACAATCTTGAAAAGTTGGTAAATTGACGAGTTTAGAAAGTAAAGGCGGTTGTGTAATACAACATTACGTTAGGTGGAATAAGGAACAAAGAAAGAAAACCGTTGAGTGTCGCCATTATATTTGAAATATATTTATTTAAGCTAAGTTACAGTCGATTTACTGACGTAGTTAAAAGACTGTCGATTTTGTATGCTTGGCAAATAATTCACGCTACATTTTATAACAATGACTATGACTATTAATCTCGTGACTGAAGTCAGATGATGTAAAGACAGGAGTTTAACCTTTCTCACGGTTTTACTTAGTTCCTTGTTACTGAACTCACGTCAACATTTACTTTTACCTGGGTAACTTTTTTGGGGTTATTAAAGGGAATAAGGAATATTACACCATGTTTTACTTGCATTAGTTTTGCATATAAGTTTTGTTTAGCTTCCAGATGACAATATATATATATATATATATATATATATATATATATATATATATATATATATATATATAATTGTAAGAGTTTATTATAAACGAACTGACAAACAACGAGACACCAGTCATTTAGCAAAAAAAAACAAACAACATATATATATATAATAAACGTATTTTATGGTCAAACATAACATGTGCACCTTTTAAAAACTTGGAGGAAAATAATTTGATTAAATGTAGTCTCTTGCAAAAGATAAATTTCTAATTTCGACTTAGTAACTGAAAGGTTGAAATTCCACATCATTATTTTAAATGAATCATGACTTTTTTTTCTAAAACACGACACATGAATTATGTTTTGAATACTATTTTTAAAGACTAAGCTAAGACTATATGGCCAAGTATTTAAATATGATGATGATGATGACTATAGCTAATATAGTAGTAATACACCATAGTATTTTGTTAGCTTTTTTATAGACATGAAATGTATAATAAAAACTAAACAAAATGTTCACTCCATTATAGACCATTACATTTTCCTGCATGTTGTTAAACTGTTTCCTAACTGTAACAAGAGGCAATTCAGTCATAACTTGACATTAAAATAGCTATCATAACATTATTTATCATTATGTGGACATTTTTGGATTCTTTTAAGCTATTGCAATGAAAAATGTGAAACAGGAAATACATTTGGACCATTGTTATTGTTTTCATCCCTCAAAATGGTCTATAACAATGTAGAATATTGCTTTTATGATCAACTAGTATGACTTATAGTAAAGTTAACAAAAAGTTTGTCATGTGTCACTGCAAAAAAAAAAAAAAAAATTATTGAAACTAATTTTCTATGAGTAATCTTTTTCACATTTAATCTCAAATATTTATTGTATGAATAATGATATATATATATATATATATATATATATATATATATATATATATATATATATATATATATATATATATATATATTAGGGATGTAACGGTATCAGAATTTCACGGTACGGTAATACCTCGGTATCAATGTCACGGTACGGTATTTATTGAATCATTTACAGGAAAAAACAAAACTTATGAAAATACTCCAAAAAAGTGCCAAAAGTGTCAATGACATACAAATTAGCCATCTATCTGTAAGCTTTGAAACAGGAACTTCAATTTTAATAACAAAAAAAATATTAAACCATGTAAAAAAAAATTTAAGTTTTTAATTTAGTATTGTTGAAAACTCATCACATTCAACATTTAATCACTCACTCACTTAGATAGAGATGGGTTTAAAGGAAAATTATCATATAAATATAATCTGGTAAAAGCTGGTATCTCTGGGCATTTACAATGTCCCCTGCAACAGAAAAAAAAACCTCTCATTTGGTACTGAGGTTTCTGGGACAAGAGAGATATGACTTATATGACTTATTTCTTGAGCGCCGAAAACGGAGCGTTTCGAAAACGCTGGAGAGGCCGTTTTCATTCTAAAACGCTGCTGCTCCGTCTCAGTGTGGATGGGGAAAGACGGAGACATCTGAAAACGGAGGCGGGGCTGCAAACGTTCGCCTATCTGATTGGGGCTTTTCCTCAATATTAAGTAGCCCACACACAGTTCAGTCTTGCATCCTCTTCTTGTAAGTTAAGACTTCGCAAGTTTGATCAAGGCTGCAGTCTCCCCCTTCTCAGTTTGATATGGAAAACATACCGAGGACACGGGTAAATCTTCAAAGGGAACAGTGTACTTTATAACTTCATTCACATCACCCTGGCTACGTTGTTTCACTTTCTCATCAATAAAATGTAAACATGATATAAGGAACTGCCTATTTTCTTTTTAATATTAGCAACTTAACAGACAGCAGAAATGTTGAGGCGTCGTGCTGCATATATGAGCGTCATCTTCACTGTGTGCATATTTATAACAAAACGGAGCCGATAACAACTGCCTCCTTTCAATTTCAGTGAAAATACGAAACACACCCTCTCTTTTGCTAAATATCAGTTTTAATAATCGATAATTATAAAAGTATAACATACAATAAGTTTATACATTGTAGGAAATAAAGGCAAGCGATCAGTCAATGTACCTGGATTAATCATTAACTTATCTTTGCGCTTAACCAAAACATGTTACCCGTGAACAAGTAACTTAATAGATTCCAATGACCAAAGTCAGGGAATTGGCCTATGTCGTTAGATAAAGACAACAAGATGAATGAAATATCACGTTTAGCAAATATAGCGAGATCAGATCCAGCGGGAGATGCTTGATGAGCAGTCCGACAAGCAGAGCTCTCATCTGGGTAGAAATGCTGGAGCGCTTGCCCGAGAGTGTGTGTGTGGTCACGTGATGTGCGTTTTCAGCGTTTTGGTGTGGACGGAGAGCTGTTCAGAAACGCTGGGTAAAACGCGAGTGTGGACGCGGATCGTTTTCATTCTACAACGCCGTTTTAAAACTAAAATGCACTCTTGTAAAAGGGGCCTTAGAGTTTTACAGCTCTTTTTGATCCCCGCTTCTAGCAGCACACTCCATTTCCGCATTACTGGATCTGTAGCGACAACAGACCGCAAGGGATGATGGGGATTGTAGTTTTCGCTACCTCCCGTTCGCTTCATTCGCCTGAGCAAATTTTCTCAGAAGACCTATAGTTTTACCGAGTCATGCGACTTCGGTAATATCGAAAAAAATTAATATTGCGGTATGACGGTATTTACAATACCGTTACATCCCTAATATATATATATATATATATATATATATATATATATATATATATATATATATATATACCACACAATTAATCCATTAAAATCACCAACATATTCATGTGTAAAGACCAAGCCAGGACTTTAGACTGCAACCAAAACGGTGACAAATGCAATGTTAAGCTCAAAGTGAACAAAGTAAAAGTAAAGTCTCATGATGCAACACCTCTAATGAGAGGACTTGCACCCTAAGCTCATTCTCTCAGTCTTCGTCTCATAACTGACAAATTTATTCAGAAAAGAACTGAGAAAAGTACTTGCCACCAGTGATACCAGTGTGAGCCCTGCAAACACAAAACAATTAGCCTAAAGCCAAGCAAACTGTTTTCTATTATTATGGGCGGAGTAAATGGAGTAAATACATACTTGTAGGCATAGGGCATTAAAAAAGGAAACAGTAACTAGTTTGTTTACTTTACGGCTTTATTCTAAGAGGCAGCTTAGTTCCTTATATTATTTTTCCTTATATACATCTATGATTTTATTATGATTAGATTTTTGAGAAATAATCAGGATTATTGTTCTTCTTTACCTTAAATATTTGCTTTCTTTCAATTGTTTAAAAGGGATATTTGACTCTCAGCGATACTCAGTTAATTATTAGCCTCATTTAGCTTGTGTCAGTAAACTGACCTATATATTGTTCCTGTATTTTTAACCTTGCTGCTATTAAGGCTGGTGGGTGCGGTCGTGTGCTTTCATTTATGTGATTTTAACCTTCATTTTGTTTACAGGATTTAACCGAGAACCACCATGGCTGTAGAAGGAGGAGCGAAATGTGTCAAATACCTGCTCTTTTTCTTTAATTTCATCTTCTGGGTGAGTAACACACATAACGTCTGTATTATATCAGGCCACATTTCACATTAGCCAGACATTGTGCCATAACAGCATGACCCATTTCTGTGAATCGACAATGGCTTATTGCATGTTATAAACTCAAAAAATATTTTGGCTGCTTTTTCAAACTACCTATTTGCTTTTTTTGGTGGACAACTTAAACTTTTTTGTGTTTAAGCCACTTAAATGTGTTAAGTTAACTTAATCAACTTGTGTTGGGACAACATGAATGAATTTTGTGTAACCCTGCATTTACTACACTGTTTGGAAACTGTTGTGAAACATTTATACTCCTTTTCACAATCACATTGAGCTAGTTTAGCTCTCATCAGTAGCTTTGACGTAAAAAGGAGAAATGAAATTGACATTCTTCTCTACAACGTAAATAAATCTTGTGGTTTCTTAGAGTTCGAGAGTTGCTAATAACTATGACACACACTTTTTCCAGTGAAGGAGTTTAGCAGACCCACATAGACTTTATCTTATGATGACTCAGAGTGTAACGCCAGAAATTTCACAACATCCAGGAAAACATGCTTCCTGACTTTGTCAGATGACTGGAACACATTGTCGTCGTGTTCAGCTAACATGTGGATCAGCCTTGATTTTTTAGCTGGAAAATACCTTTTGCTGATTAACATCACAGTCGTTTACTTAAGAATTAGGTAGTTCGCACATTTTATGGCTTTCCTGTTTAAAGCTTGTTTTAATTAAAGGGACACTTCGTCTTAAAATGAAAATGATGTACTCTGCCTCAGTTTGATTTTTTTAAAAATCGATTAAACACAAAAGAAGATACTTTGAAGAATGTAGGTAACTGCAAGCCAATTACAGTACTTCCATGGCATTTGTTACTTATTATTGAAGTCAGTGACTATCGATTACAAGCATTCTTCAAAAGATCTTGCGTTTAACAGAAAATAAGGAAACTCAGAAACCACTTTAGGGCAAGTAAATTTTGGATTAACTATCCAACACAGGCTCATTCTGAAAAGGTAGCCTTATATACATTTTTTTGAGATAGCGAGTTATGTAGCCAGACATACGTATGACTGCATTTCATCTTTAAAATGAATGCTACGGGGCGGTATGATGCTGCTCCTTTTCAATTGGTCAATTGGTGCTTTTAAAAACACTATTGGTTGGGTTTAGGGAAAGAGAAAGGCGAGTCAGTCGGTCAATCTGTCAGTACAGTATTTCAGTCGACAGCGGCCTCTGGTGGATTTACGTTAGAAGAACAGGCACAAATGGCACTCGCAAAAGAAATTTGAGATCTGAAAAAGTGTACACAGCGACCTCCGGTGGATTCGCGAAAACAAAAACTGCAAAAAACTTACCTCCTGGGACATATTTGGAGCTCTCCAGAAATATATATAGAGGTACGTTTTCAGAATGAGCCTGGGTTGCAACTATCCCTATAAATGTGCCAACTTGAAAAAGGCTCAACAGAGTGATTTATAGGTTTCAAATGAAAATGTGTGTAAAACAGAAAGGTGTTTTTTTTGTTAGTAGACTCTGGGGATTAAAGTGTTTATGGTTGTCCTTCAGCAGTTAGCTGATAATGTACGTAGGTTTCCGTTTAGGTCATGGAAACATAACACATGCACATCCTAGCAAGTTTGTTTTTTTGAT